GTGCGGGGGTGCAGGGGGGTGCTACCCCCCCAATATTAGCTATAACCCCCCCAAACAAAATTTCCACCCCTCCAAAAAAATTTTCAACCCCCCCCCAATATTCGGCATAATAAAAAATAATTAAATAATCCACTCCAACGTGCTGAGTGTTGATGATACAAAATAAACGTAGGAGTACACTCAAATAGAAAGCAATATTATTGGAGCAATTGTAAAGTTTTGAAACTCTATTATCTCCCCTGAATAGAGTTTGCAGTGCCTTGTCATGCAAATAGCTTGCTTGCAAGGAACGTTTGGAATTTTTACGAACATTATTTTTAGTTTTTAATTCTTTTAGGAAATAGACTTGCCTAGATTTAATCTTTATGGCCCAAATATTATTTACATCGGAGTTGCATCATAAATTGTACTCGGATTCAAACGACACAATGTTAATGACTTTATAAAAGTAAAAGCATATTGTGTATTGGCCTATTGGGTTTACACTTTTACAGGTTCATTTAACTTTAACTCTCTCAAGTCTCAACAGACAATCGGACATGCCAAATCCATTGATATGACACTCTTCAAAAACTTTTTTTCGAAGCTAGAAATGATTTTTTTCAAATTTTTCCAGGGATACTTTGTTTTCTGCTCTCTAGACTCCCTCTTGCGGCTCTAGTGCTCCACCCCTAGAATATAATATACCTTACTGGGGTTTGGTGACACTTTCTGTTGCTTCAGTCACCTGCTCACGGCTCACCCACCTAAAATTTCTGGCACCACCCCAGTAAAAAATATGAAAATCCGTCTATGTTCGAGAGGTCAAATCCCCAATAAAACTATCCGCACACGAAAGCAACTTGCTCAGCTAGCGAGGCGGTTAGCTCAGCATGTTACCCTCGTGTGCGGCAGGCTTGGAATGTTAGATCAAAAAGTGTAGTGTGAAAAATGATGTGATGGCCTCATGTTGTTCTAAGAAAAATATGATAGAATCACAGAAACCTGCTAAACAATAATACTTTGTCAAAAGTTAGGACCACTACTAACTGCGCAAACCGTACTAAACTACTTATTAAACCGTAAACTCTAAAGCATAATGGGAGCATGACATAATTTACAAGAACAATTCATTCACAAATAGCTGCAATATTCAACTACTATAGGCTTGAAACTTGCGCTTCCATTAACCTTTGCACGCTTAGCCTAAGAGTTTAAGGTTTAGAGATGGTTTAGAGTTAAGGTTTGCAAAGGACAACGTTTTTGAATTGGCTGTATAATTATGATTTATGTACTTAAAGCTCGATTACGAACTCGATTCCGAGCTCAATTTCGAGCTCCATTCCTTGGGCTTGGCTCATTATATAGGATATCTCCTAGTTATGAAGGCATCGCAGCAGCAAAAAATAAAAAACTAGATTGTAATCACCTTGCTGCGGTAGGTGTTTAAAATTAATAAACATGTGCTTTCCGATGCCGCGGGTACTGATGACATATTTTAGCAAGGCTAGCACTCAGTCTCAGCGTGCACTTCAGTGATGACATGTTTGAAGAAAGAATAATTATAGCTTCCAAACATATGACGGTTAGTTAGGCCCCGTTTACATGAGACCGGAACCATTTCGTTTCGGTCATAGTAATATTTATAATACAGGGTGTATCAAAAAACCCGCAACCTCGGAATTTTTTGTGTTTTCCGACCCACCACTTTTTACCCACGACATGCGAGTTTTTACACTACACGAATTTTAAATTTTACTCCAAACCGCATCGTATAAATAAGATAACTAGGCTGCTTTGTATGCAAGCCGCAAGGTTTCTTTTATACATACACCCTTTCATGAATCATGGACTTTCAGTATGATCAAGACATGCCGCTCGTGTCGGTTAATTGTGTCTTAATCAGAACTTTCAAAGTCATTATGGAATTAGTCTTCATCATTTCAATCGGCTCAGCCTTCATGGAGAAGAACTAGCTTTGGAACAGGAAGTGGTTTTATGATTTTAACGTGATACGGTCTCAAAAAACACCATGCGTATAGGCTATAACGAGTCATGCATCTCCGATGTCAATCACTGAAACTGAAAAGTGGCTTGATTTTAAAGGGCCAGTGTGATTACTTTTCGATTTTTGATGTTAAAAAACCTATATCCTTTTAAAATTAACATTGAAATTTCATTACTTACATTGAATTGCTGTCAGTATGATGGACATTTAAGATGTATCCATTGAATCTTCTATATGCCACTGGAAATTTCACAAAGGCTTCGATGGTAAAGTAAAAGTTTGCGATTGGCTTGTAGCGGTCTTTCTCCATCTTCTTATGCAAACAACTGATACCTTCTCCTGCTTCTCGTACCGAGAGACTTTTACGGGGCGACGTCGACGAGCCAGACATACTTGATACTTCACACAAACATACAAAAATTAAATAATACCTCAGTCTAATACTCCGTATGCATGAATCACAAATCCAAAACCTGAAAACAAAAAAAAACACACCTTAAAACGCCCTTACCTTTTGTAATAAGAAAACACAGAAGGATTTTTCAGCTACGCATTCGAGTGCAGATCAACAAGCTCCCAGCTTATATGACCGAAAAAATGTACCAGGTGCGGTTTTTATGCGTGCGCCTTACGTCAGCCGTAATGAATAAACAAAGAACAATAACGTTTTTCACGCAGTGCATGGCAGGAACCCTCAAAACAATGAACCTTTCAAGACTGACACTAAACCAAAACGATTAATTAGTAAAAGCCATTTTCAGAAAAAATTCAAAGACATTTTTACATTTTTACGCTCACACATACGATAGAACGCTAGAAAAGCAGTACTCTATGACTATGTAAAATCACTAAATTGTACGATTCATGTTACGATAGAACGCTAGAACAGCAGTACTCTATGTAAAATCACTAAATTGTACGACTCATTTTACGATAGAACGCTAGAACGGCAGTACTCTATGTAAAATCATTAAATTATACGACTCATGTTACGATAGAACGCTAGAACGGCAGTACTCTATGCAAAATCATTAAATTATATGATTCATGTTACGATAGAACGCTAGAACGGCAGTACTCTATGTAAAATCATTAAATTGTACGATTCATGTTACGATATAGAACGCTAGAACGGCAGTACTCTATGCAAAATCACTAAATTATATGATTCATGTTACGATAGAACGCTAGAACGGCAGTACTCTATGCAAAATCACTAAATTATATGATTCATGTTACGATAGAACGCTAGAACGGCAGTACTCTATGCAAAATCACTAAATTATATGATTCATGTTACGATAGAACGCTAGAACGGCAGTACTCTATGCAAAATCACTAAATTATATGATTCATGTTACGATAGAACGCTAGAACGGCAGTACTCTATGTAAAATCATTAAATTGTACGATTCATGTTACGATAGAACGCTAGAACGGCAGTACTCTATGTAAAATCATTAAATTGTACGATTCATGTTACGATAGAACGCTAGAACGGCAGTACTCTATGTAAAATCATTAAATTGTACGATTCATGTTACGATAGAACGGCAGTACTCTATGTAAAATCATTAAATTGTACGATTTTATTTTCGTGTTTGGTGTAACCGAATCATAGCAATCAGAGGCAAGCTTGACACTATAATAGTTTTTAATTTTGACAAGTGTGCTCCAGCGGTTCCGTTACATCGCCGCGCCAGACTCATTGGCGCTGAGTATCACACTTTAAATATCCTTTTCCCTATAAATCGCAACAGATGTGACAAATAGTTTTCATATTTGATGTCATTGTTACGATAGCACGCGTGCTTTAAATTTTTTTTTCAACAACGCCGCTTATTTTGGGCATTGTATAAGTCGTGTACAGGGAATTGGTTTCTTTTTTTCTTTCTTTGAACCTATCATTTTCATTCTGTCTTTTAAAATTTGTTAGCCACACTTCATCATCCTGTCGGTTCAGATCATCCAGTGCCGTATTGTAAAAGTCATCGTTTAAATTTGTATCTTCATATCCATCCTCTTCCCACGTATCCCAGTCATAATCCTGTCCGATCTCATCAAGTTCGATATTTTCAGCCATTGTTTATTTATCACTTAGATCCAGCGATAATTCGTGTTCGTAAAATCTTCCTTGAATTTCACGATCGTCATCGTCAGGATCTATAAGTTTATACATGTTTGGATCACCACGAAATACTTCCGACACAACATAAACATCGTCGGTATAATTCAGAGTGTATCCTTTTACAAAAGTATTGCGATAAATTTGATCTCGGACACAATCTCCAACTTTAAATTTTGGTTCTGGAAAATGAGATAACGGATAACCGTAAAGTTTTACCCAGACTTTATCTTTATTGGTTTCGTTCACATCGGCAGGTTTCATATCGATCGTACGATGTTTGGAATGATTATACGACGCAACAAAATTATCCAGGACGTCGATCCATTTTTTAGATTTGGTCGTAAATTGCTGTTCGGTAAAATATTTCCACATTCTTGTTTTTAACGTCCTGTTAAATCTTTCGACGACCGCTGCTTTTTTTCCAGTCAGTCGCGTTGAAAAATAATGAATGTCGTGTTTTTCCAGTAACGCTTTAACTCCATTATTGTAAAATTCTTTCCCTTCGTCAAACTGAACGACTTTTGGATAACGTCCGAATCTTTCGTGAAATTGTTCCAAGATTTTTTCAACGGCCGGAACCATATCTTCTGTTCCTTTTCGCTTGGCGGGAACGGCAAATGCGTAACGACTTAAAATTTCGATGGATGTTAAAATCCATTTGTAACCTTTATTTGCATGACTGTAGGTCTGCATATCTACCAAATCTAATTGTAAGTAAGGTTCGTTGCGTTTTAAAATGAACTCGCGTCGGTTTGTGAACGATGTACGTATTTTGTGTTTGTAACCATTTTTTCACTTTTTCACGCGTGACGCCGGGAATATTTTCTTTCACTGCATCCCGATAAAGTTTTTCCATCGACATGTAACCGCCATTGATGTTAAAATACAGTTCGCGTAAACCAAGATCCAATGTATCCATAGTTTATAATAAATGAAAAAGATTACAGTTTTTATTCGGGACGGAGAGACTACAATGAAATTACAGAGTCCGTTGATTCTAACACCAGCATCCAAACTTTACGTAAAAACAGGCGCCTTATTCTGGACATACGAGAATATTCGAAAAGACGACAATAATTATTTTTCCGTCGATAAGAAAAAAGTGATGTTGAACAACGGATACTGGACGTTTAAACAATTACGTCAAAAATTAGAAAGTCACGGTCTCGTCGTCGAGGATTTTCCCGACGGGCGAATTCAAATAAAATTTGGAAAAAGTGTCAAATCTTTTAATCCGTGGAAATTAGATCGTCTGTTGGGATACACGACATTCTCAGAATTACATCCGAGTCAACATCCCGCGGATATTCACGAAGGATTACGTTACGTCACGATCGGTTGTAATTTAGCAAACCGATCTCAAAATATAAATCCCGACGGCTATCCGAGTAGTATCATATCGTCCCTTCCCATCGATGGAACGAAACCTTTATTCGGAACGACAACGAAATACAACGACATCGAAAGCGAAGTGCAGGCCGATGCGGGGATTTATCACGAACTTCATTTCGACGTAAGATCCAATATCGATGGAATTACACCATGCAATGCTTTAATGGATTTGTATATCATCTAAGAAATAAAGATGGAAGGGGAAGAACAAGTTTTCCGTGACTATTACGGAAAAAATTATGAGAAGGTCCGGAAAGCTTATCCGTTAGAAATTCAGAAACTTAAAACTAATTTTCTTCAAAAATATCCAAATGCTACATTATCCAAGTTTGGATTTAACGTGACGTTTACAAAAGATGGAACGTTATATTCGACCGGAATTTTTTACCAGTTACGATATTACGTCCGAAACATTTTTAGAAAATCCGGATTGGGTCAAATATTTATATTGGAAGGATGGACGGCGAAATGTTAAATCCGATATGATATTTCGTCCGAATTTAGACTTTGCCGTAAATTTTTACACGTTTTCCATTTATGTCTCGGAAACAGATTCTTTTCCCGTGGACTTGGAATATACAAAACCCGAATACACGGGAACGGGAAATTTTGTAAATTTAATCCCGTTCGACTATCATCAGAATTCTTATTTTCGATCGTTAGCAGCCTGTTACATCACAACATTTAAATCTGGGATTTCCGAAAACCATTTGAATAATACGTTGTCCGATTCACATTTGATCACATCCATCGTCAAATTTCACGTTCATTATCAGATGGAGAAATTCATGAAAGATTCAAGATTAATGGATCATTATTTAAACGAAGACGATCTTTACATCTTGAAAAAATACATGCCGACGATCGAAACGTGGGAACGACGAACGGCAATGTCGCATGCTAACATCGGAACGTGGTATTATGGATTACCTGCCGATACGCGACAGAAAATTCGAAATCATCATTACGTTCGCACCCGGTATGGTGGAACGTACATCGCGTACGACTATTTAACGAAAAGATTTCCAAAAAATGTCACGGAAGATTATAAAATTTTCATTCCAAAAACATCGCATGGATTAACAAAAATTGGACAACGGTTATTTCAGCAGAGTCTGGAAGTTTACGTCTATGCCGTTCTCGGAGCACAAGCAAAAACTCGTTGGAGTATTACGGGACAAGGTGCAAAAAGTTTACAGACCCAAGATGTGTTTCGAAAAGTTTTAAAAGACAGTATCGTTCAAAATGATATCACAACGATCATTCGCAACATGCGTACGGCGATCGCGGATACGAACGTCGTCTTAAATTTTGCGATCATGCCGGGTTTAATTTTAATTCCGTCCGACATGCATTACAATAATATTTTAACGATGGCACAAAGTGACATGACCTTTGGAAAAAATGACGAGGTGAATTTTACAAAGTCTCCTGTAAAACATTCGGTAACAAGTCCCGTGAAAAAACCAACGAGTCCCGTGAAAAATTTTGTAACAAGTCCCGTAAAAAGTCCTGTGAAAACTTCAACAAGTCCTGTGAAAACTTCAACAAGTCCTACGAGTGATTTCACAAAAAATTCACAAAATCCATCCACTTTGAAAATTCTAGCTGTTGCATCGATGGGAGTTGCTTATTTTCTATTCAAATAAATGAGTATATTAATGGGATACGACTACTTTGACAAATCCGAAGACTTGAAGAAAAAAGTAACGGAGATCGAAAAAAAACAGCAAGATAATACGGCCGAGATTCAAAAGAACAAGACCGAATTGATCGATCTAAGTGAAGTTGGAAGAAATCCACCCGTTCAGATCGATCTTGTACAAAAGGCCGGATTTCCGCCTGGATTTCTTGAAAGTGCAGTCATTTCCGAAACTAACCGAAACGATGCAAAATTCATCATCTTTAAAGTAAGTGGATTTGAAATTAATCAGGAAACTCAATCTCCAGCGTACGGATTTCGTACGGGAAATACTGGAAACGTCGTCATGTTTTGTGAAACGCAACGCAGCACGATCGTTCGTACGATGTTCACGTTCTTTTACATGGCAAATAAAATTACAGTTTACGGATTAAAATTTAGAGATCTTGGTGCAAGTGGAAAAGCGACCGTTCGAAAAGGTGCAACGACTCTTAAATGTTTGCTGGTGACTTAGAAAAAAAAAATTTTTAAGATCTTTTTCATCTTAAAAAATTCGCGTCAGCATATACCCACCGCCCACACCTAAAATTCCAACCGTCATCGTTAAATATTTTTGCATTTCATCCGACGGTTGATAATAATCTTCGAATTTCGGTTTACGATCTAATGCATTTAAATCCTGTTGTCGATTATAATTTCTTAATGCATCCAATGCTTTATTCGTCTCTTCGATATCGTGATTCGCATCTAAGATTTCCTGCCGTCGTCGTAATTCTTCGTTCCGTCTTTTCACTTCGGATTCGTAAAATTTTTCTTTCGCAGCCGCTAATTCTTCCAACGCACGATTATGTCTTTTCACTTCTTCCTTGTACCCGTTTTGATTTAGGTGGGAAAATAAAAATCCCGCGCCCGCATTGAATAATCCACCGACTACTAAATTGGTTGTCATCTTTTTTTTATTTACCGATTGTTTTTGGAACGTAACCTTTGTCTTTGAGATAGGCCACGGCAAACGAACTTCCCGCCACGGCAACACCAAGTTTCATCGCTCCTTCTAACGTCATCGGTGCACCTAAACTTTTCCCCACAATTGTTTTCGCCGCGTACGAAATTCCAACGACTCCGGATGTTAAAAGTGCAGCATCGTACAAATCCTGAACGAGTTCCTTTTTAGTATCAGACATTCTCTCTTTTATTTCTTAAGTGAAAGAAATAAAAAAAAATTTATTGTTCTTTAAGTCTTTTTATCATCTTTTTCTTTAAGTTTTTTTATCATCTTTTTCTCTCCTTCGTCTTTTTCCAGAGGTGTTAAATATGTTACGACAGGTAAACTCACCACAACGGTAGGAATCGGAACCATCATACTTTTTCCTATCATCATCCCTACGATAGCTCCTACGCTGCATGAAATGCTAACAATACCTGCGGTTAGTATGGTAGCACGGATTAAACCATCAGAAACCTTGTCCCCTGTCGTATCAGACATTCTATTTTATTTCTTTGAGAAAAGAAATAAAATTTTTTTTTTTTTTTTATTGTTCCCTAAGTTTATTATTTTCAAGTCAAAAGTCGTTCGTTTTCATCTTCGAGTTCGTGAATTCTTTCAATCTTTTCGACTAATTCTTTTTTGAGATCCTGTACTTTTTCTTCAAATCTGTCTCGTTCATCTTCAAGATCATCCCGTTCTTCTTCAAGTTCGTCCCGTTCTTCTTCGAGTACATCTATTATAACTTTCATACACGATACTTCGATCCTAAGTTCTGTGGCCTCTTTTTCCCGTTCGTAAACCTGAAATTCTTTTACTTCCAATTCTTTTTTAGTCTGTCTGATTTTTTCTTGAACAACTAATCCACCTTTTTTCCCGGATTCAACTCTCCTCTTATCTTTAACAATATTCCCCTTGTGAACAAATTCACTCCTTGCTTCCACCTTCTCATCATCGACAAGTTCGCGTAATTTCATATCATCGATACCTTTTATCGTATTCAAGACTCCCGGTAGCGTATACGTTCCCGTTTTTCGGATAGACGGAAGAACATGTTCAAATACCCACCGCTGAAAGTTCTCGGCGGCAGGTAATTTCGAACGGGATACAAGACTGTATAAACCGGGTTCGGTAACAAACACCCTGTTGGGTTGCTCGCCACCGGGTGTGTGAAGGGGTCCCTGAAACGAGGACCCCTTTATATTTTCAAGTGTGGTCCTCATCCATTCTTTAGTATGTCTGGTAACTGCATTCTGTGTCCTAATGTATCCGAGAGCAGCCGCCAGTTCGCCCACCGCAAAATAAAACGTATCGCTACCATCGTCGGACCGAATGGTAGTAACTTCCCTATTCCCAATCAGTGCTGAATTCCTTAGTACTATCATCTCCATTTCCCTTTATTAATTTATGAAAGGATTTCATAGATTAATTTCGATTTGTGTCAGCCCGTACACCGCCGGGTAAATTCATTACGGAACAAATCTGGACTATCGCGTTTTTGCGAGAGTCTAAATATTCCATCACACACGGAAGGGGTACGGTTTGTAACCATACCCCTTGTCTACTAGTCAAACAAGTCGTCGAACGGTTCTTTCGGCGGATCCTTTTCCACATCGTTGTTATTCTCGTAGATAATTTCATCCTGTTTCACAGGTTTTTTATCATCACGACTTTTCCACGTCAGATACAACGATCCTAATCCGATTCCTAATCCAAATAACATACATAATTTTTCGACGGAAATCCATCATCCTCCACCTTCCGTCATACAACTTTCGCGAACTTCTGTTTTTAAATTTTCTTCCAACCTTGCTTTTTTCGCAGCTTTGGCCTGCTGACTAATCTTTGCCAATTTTTCCCCCGCTTCGACTCGACGTGGATCCTTGACTTTTTTCGGTGGGTCTAAAGGTTTGGTAGATGGAACAACTGCCGGATCTGAATTGCCTATCGGTTCTGTCATTTTCTTTATTGTATGGAAAGAAAATACTTTAATTTTGTTTAGCTTTGTTTAAAATTTACTTGCGAGATTTCATAGAATGAATGTAAAATTTACTAGGATTTTACTCGCGAGATCTTCCGGATCAATCTTGAATTTTGTTGAAAGTTGTTACCAAGACTTACTTGTAAGAAATTTGAGAACAGTCTTGAATTCTGTTGAAAGTTATTACCAAGACTAATACCTGATATCCTTATGTCCATGTGCTAGCGTGTGAATTCCATCCTCACAGATATGACGTTTATCATCGTCGGCCGATAATGCAACTTTTATGATCCTTTCCGTACGAATATAATGATCGTAACTTCGAATCACATCCATTTCGCGTCGTTGTTTTTCTCCCGTGAAAAGACAATCTTTAAAATCATCGTATCACAGCGTTTTTTTAATCGTTGCTTTTTTAATTCCCTTTGCCCTTTTCCCCTCCTTACCATCTTCCAATTTATAAGCATACAATTTTGCACGTAATGAAACCATTCCGACGATCTGGATTGCCTCCGTTTCAAATTTCATCTTTCCCCGAACCTTCTTGTTTTTTCCACATGGAATTCCCGACGGATGAGATTTTGGAAAGTTACTCGTATCAAACCATTCGCTCACGTCGTTTGAAATATCTTCGAAAAAGTTGTTGGTTTTCACGTGTAAGATGAATGAATCCGTGTCCGTATACAAAAGTCTTACATTTTCACCAAATTTAGGTTTTAAATAATCGTAGAAAAATTTATACATGTGAATCTTACTCAGATCTAAAACTGCGGCTCCCACGTAAATAGGCTTATTTAAAAAAATCTTTATCCTTGCCATCCTAGACGCTACCAGATCTTCCGAAAATATCGTTGCCTTTTCAAAATTCCATTTCCTTGCCAACTTATTCCATTCCTTTTCGTCGTTGACCAGTTTAATATCCGTGCGGTTTCTTACGTTCTCCATCGTCTTTCCAAAAATAGCGTTACACATCAACTTGTAAAAATCTTTCTTGAAATCTGTCGTCGCTTTTTTACGAAGTTTGATATTCATGTGAATATATTCGGCTAACCATGATCGTTCTGAAAACATAACACCATTATGAATTTCCAACAATTTCAAACCGTGCTCCAAATAAAATTTTAAATTTTTCACATGAAGAATATACCTTTTCTTATCGTTTAGATTCGGTGCAAGTTTCATACCACCGCTTTCCGTTAGTATCCTTTCCGGAGCAAGCGGATAGTCGCTATGAAGATCGTGAAGTTCCTTCTGATATTCCAGGTCCACTTCTAAAAAACATCCTTTTCCTTCCGGAAGACGATCCCATTTTTCCTTTTCTTCTTCCGACATCCATTCAAAGTCGGCGTAGGGTAACGGTTGTGTCATGACGTGAGAATACAAACCGTTTGCATCCAAGTACGGAATGAATACGGAATCATCCTCCTTTCCATGATCGCTAAGACATGTTACCCATCGCGTCAGATTCTTTTCGATGTATCTCATAATTTTATCGTCATCCTCCTGACTATAATCCCATAAAAATTTACAGACATCATTCTCGAATTCTAAAACCTTTTCGCGAATATCGGTTGGATCCTTTCTGATTTTTAAATTTAGGTCACGCATTAAATTTATGATACCTTCGGGAATTTCCGAAATATCAACATATTTATTGTCGGCCGTTGCGTATCGCATTACCGACGTACTTATTCCACCACGGATTCCATTTTCGATAAATCTATACATCTGGGGCTAATTAACTCTAATTTAATTCTAGTCTTTTTTAATGCTGCATCCCACGAAAGTCCCGGAGCCGTATAATACCACGGTGAATCCAGCCCGTATGTTTCGCGACTTTCCTTCCGAAAGTTTTCGATCACGTCTGATAAAATTAACGTGTCCGTTACCAAGTATAGATTGTGATAATCCAGCATGCTTTTCATTCCGAACGTCTTCCATACTTTTTTAGCGCGTTCGTATTCCTCGTCCGTAACGTCTTCCATTTTTAATCCGTTGTAGAAAAATCTTTTTGGTGGAAGACGACTCATGTCAAGCTTTTCGTGATCGTCCATGTACTCGTAAGGATAAACTCCCTTCTGTTTTAATAAATCCCGCTGAATCATTGTATATCCCATTTCGTCACAGTATCGATCCAACTGAATAAAATCCGTCTCTTTTTTCAATCCGCTCGCTAGTTTTTCTAACGATGATTGCATCAACTTACATGAATCCAAGAACCGAATTTCCACCTTCTTATTATATTCTTCCCCGGTTTCCTCATCTGTAAACGGACCCACCCAAATCATCTTTGAAAAAGAAATATAATTCTCTTCCGTTTTTGAAATACTTTTAAACCTACCCGGAATTCTCGCAAGTGCGCGAATAATTAAATGTGCGTCGTATCCCTCGAGATTATGAAAATAAACCGGAACGAATCCCGGCGCTGACATTTCAAGATTACATGCGTTACATGCGGCACCGCGATATTTTCCCGTAAAATGACAATGATCTCGTACTTTTAAATTTTCCTCGGAAAACTCAGAATCACATACGTAACATCTCGTCTCCGATAGATGAAATTTTTTCAAGTCCTCGGTCATTTCCTCCATGGGAAGTGGATCGTGGGTGTTCCGAAAAAATTTGCGTACCTTTGCAACAAGATCGTCTACAAACCTATCCGATATGCATTGTAATTCGTGAACTGATGTTTTCTGAACCGTTTCCGACTTCATTCTATCCTCGTTCTTACTTACAGTATGAAAACAATAGGAATTCATCACGTGATCGTGTAAATGTTTCCTACCCGAACCTTTTAATTTCTTCCTATTAATTCTTCCGACCTTTTCTTTTTTCTTCAAAAAAGATTCCGTATCCGCACTGATTACGTACGGATGAACTTGTGTCCTTCTTACTCCATCAAACTCGCAGACGGATCCCTTATCAGGATACTTACCCACACCTTTTTCGTTCTCCTCCAAACACATTTCCAGGTGTTCCTTTAAAAGATCCTTTGGTCCAAATCCATCCAGGCACTTATCGCAAAAATACTTTGCATGCTCATTTTTTGTCACCTGAGATCTGATTAATCTCGACATATTCTTAACGACATAATAATGTTCGTCCCATAGAAAAAGCCGGATCACGGTTGCCCCACCCGACGAAGAAGATCTGCTGATCCTTATCGGATGAAAACCATCGGTTTCGTCCCATGAAAACACGTTGATATTCACACCGTTGTTTTGTTCAAAACTAATGATAGATTTTCCTTTAACCGGTGTCGGAAACTCAACATTTTTCCAGTTTAAATTCTCCGCCTGTTTACGAAGTTTCTTTGAAATTCTCTCGGAATTTATTTTCACCGGATATAACGCACGGGTTACTGCCCATTTAAAACATTCGTCGTCTGTATTTTTCATATTGATCAATGCATGCTTTTTTCTTATAAAATCGGGAAGAGAATCCAAACATCCCTTTCCCCTGAACAGAATAAATTTTCCAACGTGAATATACAAACGCTGAACTCTTTTCAAAACAAAATTACTTCCACCTTTTTGATAACGAGAAAACTCCAACAAAATCTTATCCTTCATCTGTTCCCAAATCACAACCGTCAACGTGTCGATGCCGTGAAGCTTATAATTTCCTGTTATAAAACTTGCCTCCTTCAACTCCTCTCTTCCATCTTCCAATTCCTTTCCCATCAAACAAATTAATTCTAACCTAATATTTCTCGACGTTCTTCCGCGTAATCCATCCAAAAGTTCCCGAACTCTTGGTCTGACAAGTTCCAGAAACGTTAACACATCGAAAGCAGTTGTCGGTTCGATCCTATATCTTTCCACCATCCCACGTATTGCCGAATCTTCCCGAAACGGCGTCAACTCTAAATATCTTGCTTCCGCTTCCCTTTTCTTCCTACGTCTTGTTCTTTCATACTCATTCCTACGTAGTCTACGTTCTCGTTGAATAACCGTCTCGTTCAAATCGCGAAGACGTATTTTTTCCCTGCTGGCTTTTTTTTTCTCTTCGCGAACGCGTTTTTTTTCTGCTGCCCTTTCCCTGTTAATTATTCCGCGACAACGTGCCTCTTCTCTCTCAATACTTTTTTCCCAACTCTTTCCTCCCTCACGGGTTTTTTGTCTCGCCTTTTTTTCACGAACCTCTGATTCTTTCTTCGATCGTCTTTCGTTATCAAGAAATACATCATGCATTCGCCTTAAAAATGGAAGGTTATCCTTACTACTGTATCTACTCATTTATTATACAAAAAAATTCCCATACTTCGAACAAGTATGGGAAAAAAATGAATGAGTAGATATAGTAGTTCCGAATAACCTTTTACTGTTTTGTCTCTATTTATATAAGATGTTGATAAAAAAAAATTTTCAATCTTTATAAACTGGTCGCGGATTCCTCTCTTACTCCGCTGTAGTATATCGATCGGGTACCGCCACCTTCCCCTTCACAAATGCCCATATCGTAAACGGTTCCACTGTTATCCTACGGGTAAAATACCACCGACTCATTGCAAGCCATCGGTAATCAACATGGTGATTCCATTCAATCGGTTTCGCCCTGAAATCACTATTTTTTCTTGCATCCTCTACCAAAATCTCCTTCAACAGATTTCCGCATATTTGTCATAAAGTTTAAACCTAACCGACTCAACTCCCTTTTCATTTCTTTCGATGTCATTACTCCGATCGCGGAAATCGTGGGCGGTGGTTCTGCTATCTCTTCCCTATACCTTTTTAAAAGGTGTGATCTCCTAGGATTATAATCGTAAGGTGCACAAATTTTTTCCAAGATTAACCTTAATTGTTTTACATTCATCGGCTTCGGTTTTACTTCCCTTCTTATCACTTCTCTCGCTTCGATCAATGCTTCCTCTAATTTTAACATTATCCTATTTCTCAACTCAGCATATTTCCTCAATCTTTCCACAGCTTTTCAGGTTTTCCGATACGGATGTCTTCCACATCTCCGATAAACGTATAATCCGGATTGTATGCGCTGTCCCCATAAAAAAATCCTATACACTCCTTGTTGTATTCCCTCTGTCTCTTTCGTTCTGACGCAAGTCTTTTGATTTCCGAACCGAAACGTTCTTTTTTCAAACTCATACTCTTTCTTTATTTACTATACATATAGTTCTTTTTAAAAAATCACTTTCGTGAAAAAAAAATTTTTAAAAAAATTTCTTCGAAAAAAACTTTTTTTCCAGACTTGGAAAAAAATTCTTTTCGAGACTTTGAAAAGACTTGGAAAAAACTTGGGGAAAAACTCGGGGGAATTGGGGAGAAAAAATCTGGAAGACTTTGGAAAAAACTTAGGAAAAAAAGACTCGGAAAAAAACTTAGGAAAAAGTCCATTTTTGAGTTTGAGCTATAACCGCTAGATTGACCCTTTTTATGCGCTTCCTGATTTGTAATAATCGAAGGATTGTACGAACCTGGGTGACCAGAACTGTAGACAAATCGTCGCTTCAGATACTTTTCTCTGTATCTTGCAATATATATACAAACAGGAACTGAGTGTTCAATAAGCTGTATCCTTTTCGTGAGAATTTTATTCGGAGGTAATTCAGGTTCCAAAGGCAAAGAATAATCAACCACAAGCAAACAGTAAGTTAGAACGACGCCTAGCAGTTTTAACGCCAACATTTTGTTTGGAACCGAAGCAAAACACGTGTATTCACAGTGTTTCTTAAGTGATATGGAATTTCAACAGTTATTTGAAACCAAGTGTGACACCTTGGATAATGCTACGATATGCTACAAATTTTAAATAAAGTGGTCAATGCGATTAACACCTCTTGACATTATTGCATCATCAAGGTTGAGATCTGTTGTTTGTAACTATGTTTCCCTGGTTGGAAGTGGCCTCTGTAATTTTGAAACATGCAAATCAGACATTTAATATTTTTCTGGACTACGCAAAGAAAAGTGCTATCCGCGCTATATTAAAATCAGATATGTAGGAAAAATTATTGGGGGGGCTAAAGCCCCCCCGCCCCCCCCCCCCCTGCTCCACGGTCCCTGAACCATGAACAATCGATCACCAAGCGTTTTCTTTGATTTACCCCGAGGATATGATAACAAAAGGCCATTGTTAGAAGTAAAGTTGTAAAAATATTGCAAAATTTGCACAAAATACAAATTTATGGCATTTTAAATCTTGTATAACTTCAGCTGGATAGGCAAAATCAAGATAACTGTTTAATGATCTATATTTTAGTTTTTTCTAAGCTTTCCAATAATGTAGGTTACATTTGCCTAAAAATTATTTCAAAATTTCAACATTCTGTCCACAATGGTTTTCTATAGGTAGAAGTAAGAAAAACTCGATTTTCACTATGTTCCACAGAAGGGATTTTTAAAATTTTTATTAAAACTGTCTGTACCAGTGTAGGTAGTTAACTCTTGGCGAAGGGCCTTCACTCGAAACATCAAGTTTCTGCTTATTTTTTAAGGTAGTAATATAACCACTCAGCACAGCATTTTTTTTATTTTTAGTATGTTAATCAGAACAACTTTTCTCACACTTTACCACTGAAAACAAATCTATTGCGATTACTTTAATCAGGACCATATGTACTTATAGTGATTTGACTGGACTACCAGTAGAAATGGGAGATAATTTTGTACAAGATATGAAAGTTTTAGAAAATCTTATAGAATAGCAGCACAGGCATTTATTGTTTAAAATGGTATTCTTGACAATGTGTGCATGCTATAATTAGTTTTCTTTTACAAATAATACCAGACAGCTTGGGGCCGAATTTAGATAGTTTATAGGCCAAAGCCACCTAGGTTTCAATATCCAGTGAAAAGAGGAGACAATATTGTACAAGATATAAAAGTTTTGAAAAATCCTATAGAATAGCAGCTAAGAAATTTAAGTTTAAATTGCTATTCTTGGCATGCTACGTTCAAGACCCTGTTGAAAATATAAGAAACCATTAGGGACTGCTCATTATTTATTGTACAGGGGGAGACTGAGGAGAAACTCTACAGTTATAATATTTTTCATTGCCCCCCTCTTAAGACAAGTAAAATATTCAAAGCCCCCCCCCCCCCAACAGGCAAAAACATAAATTTTAACAACCCCCCTAGCTCTTTATCTTTATTTAGAGAAACAAAAATAGATAATGGGGACCAATAGACAATTCCCATTATAGACTAAAAAAGTATATTCCCGGGAAGGGCATACTAAAATTAATAAAATTGCAAAGTTTGGTTGTGAAATGTTGTGAAATGTAGAAAATATATAGCCTTCCAAAGTTTGCAAATTTTGTATACTTTTGTATTGCAATTTTCGCATGCAATACAAAAGTATACAAAATTTGCAAACTTTGCAAGGTTATATTTTCCGTATTTTACAACATTTTGCAACCAAACTTTGAAATAATTTACTTATTTTAGTATGCTCTTTCTAGCAATAGTGTTTTATTTGCATCAAAGCCGGATTTTGAGGGGAGTTGTGGAGAGGTGCGCACCTCCCCTGAGAATTTTTGCACCTCTCCTGAAAGGTCATGCACCTCCCCTTCGGAAAGTTTCAATGATGGACCAAAGTGAAAATGTGATGGTTGCTTAGGATCTACACTTCGTGACAGAAAGTTTTCTGTGTAAAATTGAAACAGTGATAGCCATTCATATCTGTGTCAAGTACATTTTTAATGCAATGTTTTGAAAGAAACTTTGTAGCAATTGTAATGAAGGGCAAGATTGGGGTCATACATTCATAATTCATTAATACACTGGTACATATGTACACTACATGCATACCTCACCTTGTTGATATTGGCCTGTTCTACAATTAGCCCTAACTTTCCATGGGGGTTGTCAGCTAGACCGCTGCACCTCCCCTAACATTTTTTCCACCTCCCCCACTATTTTCACCAAAATTCGGCCTGGATTTGCATCTCTTTGCCTACAATCCTGATCAAAAATATTGGCGCACTTGACACTGACTGGGCGAAATTTGACTCTATTTCATACATATATCCTTTTTTAGAATTTTCACTTTAATCATACTTAATCTAACAACATTATGGGCGGGTGCACATTTTGAAAATTATAATCGGATGGAAACAAGTATTTAAGCCGTAATTTGTGGTCTTGTATATATTTCACAAGTTACATTTGACGACTGAATAGCTTGTGGACATTGCTTTGCTAAGTTTGTTTTAGATTACAAGTTATAACTAAATCGCATTAGTCATTGACGTAATAAGCACTTACAACCTATAATGTTTCACGCCCAGATATGCATAACATAAAGTCATAGTCCATACATTACTCCATCAAAAAATTAATTGTAAATCTATTAAATTTTAATATTTGCAAATAATATAACGATCTTTGATAATGATATTTAATGGTCAACTTATTTGCTTCGAAATAAATAAATTATGACTATATCTTGCATGATTTTGAACAGTGCTCCCCATTTTCCTAAAGAATTCAGTGAGATAGTCAAGGAATTTAAGCTAGGTTTGTGGAGTACTGTTCTTAATTTAGCAATAATGACCTAAATAAGATTTTGTAATGAATAAATGCATTTATTCAAGTAATGCAAACCACTTTGTGTATCCAAAAACAAAAATTTCTGCATCCTTGGCAAGTAATTAGGAAAAATCAAGGGAACACTGTTTGTAATTTTGCGTTGCTGCACCATTGGAGTCCCGCTGTGAAGATGTGTAATTGTACTTAGCATTTAATCTACTTGCTGACAGGAAGCTAAAAAATGGCTACACCTATTATGATCTATACTGCCCTTACTCTGCCTTGAATTACTATATATAACAGTAAAAGGTAGAACTCCTAGTATTTTATGCAATTTCCTCTTGCTTTAAGAACAGCATGTAATTGACTTGACAGGCTTGAAATAGCAGGGGCGGATTTAGACCGTTGCAACCGTAGCATATGCTACGGTCAGATTTTCCCCGAGATATATTTTTCCAGGGTGTACCTTTTTTAAAGTTATTAAAAACTAAAACGTTATACTATTTTTAATTGCTGATATTTTCAATTTTTCATTGAAACTTGGTGCAATTTTTTTCAAATTTACTAAATCATATTGATACAATTTTATCGAGTTTTTATTTCATTTTGGATAATTAAATTCGGGTTTTTCTCAAATTTCCGCCCGAAATACTGCCTGTATTTGCGGGTTTTGCACTAGTACTATATCACATCGTCCTGAAGTCGTAGCATTTCCTTCATTCTGATTGGCTTGCTTCGTTTAACTGTAGCAAACCAATCATAGCGCCGTGTTTGGAAATTTTTGCAGTGGTCAGATTGAAACTGACCGTTGCAAAAATTTGCAGCAAATACGGCGTGCTGATTGGTTTGCTACGGTCAGACGAAGCAAGCCAATCAGAATGAGGCAAAATGCTACTGTTTGCAACAGTCGCATCGACTTCAGAGCGATGCTGCCTGTGTTATTGTCATGTCGGCTCCTCGTTGTAATCGAATAGTCGGTAAATTGTAATCGCCGCTCGTTGCAAGGAGAAAGATAAGGCTTCTACAGGACTGTATCACACCACGATCTTCTGTGTATAATGAACGAATGTAACGCGTTTCATTTAACGAAAAGGTGCGTGCGCAAAAGAATTCTGATCGAAAGCTTTTGTTGTGTAATTATTGGCATAATTTGCATTTCCCGCGATGAACAGCGCTGTTTTGAATCACCTCCGTGTCAGGTCAGTCTCATGAATAGTATATTAAATATGTAAATAACATATCGACTTGTTTACACAGTTCATGCGTCTCGAATATATTACATATATTTGCTGATGAGACGTATTATTATAAAAATGCAGAACAATATCAATGGGCACTCACAGTCTCACACTATTTGATAGCCATTGGCATGCCATGTGTGTTTATATTAAGAAATATGTAAGTAATTTTACGGTATATCTTAGACTTTGCTCATGTAATTATTAGTTGTAGACCTGTTGTAGTCTAAAGACTAGCAAGTAGTGTAAATGAAATTTATAGAAATAGTTACACTCCGATATATTATATTGTAGTTTACATGTATACTAACAGAGTTTAGAATTACAACAGCTGAGCCTGCTTCCTGGGATAATGTATCATAAATATATGGTTAGATGTTTCAAATCCATGTAGTGTATACCTCACTTGTATTAAAATTCGCGTCGTATACTCATTTTCGTTCAGCTTTAAATTCACGCATTCCAATTTCGCGAAACCTTGTTCGCGCAGCTTTAAATTCGCGCAAGTAATTTTCTGTGTTGGTTCCTTTTGGTTCGTTTTAATAATAGAACTATAACAACAAATACTTCAATATTTGTCATAACAAAATTCATGATAACAGTAAAGCGTATAAAGTTCAAACCTCAAAATGTATGGTTTTCATTTGCCTAATACAATAACAATAACTAATTTTTATTAGCATCCCATATATTATAGGTTCATACATGGTATTGTCTTACATTATACTATTTACTAACAACGAGTGAATATTACACCGCAAAGCTTTTCGCGTGGATTATATTTCCCGCAGTACTAAAATTTGCGCACCAAGCTCCGCGCGAATTCCTGCAGTACTGCTCGAATTTTAGTACAAAAAACATATACAAATAAAGATTTTTCCTAATTGCCATTGTGCTGCTGTTTCAAGATTATCTACAAATAAACATTTTTCCTATATTAACTTGGAGATCATCTATATACAGTACAGAAAATAATTTTCCTGACTGCCATAAGTTGTCCTGCTGTTTCGGGATGATCTATATATGCTGCTTGGCCAGAAACATTTCCCCTAACTGTCGCTTGGCCAGATAAACATTTTCCCTAACTGTCGTTGGGCCGCTGTTTCAAGATGATGTACATTTGAAAACTTTCGAACTACTGTTATCTTACTTTTTCAAGATAATCTATTGTTCGAAGTGGTATGTTGATGAATAAATTTTGTAACTTTTGTGCGTTTTTTTTCTTATTTTTGTGTGAAAAACAAGGCACTTTTCTACAAATTTTAAATCTAATTTTGATGCTCAGAATGCAGGAAATGGTACTTGCGGGCTTCAAATTTCAAAAATTTTCTTGGGGGCATGCCCCCAAACCCCCCTAGGTAGTAGGGCGTGGCCTTCGGCCCCACATGTTGATTTCATCCAAAATGCTACGGTCAGATTGAGACGCTGAATCCGCCCCTGAATAGTACGATTGATTACATCGGTTGACAGATTTTCCAAGGATTTTAAAACCCGCGCTGAAAAGTCTTGGAACGTTGCTTACGTTATATTATTAGCAATTGCTTCATTCTTGAGACATTTCTTTACCAAGTGAAAGACATTTTCAATTGGCTTCAGGTCAGGCGATCTAGCCGGAATCTTGTGAAATTCAGCCTCGATTTTTTCAATTGCTTTTCGCGCTGCTTTACTCATTTGTGATTGGTCATTATCCATGAAAAACAGGCGACGATCGTCCTTTTTACGTCCACACTTTGCAAAACAAGTATCAAAATGCTTTCCAATGAACTCTGCAAAGAAATTGCCATTCATTTTCTCATAGGGAACTTTGAGAACCACACCTTTCCCATCCTTTCAAAATAGCGACAATTACGATCGCTCGTCAACTTTTCTTGGGCGACCTTGTTGCCTTTTAACTGTTTAGATCTCAGCGCAGCTGGTTGTTGGTCTTCCCTCTATATTCTTGCTACTGGATTATATGACATTTTCTCGCGATCTCCCTATTCGAAAAACCCGATTCCTTTCTATAATAAAGTACCAAAGCCCTTGTCTCTCTGTTATTTTTCTTGTGTAAATCATCCTTAAATGAATCTTATTATCGAAATGTATATTATTCAATTTTATTTTCTAGCCAGCCTCACTTAATATACGCGTACGGGATTATCATGATTCATAGTAACACCCCCCCCCATTTGACGTCATAATTATCAACATTACGATGCGCACGCTAGGTTTTCAATAACTCCCAACAAAATCATCTATAACAAGCATCCCAATATTCATGTAAAAGACGTAAATAATGCTTCGGTACATTCTGAGTCAAAATTATATATGTACATAAATTTTAGTTTCATTTTTATATTCGGACAATCCTGATAAAATATATTGGCGCACTTGACACTGACTGGGCGAAATTTGACTCCCACTTCAATAACAAGCATAGCAACCCCCCTTTCCCCCATTCAATGTTGTCTGTAGTGTGTTATGCGTCCAAGGTGTTACACAATGTGATAAGGGGGATAGGGGGTGTTTGGACATGAAATTTTGCATAAACCATTTTATGCAAAATTTCATGTCCAAACATGGTAATCAGAAATGAAGTAAAGGTTATGCTATTTGGACTAAGTGCACCAAGAATTTTTGACCAGGATTGTAGTTCTAAAATTAGTCCATAATGGGAATTGTCTATTTACATAAACATAGGAGACTTGGCTTCCATTTATAAATATTAGGTGTATAAACATTATTTGTTGTTAAGTTGTTTTGTGATACATTTTTAAAACTGCTGTTTTTTTCAAACTGGTAAATTTTTTCATCTCTCTGTATTTTTTTCAAAGCCCCCCTTTCAGGTTTAAAAAAATTAAAAGGCCCCCCCAGTTTCTCCTCAATCCCCCCCCCCCCTGTACAATAAATAACGAGCGGTCCCTTAGATACTGTATATAATGAATATTATATAATACCTTATTGAATTCTGATCATTTAATTGGCTGTTTATGGTCACATTTTTTATTTATTTTTTTTTACAAACTTAGTCATAAATGACAGGTAAACCCTACAGAGCTTAATGCTCCATTTACAGGGTCCCTAAAATGATGTTGAATAGAAAATTCCATTTCCCAAGAGTGCAATGGAATAAAAGATATAGTAAAATTTTGCACTCTTTGTGTTTTTGATAAATTGCATCCCTCAAAATGCTTCTCATATGAATCTATTAGTCTATTTTGGTATTATATAAAACAAATAATGAATTTTTATGAGTGCAATTGTAAGAATATTTTCATGAGGTGAAATATTTTCATGAGGTGAAATGTCACCTCATGAAAATATTCTTACAATTGCACTCATAAACATTCATTATTTGTATATAAGTAAACCACAGGTCCAAGATGCAGGTAGTGATCCAATTACCTATCACAAAATTAAAATATGTCAAATTTTGATTCTTTATAGGCTGCAGCCACTCACGATTCAATAACCACGGGAAAGAGCAGCCAGATCTAGGCCTTAACTCAGCTGGCTTTGGCAGGTATCTTTGGCAGGTATGGTCAATTTCCGGCTAGCATTTGGTAATTATCGCAATGGTCATTTGCCTCGTAAAGGCCTAGTAGATTTCACAAGTTCTCAAATTAGCCCCATAACTTTGTGATCCGAAATTGATCAGAAACTAACAACTAAAGCAATTTATACTGACCAGTAGTTGTTACATTAACTATAACACATTTTATAACTAAACTAACCTATTATTAGTTTATAAATGTCGCGTTAAATTGTATTAAACACCTTTAAAGGCCTTTAAAGTTGCAACAATTTTGTACACTGATTTATACTCGAAATAATTCTTTTATTTGCAAGACAATCTACTGTTTTGCTTTGAATAACTATATTTGCAAATCGGGAATGATGATTTTGACATTATTGTTGAAGTATTATGGATATACCATTTGTGAACAATTGTACGTTTTATACACTGTACGGGCTAATAATATATGTATCCGTTCTATTTATTTATTGTGTATATGTCTATATTTTACAAACACAGGGCTGTTTCTTGCCAAAATTGAGAAAATATATATTAATGTAGTTGTGCATAAGACAATATTTCATGTATATATTTTGACTCATTTTGAGCTTTCGCTATACTTTGTCAACATAATAATAGTGTTTTTCTTCAAACTTTATGATAAAAAACCCTTAGTAACTTTATGCTACAAATGAGTTTATTTTATCTGTATCGGTGTAAATTCGCTGTTAAGTTGCAAATAATTCTGTTTGAAAATGCAATAATTGGGTATATCCAGGTAGGGCAAATTCAGGGCAGTTTTTGGCACTCGGATTGGAAAAATCTGCTAGGCCTTTTATTTTTTTGCTTGTGTCCATCCTCCACCCCGCCCCCAGATCACCTAGTCCCAGTCTTTTCATGTGAAAAAGCGCTGAATATTAAAAAAAAATAATGAAAATAGAAGGCCTAGGTCTAGGCTGTGGAAAGAGGAGATAAATTTGTACAAGATTATGAAAGCTTAAAAATCCTATATAATAGCAGCAAAGAAATTTATAGTTTAAAATCCTATTCTTCACAGTGTGTGCATGCTAGAAAAGTATCTATAATTAGTATTCTCTTACAGATAATACCGTACAGTTAGGAGCCACATTTCGATTATTTATGGCTGGAGCCACCCAGGATTCAATAACCAGTGGGAAGGGGAGATAATTTTGGACAAGATATGAAATTTTTAGAAACCCTATAGAATGGCAGTGGAGAAATGTATTGTTTAAAATGATATTTGACAATGTGTGCATGCTATAATTAGTATTCTCTTACAAATAATACCGTACATTTTGGGGAATCCTATAGAATAGCAGCTGAGAATTGTATAGTTTAAAATGCTCTTCTTGAGAGTGCGTGCACGCGATAATTAGTATTCTCTTACAGATAATATGGTACAGTTTGCAGACGAATTTCAATTGTTTAAAGGCCAAAGCCACCCAAGATTCAATAACCAGTGGAAAGAGCAGACAAGCTGGTACAAGATGTGAAAGTTTTGAAAAATCCTATAGAAGGGCAGCTGACAAATTTATAGTTTAACGCAAGGGTGTGCACACTATAACAAGTATCCTCTTACAGATAATACTGCACAGTTTGGGGTCGACTTTCAATTGTTTATAGGCCGAAGCCACCCAAGATTCAATAACCAGTGGAAAGGACACAAATTTGTACAATATACGAACGTTTTAAAAAAATCTATGATCGAAAAAGAGTCCACATAAAGTATATATCAAAATGAATATTCTAAAACCTATTTTATCAACACAGCGGCAAAAACTTTCATGTAATTTTTTTTATTTATCTAACTTTGCCTTGGTAACAATATTAAGAAGAAACATCAAATTACTATATATATAAACAAGGCAGGATTTCCGTAACAGCTACAGCCAATTACTGTGGATCCTTCTTCACAATATTCTAAAAATTAGTTAAGTTTACTGAACAGTAAATGGAAAAGGACTAAATAATAAAATCAATCAATCAATTAACGAGCTGTTCAATTGACGTGTTCAATCAACCAACCAATAGATCAAGCAATCTGACACTTATAAAAATATATTTTAATAATATATTTTAATTTTTAAAATTTTTTTTTATTATTGTAATAGTCTAATAGACACTATGAACGATCGAATTTCAGCTCAAACTGTATGCTATTATCTGTAAGACAATATTAATTATAGATACTTTTATAGCGAGCACACACTGTCAAGAACAGCATTTTAAAATAGTTTATGCTTGCTCTTGATTCAATAACCAGTGGAAAGAGGAGACAATCTTGTACAAGATATGAAAGTTTTGAAAGAAAAATCCTATAGAATAGCAGCTGAGAATTGTATAATTGGTATTCTCCCACAGATAATATCATAGAGTTTGGGGTTGAATTTCGATTGTTTATAGATCAGAGCCACCCAGAATTGAATAACCAGTGGAAAGAGGAGACAATGTTGCATGAAATATGAAAGTTTTAGAAAATCATGTAGAATAGCAGCACAGGAATTTATTGTTTAAAATGCTGTTCTTGACAGTGTGTGAACGTTATCAGAGTATCTATAGTTAGTATTCTCTTACAGATAATACCATACAGTTAAGGGCAGAGTTTCGACTCTTTATGGGCCCAAGCCACACCCAAGATTCAATAACCAGTGAAAAGGAGATAAACTTGTACAGGAATGCTTTAAAAAATCTATTACCAAAAAAAGAGCCAGCATAAACTGTATATCAAAATGAATATTCTAAAACCTATTTTATCATAAAAGCAGAAAAAAATTTCATGTCATAGACACTATAAACAATCGAATTTCAGCCCTTATACAACAATTGTTCTCATGGTTAGCTTGATTAAAAGAAATGGATCAAAGTTGGTATGCCAGTCCATGTCAATTTTATTTGAGCTCCAACTGGGCAAGCGTGCAAGACAGTCTGGCAAGCAGGACAAATTTTATCCCATTACCTGGCAATGTGCCCGGATGCATATACTTTAGTATTTTATTCCATTTATAATATTGCCAGATATTAATAGATTAACCTGTGTTTATTAATAATATGGGAAAATGCCTGTCATTGTGTTTGCCAGGATGTCTTGGATTTTTAACCATTTCTAGAAATACCACACAGCTGCTTGTACACAGCCATCTTGTGCACTCTGATTTGTACTCATTTCTCAAATTATAGGAACAAAAACCTTATGATAAGATCAGACTACATCTATCAAAGACATCCTTGATAAATGATATTCGACGTCTTTCCCCACACAAGCAAACCAGTTGTTTGAAAGGGTTCCAAGTGGCATCCAAAAATGTTGTGCTTTTCACGGATGGGATCATATTTTTCTGCGTTGGTGTTGTGTACTCAGGTGAATAATATGTTTGCGATGTTACTCTGAGTGCATATCCACACCGGGCGCGCTTGAAAAATATTGCAGGTATTGTTAATTGACTCGACGTTTCAAGCGAAGGCCCTTTGTCAAGAGTTAGTAGCCAACTAACTCTTGCTACTAACTCTTGACGAAGGGCCTTCGCTCGAAACATCGAGTTTCTGCTTATTTTTTAAGGTAGTAATATAACCACTCAGCACAGCATTTTCACATTGGTACTACCAACACTGGTAAAGACAGTTTTAGTATTGTTAATTGACCATTAGATGGCAGTGCACACAGGTGCACCTTACTTTGGTATCTTACACTGCCTAATGCCAGGGGCCTGTTGTACAAAGGTCGGATAACACTATCCACTGGATAGTGATTTTTTCAACCTTTGTAAAATGCTTAAAAAAGTGTGAAACTATGGATATAGAGGACACACAAGAAGTACAAAAAAAGATTTAACTTATAAATACTAAACTTTAAAGGGGAACTCCAGTCCCAAAACAAGTTGAGTTTAAATAAAAGATTATACCTTTAATAGATTGTTCCTGAAGTATCTCTCTCCAAATCGTTTTAGTAAAGGAGAAATCGCTCATCAACGTTCGCGAATTTTGCAAATTTCGACGCCATGTTGTTCTTTTATGTGCAGGCGCGAATTTGGTCAGTGCCCTTATTGGTGACGTCATTGCATGCTTCTGAAGAACTTCAAGTTCTTCAGGTGAGAGTTTAGATGAATTTCATAGGAATATTTTACAAGGGGGCGAAGTCCTGGGATCCAGTTTGAACCTAGACAAAATACCAACAGCGTCAGTGCTGAATTAGCTGACAATGAAGAAGACCAAAGTATGTCGATTGACGAGGAAGAATCGTTTGTTCGTTTGGGTAATCTTGACTGGTAAAACATCTTAATTTGTGGTTTATATTGACAAATTGAATTTTCGTGTTCTTGAATAATGTCATTCCCAGCATAACTATTTGTTATTGTTAGGTGTTTATGTAAACATTGTCAGATAATGGATAGAGACAAAGAATGCATCTGTTGTCATGAAATTGACCAGGTCGCTAATAAAAATCAAGAAGTTATGGAATACACAAAGCCAACCCTGCTGTGCGTTGGTGTTGGGGAGTAGTTGGGACGAGTTGTTCTTCCATCTTGTGTTGTTAGTTGCATTCGAGCCCACTTTCCACCTCCAGGTGATGAAGATGACTTTGAGTTTGTTGGATTTTGCTTTGCTGATGAATAACTTGATTGTTCTGTGTTAAAAAATGTGAGGTATTTGACATATTTATCAACTTTAATACATAAACTCCCTGTTCATATATTCAAAATGTCTGTCACTTCTGTTTATTACTGAGCCGCTTCTCAATGACATCCTGTTTTGGTGGCTTATGAGTTGGTGCAATACATTTTGCTTGAATTTTTGGCTTGTATTTGAATTTTTTGCCGTTCTTACACAAGATTACATCATTCATCATGCCCTCAATATAGCTGTAGGATTTTGGGGTCTTAATCTCCTTGGCCACCCAGTTCTTTCTCTGCTTGCCACAAACAATCTTGAACCTTTTCTGGCCTTGCTTTGATCCTTTCTTGACTTATGCCTGGGCTCTGTTTACATTGGCATTGTGGTCCAAGACGGCTAGCTGAGTTCGAGCCACCATTCCATTATAACAAAAGTGCTCACGTTTAGGTGCATATTTTGTCATAAGGGAATGGTATGACTCTAACTCACCAGTGTGCTGGAATTCTGTTAGCTTTGCCAGATCTTTCAGCAGCTTTTTGTTTGTGATGACTTCCTCCAAAGCAACATGAGCAGGGGAACCATTTTCAACCCATACAATCTCTTTTTGGTCTTTTCTACTTATTCTAGGGTGGCCACATTTTTTTACTAATGTAAATTCCTTGGAGGCCCTCCAACAGTGTTTACCAGTGATGTGATGCAACAAGGACAACCACTTCTCCCTTAGGACATCTGCATTCTGCTCGCATGTTACAGAGCACCGCCATAAATGGTTGGAAACACTCTGATCCATGGCAGTAACTCTTGACAATCTTTCTTTTTTGCCTTCTTTGACAGCTTTTTGGTCACCCACTTGCTAGGATGCCACACATCATACTGGTGAACAATGTTTGAATAGTTTGTCCTCATCTTCGCTGTGATTGTTGTGTGACGATCTGTTGTAAGACATCGGATTGGAATCTTCTTCTTGATAATTGAATTTAGTGTTCTCTTACAGCCTTCATATTCCATTGCATTAGACGATGTTACCTCTGTCATTTGAACAAGGCTAAATTCAATTATCAAGTTTGTTTTCTCATCCATCAGGATATATGTGCCATATTTAGCAGAATGCTCAGGACTATCGCACTGCCCGTCACCACATACATCCACACTGTCGCTTTGCTTTAACTTCTTTACCAGTGCATTCTGGCTTGTTATCCAAGTATGTTGCACTACTGGGAAAAGAATGGTAGCCTGGGTAGTATAGTAATGGGAGGAGGAAACAAATTGAAGGTTGAGGTACTTGGCAAAGTCTACAGTGCGTTTATAGGTGTTTCCACTGAATAAAATAGCTGCTGGTATCAAAATGTTTCCTGCTGCAGTTCCTTCGATTAGTGGTTGTGATTGCCAGGATACACTATGTCCATTCAAACAATTTGTAGCAATTGTAACCATACTTCCCTGATTTATTTGAGTTGTAGTATCAATGGGACTACCACAATGTTGACAAATTTTGAATAGTTTATGTAACTGACTTTCAAATACAATAATTTTTTTTCCACAGCAGGTGCAGTATCACTGGAATATTCATCATCTGTTTCAGAGTCATCATAAGCTGAAGGACAATATGAAGAACCGGTATCACTCAGAGAGTCATTATCTGCATCATTTGAAGATCCTTGTTTTTTTTAGTTCCACAATAACCTCATTTTGGACATCATCACATTCAACCAATGTCAGTTGTTCTTCAGTCACTGGTGTGCATGGTGTTGTACATGGTTCCACCGTGTCTTTATTGTCATCTGTTGAAGAATTATTATTTGGGCCCAAGGAGTAACTGTGATCTTCTAAATGACATAATTTTTTGATGTCATCAGGGTGTATTTTTGTATTTCCTTGCATGTGTAAATGTTCAGTTTGGGTTCCAACAGTCTTAAATGTTTTGATAAAAGGTTGAACCTGAACCCCTTTATCTTGTGTCATAGTTTCAATATGTCGAGTTGAAGTACAGGTAGTTTGTTAGTAGTAGGGGGGACAAAGTACTCGATTTTTTAGTGGGGGTGTGGGAATTTTTTTTTTAATATAAGATTGTATTAGGAAAAGAGCTGATTCAGCGAAAAAAGTGTTGTGATTGTGTTCCACTGACGGGGGGGTAAAAATGATATGGTGGCCAGTCCCCCAAAATGTCTGGTTTGTATCGCTTGGCCAGTTTAATCGTTGTGCAATAGTGTATTTTATTGGCCATGTGGACCGGATGTGTCTCCGAAGCCCTGGTTGACCGAAGTGATGTATTTTGAATTTGGCGGTGATTTTAAAGTGTCCGGTGTCACGTGACATTGATTGACAGCGGTGACGTCACATCGCGGGGGATCGCAAGGGATAGTAAATTGATCCTGTGGGAATCACGGGGAATAGTAAGGGGTAGGTGGAGATTGTGGGGGATAGTAAGGGATATGTTGGGGGAATTGCGGGAATATTGGGGTGAAATTAATATTTATTTTTCCACATCGTTTTATTGTAAAATGGTTTATTTATTAATATTTATTTATATATATTTACAAAGTGTCGTTTTCTTTTATATTAGCAAGAGTATTTTGTTCTAAATAGTTAAGGTTTTTCAATTTGGTTCTTTGTTGTTTAATAGTTTCAAAAGCTGTTTTCTTATTTTCTGCTATATATTCTAGTGATGCGTAGTGTTTTATATGAAAGCATTGATTGTCTTTGTCGTGTCTTGTTAAAAGTTTAAATTTCTTTCGAATGGATCCGTTACTGCTTAGAAGTTGAACTTCGCGAATTGCAAGTTGTGAATCATCGTCGCTTCCCAAGTCTAATTCGGTTTTTTCAACATGGGTTGCGTCGCGAAGCATGGCTGAATCTTTTGTTGGGCGACCGTGAGGTATTTTGTCGTTTGGGTCACGTTTTCGTTTTCTGGGTTTCGGTTTTATACTTTCGTTCTGGTAGTTTGCTTTCATTTGCTCAATATTTTTTCCACGATGAATGAGTGGAGTAGGTGTTGTTGAGTCGTTATAGGTAGCTGCATCACTCGATGTTATTTCATTTGGTTCGTGGGGATCTTGTTTGATACTTGTTTCGAGTATTTCAATATTATCTATGGTAGGTATAATAGTAGTAGGGTACATTGTATTGTCGGGTGATATTGGGGCTGTGCTTTGTTCGTCGCGACCAAATGTTTCGTCTGCATGATCAGTGCTTCTTGTTGTGGGTTTAGTAGGTGGTTCCAAGGTGAAATTTTGAAATAGGTCTTGATTATACTGGGTTAATGCATCAGGTAGTTGTGTTGAAATAGGTTTTAGTTGTCGTGGATCCTTTGGTGGTGTATTAAAAACATCCCTGTGACGGGTTTGTTCTTCAATTGCTTTCGCATTGTCATAATAATGTTTCCAAAATATGAAAAATGGTTACACAGAACTGGCGGCTGGAATTGTGTGTAATTAACGTAGAGGTCTGCGAATATCGACATATTCACATTTAATTCTGTACCCATGTAGCTTACAAACTGTAGAAATTCCGGTGTTGCCATCTTGAAGTTTGGATATGAAATAATATGTAATTGCTTGTGTGTGTGTTTGGTTTTTTGGGATGTTTGTGTGTAATTATCCTAATATGGTGTTAAGTGACAGCAACTGGTTAGTATTTTTTGGGTGTGCACACGCGTAATTATCCTAATATGGTGTTGAAGGTGTCTGGTTAGTATTTTTGTTAATATAGTTGACAGCGTTATTATTGCATTAGTAGTGTTAGTATCGCTGTAGCAGCGTTATTATCCTTATATGGAATGTGGAATGTTTTTTTTCTAGATGATGAATTGGCAGCATGTGACAGTGATTGTGTGTATGCTATTGTTGTTCTATATATTGTTTGGCGAGAAGAAAACTCTGGAATTATTTTTTTTATTGATAATAATTTTGAAAATTGCTGTGAAGAAAATTTTGTGTATACAAGTAGTACAGTATATGATGATGAATGAACAGGTAAAAAATTATCTAATTAAAGTGTCAAATATTTTGTATATTACATTTGGTCATACTAGTATATGGTGTCCTTCATCGCGAGTGTAATCTAAAATTAATAGTTGTAGTTTTTTAGCGTGTTCTATTGAATAGTCAGAATGTTTATTAAAATATCCAGTTACGCCATGAATGATGATTTCCATTAATTCTTTATCTTGATGGTGTGGACTATCACAGGCTACCATAATCGTAGAATGAGTATGATAAGAAGAATATCTAATCTAAGAAGAATGACTAAAAAGTATGTATTGTTTATTTTTTTAGTGGCAACACGATAAGATTTCTCAATTGTTTGATTGTGTGAAAACGTATAACGAGTCTAACGAGTATGGTACAAAAATGAGTATTACGATTTTTTATGAAGACACTGTTTATAATGATGTATCGACGTATGTGTATATGGGGCGTAAAGTGTATACCGAAGATGATATTATAAAATAAAGATTATTTATCCAAAAATTGTAAAAATATATGCTAGTAGTTGTGGTTGGTTTGATGAAGATTTAATGGCTAGTATATTTAATTATGTAAAAAAGTATTTTAGTCAATGTGAATATAAAATAGAAAATGTTAAAAAAATGCAACACTCGTTTTTAAAAGATTATCAAACATACGGTGTATTAATTTCACCGTATGTTGTAAAAGAAATATGTAAAGTTTATAGATTAATTTAAAATATTAAATGTTTTATAGACCCGGTGAAATAGTACCCTATTTTGAAGAGGATAGACGAATAATTGATTGTTTAGTTGTGTCGTATAATGCAACCCGATGGCCATACATGGATTTTACAGAACCTCTTTGTTTGTTGAAAGAAGATTGTCTATACCGTGTGAAGCATTTTGTTTATTTGGCCGAAATGAAAAATTGCTACGAGTGGGTTCTTGGTGTTGTGGCAGCGGGTGAATTTATTCTATATGATGTTAGCGTGACATATTACATGGACAAATGTATAACAGTGAAATTTGATACCCGACTTTTTCAGGATAGAATATCATATTATATAGAGAAATATTTAAATATAGAATTAAGTGAAATATTAGACGGCGATATTAAAACGTATGACGTAGCTTATAAAATATTGTATTCCAATTTATTAATTTTGGAATTTCAAAAACAATTTAGTCTAAGAAACAAGTCCATGAAAGAACTTGGTTTAAAATATCTTTAAATCATGGCTACTTGTAATTGTTGTGTGTTTAGAATAATTCAAAATTGTGATCTTAAAATGTATAGTCCTTTTAAATTTGTACAATGGGAGGAAAAATTAATAAATATTCAACATGTCGAGATTGACAAGAAAGTGTATGATTGGTATAAACGTTTGTTTTTGCGTAAGATTAGTTATTATGGTGTTTCAAGATGTCTATTCCTATTTGGAGATCGTATACCAAGGCTTGCTAATTATTACATTTATTGCTATGATTATCATATAGATTTGTGGGGTAAACGTATTATGTATATTGCGGTGATTGATTGGTTGGGGCGTGCGTATGTAACAGCTGAGATACGTTGTGCTGTTTATCCTGAGAGGGTTAAAACCCGGGGAACAAAATATATTAAATTGAGCGAGTTGCGTACTGTCGTTTTGTTACGTAGAGTTAGCACATACAAGGATTTGTACGATGCGAACACTGCAAGACCAAAAGTGTTGTCTGTTTTGGATGATTTGGTGACCGTTTTTCTACAACAGTATACATTTCATGAGGATAAAATACAACAGACAGTATTGGATCGTCTCCATGCAGGTGTATTGCTGAGATTGACGCAATTTTTAAAATACGCAATATCGTTACAACGAACAGTGTTAGACTTTTGCCAACGTAATTGTACCTGTGGCGGGTATTCGGATAAATGTCATTGTTTGAAACCCCCTACATGCTTTGAAGTATACCCGGACGCACGGAAATTTTCAAGCGATGAGGTGTTTTTTGCCACCAAAATGTCAGAAGGAAAAGAATCTTGCTAAAATAATGTGCAACGCACGGTCAACATTGTATGGGTACAGAACAATGATTTACGATCGTTTGTATACAGATGTAGACAAATGGTTATATGAAACAGAGTCTATGATTGAAGAATCAAATCGCATGTTAACTATTTATGTAACTTTTAGTCATTTAGATAAATTTGTGTGTACACATAGTTTAGCTATTATTGCTATAAAGTATGGTTATGCTGTGAATGAACAGAATTTTGTGTATAAACGAACGGTAGGAACAAGTCTACATTTTGTACATTGTGAACATGATGTAACAGTTTTTTTAGGTTTTCAAGACACTGTTCGTGCTATATTAGAGAGATGTGTGTATGATGATGTGACTGAGAGTAAAACTATTGATGCATGTGTTGTTGAAAGAGTTGTAGAGCGTACTGAACGATTTTATAGAACGATTTTAAAAAACCACATTTAGTTTATAAATTAATGATTTATTATCAACACATGAAACGTACAATGATACAAATTGTGTTATTGTGTAAAAGTTGTAAATCTAGTACTTTTTGTAAGTGTACTACACGTGAAAAGTTAGAAGAATGGAAATAAAATTTTTATGTTGTACTGTATGAGGCGCCATGTGTAAATATATTATTTACAGCAAAAAACGCTTTAAATTTAATTATATCTTTGGTTATTTGAAATCATTTAAGCACATCCACTAAATAAGAAATGGTTATGTTGATAAAACCAAAGTCATAAAAAATGAGACAGGTTGGTTTTATCTAATAACCGCTTTTGTCATGTTTGGTTATTTCATATAACCAACTTTGCGATATTTGGTTATTTCACAAAACCGATTGTGTCATATGTGGTTATTTCACACAACCAACTTCGTTATATTTGGTTATTTCATATAACCAACTTCGTTGTATTTGGTTATTTCATATAACCAACTTCGTTGTATTTGGTTATTTCATATAACCAATTTCGTTATATTTGGTTATTTCATATAACCAAAAAGTGTATATTTACATTCGGCACGAACACACAATCAGTTGGGTCAGCAGTGTCTTTCTTCATATTTTTGCAACATGAAGTACAGGGATTTTCCCGCCAAGAATTGCTAATTAAATATGGCTACCAACGAAGGACTGGCAAGATTGCTTTCTTCGGCCATTGAAAGAGCGGTAGGCGATGTTCTGGATTCACGAAGAGTAAGTGGCATAAAAGAAATAATATACATACGTGTAGTGTTTATGATTTATCATGAATTTCAAATTTCACTTGCCTTAAAAGTTTTCGTATTCTACAATATATAGAATGTGCAGACTACCAATGAACCTATTAATAGTAATAGTGATTCATCATCACAGAGTACCTCGACGGTAAGCTTTCTCTTATTTCTTGTAAACATGTCAAATGTATCAATATATAATACACACATACATGTACACATCAGTGGTACACATACACACTTTATAAACAATAATACTTTTGAGTATTACGTACAGGTCACTTGGTTGTGTGTGTATAGTCAATTTATTAAAAGTAAAAGCCTACCAGTACACACAATTTCGTCATCTTTCTATTTAATCAACAGAATGTGCAGAATATAAACCAAACATCATTAGCTCGTAACAATCCAAGGGTAAGTTAAACATTTTTTGAATGAGGAATTTAATATAATAAACTTATTAGTTTACTATGTGTTCTTTATATCCTACAACAAAATTATTAGTTCCGGTGGTGAAACTACAGTAGCCATAGCAACTGGTTGTCCATGACCAGTTGCTATGCCAGCCAGTGGCATAACAAAGGAAGAGGGGGCCCTTAGTAATATTTGGTGTGGGGGGGGGGGACTGTGGACTGTTGTCATTGTTTGGCCGAGATATTATATTTATATTGAGTATTTATAGAATGTCAGCTACCGTTGTTGATGGAGCCTTTATTATTTAGCATTATTAATTTTGCATTTTCCCATTGATTCTTTTACCTGCATTTTTTAAATTTTCTAATTTTTCGAAGGCTCTTTATAGTTTTTTAACTATAACCCTACCCAATGAGCATTACGACACTGTTGCTAGCTTTGCCACTGATTAGTTAGCTGCACTGTTATACTGGGTTTCAATATAATTGCCAAAATCAAGAATCATGAATCATGAGACGGGAACTCGTCTAAGACGAGAAACTCATCCAGATATAAATTCGGTTAAATGACAGGTTTTCAGTCTCAACTTTTCCGTCTAACTTTCCCATCTGAACGACGGAAAAGTTATACAAGAACATAGATGGGAAACTCATCTTAAATTTATATCAGATGAATAAATCAGTACGGGTTTCTGCTCGCAAGGTTAAAAAAAGACTGGGATGGAGGGACTCCCATTTTTGCAGGTTTATCTGTCCGATGGATTTTGTTTCATGTTCATACCAGACGGAAATCCGTCACACGAATTTCCCGTCCTAGACGGAAATCCGTCTTCTAATATGAATTCAGCTATTGTGAGATCAACAAAGTCTGTTTTGAATGAGAACAAATATTCTTTGTTGTTTTATGGCTAATGAAAAGAGGTCTTAATTAAATGTCCAGATGCTGGAAGAAAAATGGTTTCTAGTGGTTTTAGGCTGCCCCCAGGCTACTCATTTCAGTTATTTGTACTCAGAATTTTTAAAGAGTGTACAAGACGTCTATTGCAGTTGTTTGTGAAGCTATTAAAAGTCTCTTGAAGTTCATGCTAGTGCGTGATTAGTTCTTTGTAGGATTGCAGGAAACACCATGTAAATTTATTACAGACTGCAAAGCTTTCAATCCTTAAGCCCAGATCTTCATCAGTGCTATTAAGATCCGGGCTTATGGATCGAAAGCTTCGTAGTAATAAATTTTACATGGTGTTTCCACAAACAAACGGGGCCGTACCTAGACGAGATAATTTGGGGGGGGTGCATATTCATATACCGTAAAGTCTCGAAAGTAAGCGCCCCCTCGAAAGTAAGAGCCCCGCGAAAGTAAGCGCCTTTTTCAACACTTGCTAGAGAATCTGGAAAGTAAGCGCCTCCCCCCACCCACCCATGATACCGGTCATATCTAAGTAAAAACTCTTAAATTAAAGAAACTCTCTAAACCAGATGTATACTATGTCATATATACTCTATAACATGGATTTAAAAAAGGCCGATGCTGAAAATAACAACTTGAAAGTAGGCGCCCTTCGAAAGTAAGCGCCCCCTCAAAAGTAAGCGCCCCCTCAAAAGTAAGCGCCCCTTGAGGCCACTAATTTCGAAAGTAAGCAGGGCGCTTACTTTCGAGGCTTTACGGTATTCAGGTTCACAAACCGTAAAAACAATCGTTTTCAAAAGAAATCAGTAGGGCAGAACACGAATATATGAATATGCAAACCCTTATCGCATCTAGTTACGGCCCTGCAAATTCACAAAACGTATAAAGGCCTACACACAGCGGACGCAAATTGGCTACGCGACGCGAATTTTCAATTTTCAATGACATTTAACTTTAATATTTTTCTATGTTTTTCAAATATTTGGATCCACTTAAGAAATTTTAGCTATTTAGTCTGCATAACTTGTAAAATTTTTATCCGTTGACGGTTTTATTTGTTTTTAAAAACTGAAAATTTGCGTCGCGTTGTCGAATCACGTTCAGTCTGTATGGGCCTTTATAGTGCATGATTAACAAGAATATTTAAAACATCCTTTAAGACCTTCCCACCAAGGAGTATTTGAATGTTTCTGTGGACCTCTTTATTACAGCCAAGACAACAGCAGACATTGCCATCAGCATTTGGCCATTGTGTGCAAGTAACACCCACCCCAAGACGAAAAAGATCAAGAACATGTCAGGCAAAGCCAGGGAAAATATATACCAAAGACATTGTGTGTATTCCACCTAAGATCGCCAATAATTCAGATACTTATCCTATTCCAAAAGGCGAAAGTAGAGCCAAATTGGCCAAAATGGGGCTTATTGGGAAAATCTACTTAGAATCTACCTGGAGTGCAGATGAAGTTGAAAATGAAATCAAGAGTGTCTTCCTATCTGCATTTAATCTTCCTAATAATGTGCCTTTTGAGTACACTTACCTTAGGGTAATTGTTTATATTTTAATTTAATTGAAGTTAGTATTGCTCTGGCCTCTGAAACATATCTAATAATAAAGCACCAGTGGTAACAGGTCAGAACAATGGGGGTACTGTTTAGATAAAACTACAGTAACTGTACCAAGTTTTGGTACTTCAAGGAAGTTGTATTTAACGGTTTTGTTTTTATATATATATATATATATATATATATATATATATATATATATATATATATATATATATATATATATATATATATATATATATATATAACAATTCAAGTTTTCTTGATATAGTATAGAGTGCTCAATACTTTATTGTAGAGCTAAATATATTTAATTATTTATGAAATAAAGTACAAAACAACCGTTGTTACTCAGAGTTTCATGCCTGAGTTTACAGACAATCTTCGGACAACTAAAGTTCTGTTCTTTAGTTGAACTTTAACAGAACTTTAGTTGTCCGAAGATTGTCTGTAAACTCAGGCATGAAACTCTGAATAACAACGTTTGTTTTGTACTTCATTTCATAAATAATAAACACTGCCAGGGTAACTCAGCTGTTCGAGATAGAATGTATGTGCTTTGAATTTCTCGCCGCTTATTCTTTTATTTTCACGAAATTTTGTAATGCTTTTACTGTTTCAAAGGACTTACAGTGAATCCTTTTTGTGTTTTGGCGCCATTTCGGCGTCATGCAGCAATCATGCAGCAAATGACGTGGCAAGTGACTCGATATCATATAAACAGAGCGCTTATTTGTCTCGCCTTGTTGGGTAACTCGCCTTGTTGGGTAACTGGCTTCCCTAAATTAACTAAATTCTAAAAGCTTCTAAAAGCTCCCTTCACTAAATTCTAAAAGCTATTAGTTGCATTTTTGCAGCACAATGCCAGGGACCAAGAAGCTTTGTGTGCCACGTATATCATCGTCCTTCAAGTGGAATGCACCAGAAGTTCTCTCCCTCTGCTCACAGGGTGCAATTTATATAGCTTCAAAAGAAAATCCCTTGGAATATAATGGTCTAGAAGATGACAATGTAAATTTCTCACAGTTTTTTAATCTTTTACTTGCCATGTTTTCTGCTTTTCATATAAGGGTAGGTTAGGCAAACGAGGTAATTAATTGGTTTTAGGTTTCATTGCTATGTTCTCCAGTCGTTATGGTTAGGACAACGTAGGACCCACCTGAAACCAACTAATTTGTATTAGTAATTAGTATAATCAATATAAAACGTTTTTACAGCTATTGCATTTTGCTTAGGCTAAAATGGATTTCTTGTTTAGGAAAGTTCAGGTTCTGATAGTGAACTTTTAAGAAGTCCATTTGCTAGTGAGGCTAGATCTTCGGTGTCAGAGAATTCAGTAACCATTACCCCGCAAGAATTAGTTAACAGTGGTGCATCAACATCACGGGAAAATCATAATACAAGTAATCACTACAGGTACATTTTCATTGACTATATTTATTTTGTAAATAGCCAGACTTTTACGGCGGGGGGGGGGGGATTGTTTTGCACGACCAAAAGGGCGTGGCGAAAGTCGTGCCCGACGGACATTTTAGTCGCTAATTAATATTTCTTTTCCCAAAATGTTGGCGGGGGGTGGGGGGTTTTCACTTTCCATTTTTCACTAACTTACCGAAATTTGTACATTTTTCAGTACTATTTTCGTGATTTGTTTGCTGAATTATGAGGCGTGTCGTTACAATTGCTAAAATCGCCAACAATGGGGGTGGGGGGGGGTGGGGGTCGCATACACCCCTGGAAAAAAAATAGCATCTCTGAGTATACCAGTTGTTCTCCAAAGAACTTACGGTGTTTAATTTTATCAAACGTAAACTATAAGAGCTATTAAACTTCACACTTTTGCGTCTAAAACGACTAACATTTTTATCAGCTGGGCTGTTGATTAAAATCACAAATCGGTATTTTGTGACGATGCTAAGAGTTAGCATAACAATGAATGTATACAGATTACTAGTAGATAGTGCATGGTCACAACTATCGCTATTTATATCACAAACTATAAATTTACTGTAGGTCTTATATTGAAATTATTGATGATGAGATGATAGTTTCAAGCGACGAAGAAAGTGCTGATTTGCAAATTGCTATAAGCAACAGCCTTGTGTGAGTATTATAATAACAATACTACTAATGAGCTTTATTTTATAAAGGTAACTCCAACTGTATACAGTATAATCTGTCCATGGAGGCCCTTCTATTCAGAACATCATTACAAGCATCACTTCCGGTGAAATGGCGGATTGTGATTGGTTGAGAAGCATTTTCAGCCGTCCATTATTTCCCTGTAATGGACCGGCGGTCCATTACGTAAAAACAAGCACATGCATTTTAAAACAAAACAGTAAAACTAATTGAAAATTATAATTTAATTTGTTATTAATAAGATATTTGCGAATGGTTTTTAGTGGAAAAGAAGGAATACATTGGTATTTTTTGTTTTCTTCGATCAAATGTCTACCACGCTACTAAATAATAATATGCATTTCAAATGATGGATTCATGTTTGTTTCAAGTATAAATGCATATGAATGCCATACAATAAACTTTTTATTAATCTCGCTTGCTCGGTATGTACAGAGAAATATCAGACCTCAGTCTTTTTGTACAAACCTCGCCCTACGAGCTCGGTCTGTACAAAAAAGACCTCGGTCCGATATTTCTCTGTACAGACCTCGCGTTCGGTTAATAAGAAGTTAGCAGCTAAATATTTAAAAGTTCTTGTAAGATGTTCTGCAGTTCTTTGTTTTTGTAGTAAAAAATCATTTTCTTTCGAGTGTAACTATTGTAATAACTATGTTTGTTAATATTAACTCATTAACCGAACGCGAGGTCTGTACACCGAGGTCTTTTTTGTACAGACCGAGCCCGTAGGGCGAGATTTGTACAAAAAGACCGAGGTCCAATATTTCTCTATACATACCAAGCACATACCAAGCAAGCGAGGTTAATAAAAGTTTATTATATGGCATTTATACTCGAAACAAACAAGAAATGCATGATTTGAATACATTTTAGTAGCGTAGTACACATTTGGTCTAAGAAAACAAAAAATACCAGCGTATTCCTTCTTCTCCACTAAAAACCATTCGCAGATATCTTATTAATAACAAATTTTCAAGTAGTTTTGTTATTTTGTTTTGAAATGCATGCGTTTGTTTTTACGTAATGGACCGCCTGCCCATTACGGGAAAATAATGGACCGCTGAAGGTGTTTCTCAACCAATCACAGTCCGCCATTTCACCGAAAGTGATGTTTGCCAAATAATAAGTCGGATTAATGTATGTTAAGTGTTTAAGTGGATATCGCCTGTCGTGTAAATTTTTTTTAGTATATCTAAAACACAATGGTAAGATATTATTTGAATTGTAAGACCTTGTTGTAAAAAGTTTCTAGAAATATAGGTCTGACCAATCGATTTTAAACATACAGTATCAAATAATTAAGTTTCATGAAGTGTGTGAAAAGAAACAAATTGTGCCTGCTACAAACATTTTAAAATTGACAAACACTTTCCTTTTTTTAATTCAAAGTTGAAAATTGTTGAGAAATCTTAGCATACTAATTACTAGCTACAAATATTAAATAATAGTCAGTTTATTGTATATGCGAAATGTAAAATGATTAAAATCATTCGTCACGTGTTAGCTCATGTTGTTCTGAACCCTACGACTGGGTGGACTGTTGAAATTTTAGACTGTAAATTTGAATATCAACCATAAGGTTCTAAGATATTTTCCTTTTGAAAAGGACAGCTATTGTAATCGTATATACTGTACGTTAGATAATAGTTACTAATAATGCATAACATACACTTCTGTATCTTAGCAGAGAGGATGAAGACACGAGTATTTCCTTAAAATCAATTTTACGAGAGCATATAAAGCAAGAGATGAATGGGATGCCTTCAAGTGCCGATGCCCCTAAGAATCTTATAAATGTTCAAAGAAAGTATGCATTCAAGGATGGTCTTGAGAAAATGAAACGAGCAAAATTTAATGCGTCACATCCTTTGTCTGTGAAGTTTGCTGATAGGTCAGGACAGAGTGAGGGTGCTGTCGATAGAGGTGGTCCAACACGAGAGTTTCTTCGGATTGCGATTCGTCAAATGTTCAATTCAAAGATGTTTGGAGGAACTGATAGAAACAAGGTATTCCTTCTTGACCAAGAAGGTGAGTGAATGTCACATTGTGCACACAAATAATTTATTAAACCCCTTTGTTTACCTAAAATACTTGCTGCAATTCCCAATGCGATTTTCTTTACTGATGTATGCAAACAAGTAGACGAGTTTAATATGAATGTTCTGAGTATATTACACCATCATATTAGGGACTTCTGTATACCGATACAATGAAAATATCGATATTTTCAGTAATACCGATATACTGAAATATCCGGTACACCGAAATTTTTCTCGAAGATATCAAGTTTTAAATTATTATTATCATTAAATCCATTTCATAAACGTTGTGGTACGTAATTCACCTATCAAAGGTGCCCGCTTTGCAAACAAACGTGAACGTTTGACAAGTTAAACGTACATAGCGTGTTGCATGATGTATAATATTATTTATACGGTGTACAAGGTACATATAAGTACACAGTAAAAAAAAAATTGGATGACGAAAAAATTCGTGCATAAATATCTAAATTCATAAAAACCGCATTATCAGACATAACGTCAGAACTTGTAATGTGCAGTTTTTGTGTTTTAACCGCATTAAAACTAGAGAATTAAGCGAGAATTCATCATATATTTGCCTGAATTCTGTCAAAACCAGGCATGGATTTACTAGTCCTGGCCAGAGGGGGGGGGTGTGCTATTTTTTATGATAAAGCAAAAAAGACAAAATGAGATATAGTAATTTGAGTAATAACATGATGATAAGTGAACTGTGAACAACAATTACAATTCAAATACAGTAGATAATGGGCGGGCGGCACACATGACCGACACAACTTGACAGTCGGCACCAGCGCACCCCCCCCCCCTCCCTACCAGATCATGCTGGATCCATCCCTGGTCAAAACTATGTGGAATGATGGTTGCCCGCTTTACGTCACAATTTACAGCTCTTTGATTGGCTTAGAAGTTTTAGAATTTCAGCCAAGACAATCAGAGAGCTTTAAATTGTGATGCAAAGCAAGCAACCATCATCCTGCAAATATTTTTTTGACAACCTTGTATATCTAATTTGGGATTTCGTTATGGTTCTATATAACCCCCCCCCCTAGCAATACCCCGTATAATTTTTCCGGTATCGAATCGGTCAATACGGGAAGAACTATACGGGTATTGCTGGGAGGGGGGGGGGGTATCTACAGAACCATAAGAAAATCCTGAATTAGATATACAAGGTTGTCAAAAAATATATGCAGGATGATGGTTGCTTGCTTTGCGTCACAATTTAAAGCTCTCTGATTCTAAAATTTTTAAACAGGCAAAGTCGCTGCAGAAATTACTAGGCCTAGGTTAACCCGCCTTTAGATAGGGTTAACTTAGTATGTTTTCATTAAAAAGGTATTTCTGGATGTTTTTTTTCTTCTCTTTCATTTCTTAGGCAAACAGGAGGAGATTTATAAACTCTGTGGCAAGTTACTTGCTGTCTCCATTTGCAATGGTGAGAAGGCAGCCAATCCTGATATTAACGATGTGTGTGATGTTGCGCTGAGAATATTTCTTGATAAGGTAAGATTTATTGTGCATATTAACTAGCATATAGTATTTAATAGTACTCCAGATTAGATGTAAATATTTTATTGTAGCACTTCTGTTGCTTACAGGTCGATGTTTGTCAGAACGAAGATGACTTTAAGCAGTTACCCGATCTTCTGGATCATCTTGCACAAGCTGGCTGGTCGACAACCATATCACTCAGCAAAAAGAATAAAATTATCAGCACACTTTGTCAGTACAGTGTTATTGACAAAGTTCGTTCATGCCTTGAGCAATTTAAAGGGCTGCAGACGTTGCATATTTTAGATCTTATCATTAAACATCCGAGAGTTTTTGAAGACGTGTTCTGCTATAATAAAGCAGACGCTTTGACCAGTAAGGTGTTAGACGATATTTTCTATCCATTGCTGTCAGAAGAGGGAACAATTAAACGGGAAAAGGAAGAGCAAATTATCATGCATTGGAGGGATTATTTGGCAGACTGTGAAGGTACGTGAATGTATATGTCGTTTCCAAAACTAGGCTGTATCCAAGTAGTTGACTTCATTTATGACGTTTATAACCGTGGTATGAAAGTAGCGTTTGGGCTAGTATTCCAAAGGTCGTAGGTTCGATTCCCACCGTGGCCAGGCATATATTTCAAGCCTGCCCGGTGTGGATATACACTCAGAGTAACATCACAAGCATTCTACTGTATGTGTTTTAAACATGAGGTACGGATGAATTTTAGAGGTTTTGGGTTTCGCGTTGGTTTTCTTGCAGTCAATTATACTTAACAATAAGTTGATCACCATTCATCTATGACAACCATCTACAACATGAAGTTGTAACGAGTTTGAAGCAAGAAAGAGCAAGAGAAAATGTGCATGCAATATAAGTTTATTAAAAAGTGGTTTTTAACGTAAATAAGGAATAGTACAATCTGGAAAATACAGGAAAAGCACTCCCTTACTTCGAATGTACGAAGCTGTCTTTAAATTATATGCTGTCTTTAAATGATTTAATCAATGACGGTTAATTGATTGTTGACAATGATTCCTCGATTAGGAAATAAAACAAATAAAACAAGTAAAAATAATGTCAACGTTTGAAATACTAAATTGTAAAACTTTTTTATTTTAAGTTGGTGGAGGAACTGAACAAGAAGCAACACTTGAACATATACTGATTTTCACAACTGGCAGTGATGAAATCCCACCAGTTGGATTTGATCCAATCATAACAATCGAGTTTTGGGATGATACAAAACCTATGGCCAATACCTGCTCTAATGTGATCCATTTACCTCTTCATCCCAAGTCACAGAACGTGAATTACGAGTACTTTAAAGAAATGATGAATTTTGGAATCTTAAACTCCCCATGCTTTGGAAATGCATAAATGCTGGTGGGACTATATATTATGCAACACATACAAAGGCTATGAAACTTGAACATTTCTTTAAATAACTGTTAATATTAACTATTTGTTCGTTCTTCTTAAAAGTTGTGTTCACATACAGATACTGTATAATAATTATACAGATTAGTTGTCCAAAAGTTTTTGTCCAACAAACTGGACTGTTTGTCGGTATAATTCTATTGGATCTGTTAAACTGAATATGTTAATTGTGTTTTGTAATTCAACCATAGTTTCATCGTCCAAAGGTATTTCGGTGTCATCGCATTCAACGTAAGGAAGGTCCTCCTCCAACAAAGAATTTACATCTAATCCTTAATAAGGTATTTCATTTCTATGATCTGTGTGTATTTCGGTTAAATGCTGACTGCCCAAGAATATTTGCACTGGCGTCTTATTTTCTTCGGTAGACACTTTGTGATTATTATGAGCAGCTACAAATTCACTAAGTGACTTATTTAGGAGGGGAAGAAAGACGTGATGTAAACAAAACAGATCAGTTTCATTTGATGGATCTAGGGCACTTTCGCTTTCTAACTGATAAAACATGCTCTTGAAGTGTGCAATAACTTGCTCATTTACAATTCGATTATGTCTTTCGATTCGTTGATTATGAACGGAGCTTCCAGCTATCTATCACAGCCCTGCTGTCTTCTCCATGTACATTAACCATGTGACGCCACACTCCCACATTTTCCCCACCATAATCTGTTCGTACACGGACGGGGCAACCATATTGCTGAATTGCTGCTTTAAACAGATCTTCAACGGTGATCGCTCTGTTGTTGGTGGAAAATTGAGCAAAAACTACCATTCTACTATATCCGTCAATCCCATGATGAACAACAATTCGCCAACGGATTAGTTTGTGGTTTCCGTCTATGTGCCACAGGTAATTGGGATAAGGGACAGAATACACTCTCCGTTTAATTGTTGGACGTTTTCTTGCTTCCACACCATCTGGATCAACAGCATGTATTGCCGTTCGAATTTTATGGTGTTGTAGCGTTATACCTTTGGATTGTAGATGCCCTTGAAGCATTACCTCACCTGCATTAGGGTGGTTTTTCTTGACCTCTGCCACAACATTCTGCACTTCTTGTTCTGACAGTGTGGAATATTTTTCATGTGAAATGCCATTTTCCCTAATAAATTTATATAAAACAGGTCTAGAAACACCAAGATCCCTTGCAATTTGTGCCAACGGCATTTTCAGCTCCAACAACCTTTTCAATCTATTTTCAGGAATGGTTTTTTTTGGCCTAAACTTGCCTACAATAGTGAGAAAAAAATTTGTTGACAAAAGTACAAGAATATAAACCTTTTGCAAATAAATCCTTTTGGATCAACCAAATGTTTTTAAAAAACATGAGTAACTGAACTCTTAAACAACTTTCAAGCCAAAATTTATGCCATATTGAAATGTGATCATTGCAATAGCTACAACAGCAGTTAAATCATTTTTGTCAGAAAAATCCAAAGCCTCTAGATGCGAGGATACTCATTGTTTTCAACAACTAACAATGGTAGGAAAATATGGATTGCAACCATTAAGGCACTGTTACACTAAGCAACTTGTCTTGGAACTTGTCTCGCAATGCTAAGAAAAACGATTTCAGGATTGCATTGCAAGGGATGTTTCACCAAGCAATATGTTCCATGCAACGATCATTATTAAAAATAGTATAAAAACCGCGAGTGCTAACATTTGGCGCAATATTGTCAGTTAAATTAAAGCCAATAGGAAGTCATTCAGTGTAGAAACATTGCGAGAATAATTGCAAGAGGGATGTTGCACTCTGAAATGCTTTAAAAATGCGTTGCAGCGTTGCCGCAATCGTTGCAAAAGTAGAACCTGATTCTACTTCGTGCAATGGTTGTTGCAACAAAAATATTGCGACACTTGTTGATTGCGAGGCATAATACACCTTGCAATTTCGCGTGCAACTTGTGTCGCAACAAAATTGCGAGACAAGTGCGAGACAAATTGCATGTGTAACGGCACCTTTTAAGCGATCTTGTCTAAAAGTACACACGAGTGATTTATGTGTTTAAAAATCATGAAATAATAATATAAACTATTTTAAGGTTGCTCCTTACTAGGGTTTTAAGGTGGCTCCCTACTAGGGTTTTTGTGGCTGGCCACAATGTAATGCTAAAACTGTATGTAAGAGATATGAAGTTGTGACGGAAATTGTCGACTGGCTTCGGAAACTGTCGTTGATGGCATGAGACATAGGCGACTATAGTACTTACCGTCGTGGAAGCTCAGTCTGCTTACGTACAGATGAAAGATCTTCCAGATGGAAATACTTGAGTGAAAATGTATTTACATCATTCAGGGACGTAGAGAAGCATCTGAAGTTAGGGGGGGGGGGGTTGGAAATAAAATCCTCCAACACCCTTCCCCCCAAACTTCAGATGCTTTGCTACGTCCCTGAAGATCAGTGCAATCAATACCAATCATGATACAACACTGACCCTTGCAGGTGTGAAAAAGCAAATCCACAGCCATAATGTGCTGAGGTACAAAAGTGTAGTATAATGCAAAAACCCTAGGGAACCAACTTAAAATCGCTCATGGTCATTCGTGATCATTTGCCGTCACTTGTGTGTAATTTTAGACAAGACCCCTTTAAGCTGTATTTCATCCCACTTTAGTGTTGATAGGAAAGTCTCACCACTTGATGGGAATAACTATAAGTAATCCATTCATAGGAAGCTGCCTTTAAATTATATTAATTTTATTCCACTACTTAGTAATAAGTGAACCCACCGGTGTTGTGCATGGTGGTCATCATCATCCTTAAAAAAATTCAACAGGAAAAAATGTTTCAGAAACAACTAAACAATTCCTCATGCAGAAAATATCAAAACAATGTGCTTACCCTTGAATTGTTATGCTCTGATGACGTTTGGTTTGTATTCAAGACATTCTGAAAATTAAGTAGAAAGGTTATTACAAAATTGTTTGTTCTGGTTGCCTTTTACTTCTATGCACTTGTCAATTGAAACCCCGACACTGGGACTATGTGAGAATTTTTAATAACATTTGTCAAGTGTTATAATCCCACAAATGTTAGATTACCCTGCTAGCCAGGCAGAAAACGTCCTAGGCCTAGCATTTTTATAATCAAAACGAAAATATGTGCACATGCACTGCTCTTTGTGTAATTACATTCGCATTTTACTATTATTAAATTTTTGATTCCTTGCCAATTATACATTAAAACATTATGCAGTCACGTGTGCATATATGGGTCATATGTCAAATAGTTATGTATCGATCAATTCGAAACTTCACCATCCCCCCCGGGCCAACCTCGGGAATTTGAAGTTTTTGAAATTTGACTGATCAAATTCTCCACCCCCTGTGCAAAAAAAGTCTTCAAATGCCCCACTGTAACAAGAAATTAAGCGTTCAAATGCCCCACCTACATATGAAAATTATGAAACAGTAAATACAAAAGATAGCGAAATTCACGTAAAAAGTTTGGATACCTTGTGGAAATTTAACAGTTTTACACAATTATGTAGTACTGGTACATACCTTCAAATGAAGCACATAGATTTTCCATGCCCATTTATTTGAGCCAATTTTTCACAAAATTGTCGCTGTTTCCCTCGAAATCTGGGAAAACTGTATTTGCCGCCAATGCTAAGTATTTTCTGTGCATGCAGGAAGCACGCGAAAACGGGCAAAATTTTAAGACTTCCGGTTCAAATTCCTCACCACATGGAAAACCTAGAACGTCAAATTCCCTACTCCCTGGAGAAGACTTGAAGTCAAATTCCCGGGGTATGCCCGGGGGGGATGATGAAGTTTCGAATTGATTGGTACATTAATTTTAATATAAAATCTACTTAAAACACCAGCAATTTTTGCCACTTGTAAATGTTTGAATTTTTTGTATTATTTTCTGCTAGAAATGGCTGTATCTTATAGTCCATGAAATTGGCACTGTATTTCATTTTTTGGCACTGTATTTCATTTTTTGGCACTGTGTTTCGAAAACTTTGCACTGCTCTTAGCCAATCAGTATTGAGAATTTTTTTCATGTGTATTTTAAAATATTGTTTATAAAGTGTGTATGTGTACCACTGATGTGTACATGTATGTGTGTATTATATATTGATACATTTGACATGTTTACAAGAAATAAGAGAAAGCTTACCGTCGAGGTACTCTGTGATGATGAATCACTATTACTATTAATAGGTTCATTGGTAGTCTGCACATTCTATATATTGTAGAATACGAAAACTTTTAAGGCAAGTGAAATTTGAAATTCATGATAAATCATAAACACTACACGTATGTATATTATTTCTTTTATGCCACTTACTCTTCGTGAATCCAGAACATCGCCTACCGCTCTTTCAATGGCCGAAGAAAGCAATCTTGCCAGTCCTTCGTTGGTAGCCATATTTAATTAGCAATTCTTGGCGGGAAAATCCCTGTACTTCATGTTGCAAAAATATGAAGAAAGACACTGCTGACCCAACTTATTGTGTGTTCGTGCCGAATGTAAATATACACTTTTTGGTTATATGAAATAACCAAATATAACGAAATTGGTTATACGAAATAACCAAATACAACGAAGTTGGTTATATGAAATAACCAAATACAACGAAGTTGGTTATATGAAATAACCAAATATAACGAAGTTGGTTGTGTGAAATAACCACATATGACACAATCGGTTTTGTGAAATAACCAAATATCGCAAAGTTGGTTATATGAAATAACCAAACATGACGAAAGCGGTTATTAGATAAAACCAACCTGTCTCATTTTTTATGACTTTGGTTTTATCAACATAACCATTTCTTATTTAGTGGATGTGCTTAAATGATTTCAAATAACCAAAGATATAATTAAATTTAAAGCGTTTTTTGCTGTAAATAATATATTTACACATGGCACCTCATAGTACTGTGTGTGTTAAGAGATGGATGCATTTTTTCAACTTCGTCATTGTGAAATAAACGAAAAAGTATTATGAAATGTTCGTGATGCTCGTAATACTCTAAAATTGCGTATTACACATATCATAGATTGCGAAGCTTACACGTATCGGAAAAAATTTTCTTACGCGAAGTGTCTGTTTTATGTCGATTAACAAATAATGTCACAACCTATCAGATTTACACTCCAAATGTCACATTGATTGATGAGAATGATCCTGGAGTGCGTTACCAAATAAAGGTAATACACAGGTTACCTGTTGAAAGATGGCGTGTTGACAATAATTTTTATTTATATGGTGAAATGATTGAAATGTTGTGTAAAATATTTGAAAGTGCCGATTTGGTGGGTTACAAGGGTGGTGATATTGAACGTAATTTGTTGAATATGTTGGGGGTGGCGTGCATAAATATGGAAATTATGGAGTGTCCAAAATACGAATGTTTATTGTTGAAATATGATGTCAAACATGAAGATTGTGGGTATCATATTGCAAAGGATAGATATCATTGTAGCAGACATGAAGTGAAATTATTTTCACAATTTCTCGATAAAATATGATTTCTTATTGTGGTGCCGAGTTAAATTTACAAGCTTTAGGTGAATTACTTGAAAGTAATTATTTTCACCCGGTGTTATGGTCGTTATACTCAACATGTTCGTATTTGTACAATAAGAAACCGCAGGATTTGGGAACACGGGAGATTCGTATTTGCAATTATAGTAGCGCTATAATCGATGAAGAAAATTCTTTGGTGTGGTTAAAAGGCAACCTTGAAGGAACGCGTGATTTGATGCTTTATGATGAAAAGAACCCCTCGTATTGTGTGATCGGGATAGATGGTCGACAACCAATGCCCGAAGTTGATGATCATGATGATGATGATTTTAAATCGGAGAAAAAATTTTATGTCATTCCTGCTGAATGGATACCCTACATCTATGTGCGCTATGAAAACGACTCGTGGGCGATGTATTTGTCAGCGACGAGATTTTGTTGTCGACAAATTTTGATTCGTGGAAGTGTGATGGTGGCGCGTCGTGATAACATCAGTATTAAACCCGAATATGCTATGGTGGATAATCAATATACCCCGTTCAGAAAGTATTTTCATATTGGTGTCGGTCCATGTTCAAACGAGATTAATGATGTGCTCGCGGACGTTGGGATATTTGTAAACGGTGAACAATTGTACAAACGTGTATGCATGCTAGCACATCCTTACGGTAAAGAACGTGAGGTAATTTATGCATCATCAGTCCATGATAAAATATTTATTTTTGGTAATGAAAAAATTGAGGGTAAATTTTTAAAATTAATCATGAGACGTATATTAGTGTGTCAAAAATGTAATGGGTATGTGGATAAATTAATATTAATGCTTGTGGATAGTCTAGTAAAACATGATACCTTAAAAGATGTGATGAATGTTCCCGCTAGTGCTGATACGATTTTAGTGGGGGGGTGTACCTTGTTATTCGTATATTTTGTATGCAGATTTTGTTGTTATGCGACAGGACGCTTATTTGGCGCCGTTAAAAATATTGCTAAATCATTACGAAAAAATACAGATATTTGTAAGAATATTATTGAACCGTTTTTTATAAAATATGCATAAGTCTATATAGGGTATTGGTATGTAAGCAGTGTAGTGAATAAAAATCCATAAATTAAAAATATATTTTTTAGTTTTAAAGAGATGTCGCGTACGTATTATTTTGAATCGGCGGCCACTTTGTTTGAACCCTTAAAATGGAATGCTGTGATAAAAGCATTTCAAGACTTGGGTATGAGATATTATAAATATTTACGCTATGAATTACAGCAGAGTACAAAGATTGTGTGTGTTGTTCAATTTACCAACCGTATAAATAATACTCAATTACATGCCGCATTGATCCCGGTGAAATTTACGTTTCTACAACGTGTACGTGTGCCGATGGTTACACCACATTTACGCATATGGCTGCTATGTTTACATCATGATCTTCCAGAATATGAAATTAAAGAGTGGGGTGAATTTGTATTGGGTGGGCGAAATCGTTTTCTCACATATGAATTACAACATTATAAAGCGTTGATAAGCAATTTTAAGACAACAAAAGATTATACACTTTGTGAACATTTCGTCGGAGGACGTAAAATATGTGAATATGCTGATGCGTTAGAACGATTACCTGTTGATGGTGTATAATATGTAAGAAATAAACAATTTATGATCAGTTCACACTACGCTCCCATGACGTGCATAGCAAGTTTTTTGATTTGGCGTGGGACCAAATTTAAAGAAATATTAAAGACATATTAACAAATGTTTAATTAATCATCAATGTCCAAGTTATTACTTTTTATTTACAAACGTCCGAAATTTAAGTCCAGAATACAATAATAACGATGGATATTCTAAAATAACGAGGTGTGCCGGATTTCCTTATAGGGTTGAAATATGTGTAAATAGTGTATATATAAATAAAGCTGCACACGACTAGTTTATTGTATAATTGCCTCGGTTTGAAAAACGTCAATTAAAATATGTCATGTGTATTGAAAGGAATCACAAATGAAAAGGTAAACTTTTTTTTCATATAATTTTATTGATAATATTGATAGATTGTTGGTAATTTATTAACAGGTTTTCGTTGAGTGGATAAATTTCCACCATGCTGTAAATTTAGATATTGTCTTTTTTTATTCACATAAATGTTTTGATTCCCGCCGCGTTGTTGTCCAAACAATGCTCGATTGATAGCTTGTAGTTGTTTACCAGCTTTCTTTTTAACTACTTTTTTCTTGCCACCCATGTACCGACGTAGAAAAGCCTTTGGATTTGATAACATTTGTCGTAATTGAAATTGTTTTTTGCGTACATTATTCGTTTTTCTTTTAGGTGTAAAATCCTCCGCCTGTAGCTTTGTGCGTGCCATGACTCTGAACCAAACTGATAAAAATATTCGCGTATTGCATGTATTTATTGCCAATATTCAGGACCATATGATGTGAGGATTTCTTGATTGGGGCGTATAGTTTTATTGGCTTTTAAATGAAATATATTTTGACCTTTAATTTTGGCATTATTTTGAAACGGCGTTTGACGAGCGTCGTTTGCAAATCGTGGCGCCCCATCTGTTGTATATTTTGAATCAATACATTGTCCCCGTCGATTACAAACGGCATATTTTGCCGTGACGTCATTTCCGTATCGTTGATCCAGTTGTTTTTTGGTTAATCGTCTACCGGTGTATTTACCAATTGTATTACCGCGTGGAATTGTTTTTTTCCACGCGTATAGTCCTTTTCCTGCGGCAATAATTCTTGAAGGTTTAACACGTAAATTATCTTGTTTGGCAAGATGAATCCAACATTTCGGTGTATGTGCTGTACGTTTACGGCATTGTTTATCTTTTAAAGTATTTGCAACACATTGTTGTGATTTTCGAATACTCTGACTCTTTTTGATAACCCGTAGTTTTTCATATATTTTGTTTAAAAAATTTAAAATAAATTTTTGTCTTCTTGACATTTTAAAAGACAACTACCACACCAGCATATCGCTCGATGTTGTTTTCAATATGTTCAATAATTTTGTTTATTCTAGATTCCACGTACGGTGTAACGCCTTGTGTCTGCTTAAGCGTTGTTAAGCGAATACGTATATCCAACGGCGACACGTAAATTATATGCAAACCATCCTTACACCAATCGATGAATGCTTCTGGAAAAATATGATTTGAAAAAATCATTTGATCCGAATTATCTTCGGATATTTCATATGACGGTATATATTTATCTTTGTTATTTTGGCTATGAATATTTTTCAGATATATAGTAATGTGTATTAAAGCGTCGCTGTTCATTTTTATGCTGCAACTTGTAAGCACGTTGAAATGGGTATGGGTATAACGAAATTGTTTTCGGGGGGTGATAAACCCCTTATTAGAGTATGTTGTGTATTTATAAACAGGAGTAATGATGTGACCGTGGATGACGGTGGTGGTCGAGATAAAACAGACAGATGTGAAGACGACGACGACGACAAGTATAGAAATTGTTGTTGTATACAATGGCGTCGAAAAGAAAACGCGATACCGACAACGGTGATAACGAACGAAAATATCGAAAATTAAATAATGAAGATTTACAGGAAATTATAAATATGGTAAGAGCCAATAATACGACTAAAACACGTATCAAAATTACGGGACAGCGTATTGCAGATATTGCAAAAATGGCTCATGAAAATAATTTACAAAGAAATAGAAGCAAACAATCACGGGGAAGACGAAATTATAATGTGGAAGATAGAGACATTCATGAAATAGCACGTATTGTTGAACAGAATGGGAAAAATACACGCACGCCACGAAATGCATTTCGTGTAGATCGAATACAAACGCATCGTCGTTTAGGGTATAATGAATATGTATATAATGTTAGAATAGGTGCGGGACATGTCACAACACTTCCAGAATTTTACGATAGCCTTCGTGAAATATTTAATTATTTAATTAATATTGCTAATTATATAGCTAGTTCGCCGACAGATAAAGCACGTTTCTACATCTCTAATGCTCCGCGTACAGCATTTTCAACGGCCATTTTAAATGTTTCTGATTTTAATGTCGATATGTTTTTTGATATTTTTGAAAAACATATGCAAAGTAATGCACAAGAAGTAATTGATGATGGCTGGAATACGACAATTAGTTTGTATATATTTCCGAATAATTATGTGCCCAAAGTATCATGACCAAAAAAAACGAAAAAAAACGCTGTTTACAGACATGTGGGTAAAAATGGTTCGGATGTGGGTCGTGGTCGGAAAAAATGTGTATCACAAAAACATGGGCGTGAAATTCGAAACGGTGTTTTTCAAATTATTTCAAAAGCTGATTGCTGTTTTGCACTCGCAATCTTGACGGGTTGCTCTTTTCTTAATAAAGACAAACGCTACGACAAACTTAATCTTAATCGTAACACACCACTTGAAGATCTTTATACAGACGACGAAATTATGTACATTTACGAACAAAGCGGCTTAAATCGTGGCGGTGTTCGCATTGATCAATTGTCCAGTGTTTACGAAGGGTTGCTAAGCGTTCAAAATATTGATTTAGTGGTTTTTTCCAAAAATAATAGTGATAATGTAGTATATGATTCTCGTATGAACAACACGGACACTATTTGTCGGATTAATTCAAGAGTTATATTTTTATGGCTTAACGATGGCCATTACGATTTGATACTTTCACCACAGACATTTTGCAAGTTGACCGTAAAGAATTTTTGTTTTAGTTGTATGCATTATTTAAGAAATTGGGAACATGTTAATACACATGTGTGCCGAACATCGTTTTCATGTTTAAATTGTTATAGCAATAGTATAAAATGTCCCGAGGAAGAAGGTTTTTTTATTCAATGTCCTTATTGTGGGGTAAATTTTAAAAATAAAGCCTGTTATACGCGTCATCTTACAAACCGTATTTTTTTACATGAGTTTAAGGAAAAAAAAGGACGTCGTGCAACGCTATGTCAACAGATGTTTTTTTGTAAAACATGCTACAAGAAAGTGCCCCGGATGACTGTGATTGGGAAAAAATTAAAACGTCACGATTGTAATATGATGTATTGTAAACATTGTAACGGTATTAAAAAACACACACATCAATGTTTTATCAAAGTTTGTAAAGTGGCTAGCGAACCAAATTTGCCGACACTTTATTTTTTCGATTTTGAAACGCGTAAAGATAGTGAGGGTTATATGATTCCATTTTATGCGGTCATTCAAAAAGTGTGTCATTTATGTGATCAAAAACCTTTTGTTAAAAATTATGAGCATTTTTTACCGCACTCTGCTGACGCAACGTGTGACATTTCGGTGGAACGTGTACCCTGTTGTGGTTATCGACAATATGTTTTGGAAAAACAAAGTGAATGTATTACAAAGGAATTTATTGATTTTATGTACGAACAACCTAAGAATAGTGTTTGGATAGCGCATAATGGGGGCGTTTTGATACGGTATTTTTACTTCGAGAATTATTAGTGGAACGAAAAATTGTTCCAAAATGTATCATGAACGGGAATAAGATTATGTGCATGGAATTACGGGATCGAAATTTAAAAGTAATCGATAGTTTTTTATTTCTGAACATGGCTTTAAAAAAATTTCCAGAGGCTCTGGGTATTCCAGATATTTGTAAAGGGTTTCATCCGTATCGTTTTTACGATTTAAACTATGTGGGTCCCATGGTCGGTTTGGAATATTTTGATCCGCCAGCTGAGGGTTTTAAAGAGCGTGCAAAATTTGACGTCTGGTATAATGAACAAAAAAAGAAAACGTATATTTTCAAAGAAGCCATGTATTATTATTGCCGTTTGGATGTTGATATATTAAGGCAGGGGTGTATTGTATTTGCGCGACTAATAAAAGATATAACAAATGTGTTTCCATTTTATGATAAGACTTGTCACACTATAGCGGGTTTAGCGTTGAAAGTATATCGCACAAATTTTTTAAACGAAGCTACTATAGGACAAATACCTGCGCAGGGATACGGCGGTAATGTCAATCAGAGTACCATTGCCCTATACTGGTTACGGGAGATTGAAAATAATCTCGACGGGACATTACATAGTAAACAATCTCCTAATGGCGAACGTAATATTATGGGGCGTTATGTGGACGGGTATTGTCCCGAAACGAAACAATCTATCAATTTCATGGATGTTTTTTTCACGGCTGTAAAACTTGTTATGACAGCGATAGTATTAACACGGTGCTGAACGAGTCGTTTTATATATTGCGTGAACGAACTGCTCGTGCGACAGCAGATTTTGAAAATAACGGGTACACAGTTGTTGAAATGTGGGAATGTGATTTTATTAATGCGAATAAATTAACACATAATATATTAAAAGTATTAAGACAACGTGATTTCTTTATCAATCTTAATCCTCGTGACGCTTTATTTGGGGGTCGAGTTTCACCAGCTGTTATGCAAGCTAAGACGGATGGTCAAAAAATACGTTATTATGATTTTACTTCCCTATATTCCTTTGTTCAAAAAAACTATCAGTATCCTACAAAACATCCGAAGATTATACGTGGTATTGAGAAGTGTGCCCAATTTAATCTAGGGACTATATTCGGTTTGATTAAATGTAAAATATTACCGCCTAGAAATCTTTTATTTCCGGTTATTCCTTATCGTACAACAAAGTTAACATTTCCATTGTGTCGTATATGTGCCGACACGTTATGTGATACATGTACACATGAAGAAGAGGATGAACGTGTTTTATATGGCACGTGGACTAGCGTTGAAATACAAACGGCTTTGAAACACGGGTATATTGTCAAGGAAGTTTATGAAATATATGATTATGCAAATCGTGCGAAAATATTCGATACGTATGTCAATACGTTTATAAAATTAAAACAAGAAAGTAGTGGTGTACCTAAAAATTGTTATGATGCAGGGGGCAATGTAAATAGTGCGAAATTAAATGAATATGTTGGCGAATATTTGAAACATGAGGGTGTGAAATTAGATGTGGATAAAATAGCGCATAATCCCGGTCAAAGAACTGTAATGAAGGCTTTATTAAATTCGTTGTTGGGTAAATTAGCGCAAAATGAAGATACAACTGTGGTGTCGTTTGTAGATCGTTTTGATGATTTATTAGAATTAGTGAATGATAATAGTATTGAGGTAACATTGTTAGATTTTATAAGCGATGATGTAGCAAGGACAACACATCGAAAAACCGGATCACTAATTACATTACCCAATAGAAATGTTGTTATAGCATCTTTTGTAACCGCCTATGCACGTTTAGAATTACTTAAAGTTTTACATAAGTTAGATGATAGTGTGCTATATTATGATACCGATTCGGTGATATATGTCGAAGATGTTGAGAAAGGGCACGTTTTAGAAACGGGTAGTTATTTGGGTCAATTGACGGATGAATTAGCGGATAAAAATGCTAGTGAAAAATGGATTGAGGAATTTAGTGCTACCGGTCCTAAAGCGTACACGTATCGTACCAACGAATATATGTATACACTTGAAAATGGTACACAGGAAAAAAGACGCTATGAGATTGTGCATGTGAAGGGGTTTTTGCTGAAAGGGGATACTAAAAAAAAAATCACTTTTGATAGTATTAGTCAATGTGTACGCGATCAAAAAAAAGAAATTATTACCAGTTATACGGAATTTACACGTTCGAATAATCAAACAATAAATGTTCAAAAAGCCGAAAAAATATTTCGATTTACATTCGATAAACGTATTATCCGTCCTGATTTTACAACTATTCCGTACGGTTATATTAATTCATAAAAAAATTTTTTTCTAGGCTCGCAATTTGAAATGTTGCACGATACCGTTTCAACATCCGTTTATGATGACGCTGTGTGGGCCTTCACAATGTGGAAAATCGTATTTTATTGAAAAGATAATAAAGAATCACGAAACTCTAATACATCCAACAATTGACAAACTGATATATCTCTATACGGTAGACAAATACGACGGTATCAAACAATTCATTCGTGACAATGAACAGACTTTGACACTTAAGACGTTTGAATTTATTGACTGTAATAAGGGCATCCCGTCAATGGAAACGATTAAGGGAAAATTGGGAAAAAATACGCTATTAGTTTTGGATGATTTGATGGTTGTAGCAACAACAAATTCTACAAATCTTTTAAATTTAAATAATATTGCGTCACGTGACAGTCATCATTCAAATACGTCTGTGATTTTTGTATGTCAAAATTTAAATTTTGGTTCAGGAAAATTATGTAATTGTCGCGTGAATAGTCATTATCACGTCATGTGTAAAAGTTTAACGGATTATAGAGATGTAGAAATGATTGCTGCAAACAAGAAAATAAATCAGAATAAACTACACAGAGTTCTTGAAGATATTGGTAAAAAACAATATGGTTATATTGTCTTTGAAGGGTGTCCCAAGGGTTATGCAAATACGCGTGTAAGAACGGGAATTTTTCCCCAAGATGAAACGATTGTATATGATATATAAATAAAATTTTATTAAATTTTTGAATATGTTTCCATAAATGATTTACATATTTGTCCTTTACTCTTACTACATTTACGTTCGTATACTTACCTTAAAGTGCTAAATATTGAATAACAGGACCATTGCAGGGTCTGTTCATTTTGCATTAAATCATCAATTTTAGTTGTAAATGTTTTAGAACGTATGATATGCGTACCCGTATAATAAGATTTTAAAAATAACAAACACCAACTTCCACAAGTTCTACTAACATGTGCTTGAAGATGATTTGTATTATATAATTGCATTTTACAATTTAATTTCTCAAAATATTGTTCCCAAAATTGTCGTTTAAAAAAGTACGGTGTTTTACCATAACTATCAAAAAAATATATCTTTTTCTTTGACAACTGCCACCCAATGCGTTCCGGGCTTATCTTTTTTATCGACATTCCATATCCAGCAACATCTGGTGCTGACGGGTTTAGGTGTTACATCAGCAGGATAACATCCCAAATAGTGCGGTGAAATATCCCCGTCTGTTTGCGCTTGTTGGTCCAGATCGTCGGTATTTAGAAATTTACTAATAAAACATGTTAGAGTACTCATTTTTTAAGTATCAAACATATAGCCACGCACGGATCCTTTTCTACGCCCGGAAAACATTAGAGGACCTCGTGGTGAGGAATAAGTTAGTGGTGGTGGTGGTGGTTCTTGTCGCGACGTTGTCGGTGTATCACTACCGCCAATTTCTCGGTACTGATTTCGAAGATGTTCGCTGCGTATATAAGTAACGGGCATATGTGTCTTTTTTAATTCTTTTAATAATTTTGTATGCTGATCCGATGTTAAATTCGTATTTGTTTTTTTAACATTTTTTGTAAGATCAGCTATCATGTCGTCATAAGCAATGGGTAATGTTTTACCACCAAATTTTACACCTTTATGTGTTTCAACAACTCCTACTTTTTTAAGATGACCCCGTATTAAAAATTCTGAACGTGCTAAGGATCCAGGTTTTAAAGCAGATCGACGAGGATTATCACCTTCATCACCATCATCATCGGCAGCAGCAGCGGGTTCTTTTTTTTCTTTTAAATAATTTTTTCGTTTCTTTACATAATTAATAATGTCATCTGTAGCATAGGGTGCATTACGTTTCACGCTATCAACCATGGTTGCATGACCTTCAATTAGTTCCCCTTCGGCTGCTGTTTGTTTTGCATCGCCCAGAATTTTTTTGTCCGATACTAGTTTTTCTATGGTTTGCATCATTGTATTGTATTTATTGGCGTCTATCAGTGCTAGGCGTTTCACATCGTCCCCCATCGCAACTGTTGTAAATATTTTGAACAGCTTCTAGATTTCTAATGGCTTGTCTACAATAATATTAAACTGAAAATTCTTCAAGTATACGTAAATGCACGTCCTCTCGGGGTGTAGTTCTATCGGAAATGTATGAAAATAATGCTTTATCAACACTTGATATATCCGTGGGTATTTTACCATTTGCTATATTACGACATAAATAAATCATATGTTTAATTAATTGTGGATTATCATTAAGCATTTTTTCTCTTTTTATAAAACCAGAATTTATAAATTTTTTAGTTAACGGTAAAAATCGATCTTGTTTACGTTTTTGAATACAATTTCGTTGTGCATCCCAAATTTGTTTTAAAAATAAAGCACATGTTTCATTATTGATTTCTTCATTATTTTCGTCTTGTTCTATATCGCCATCATAATCATCATCATCAGCAATGTTATCTTCTTCTTCCTCGACATCCTCAACATTTGTTGCACCTTCGAGATTCTTAACATTTGTTGCACCTTCTACTTCTTCTTCTTCTTCGGGAATTTCATCATCATTTTCAGAATGTATTTGTTCTTGCTCATTAATTAATTCAGCCATATTTTGATATTACCGGTTTCACGTGAATTGTACGTACTGAAACACCACCCCAGCCAATAACGTAATTACGTCGTGCACCGGGTATATGTAAACAGTTTCGTGGTGTCCTTTTATTCAACCTTTTCCGTTTAACAGGCATTGTCCATATGAGACATTGATCATTTAATACGCGAATTTTAAACGTGCTTCGGTTTGGTAACCACAAGATAATTGATTTCTAAACTCACCAATAATAATCAATTGACTATTAGCGGTCAAGGGTTGGGAAAGACGTAAATCAATACTCACATTACCACTGGTTGTATTGGGTAATATTTGATTGTAACTATCTTTGTTTTCGGTTAAATCAAATGCAATAAAACCATAATCGGTTAAATAATCATCATAATTAAACGGCATTTCAGTGTTGGTACGATTCAAAACACGGCGTAGATTAATATATGCTTCACGAGAATTTTCAATAGTCGGTTCAATAAAAGCATCATTAATTTTAAAACCTATAAATTCCAAATTGGGAAAAATCATTTGATTTGCATTAGAATTATGCGCACCGTTATATCGTGCTTGTGTACGTATATATACAAAAATTCGTGTAGGTCGTGCACCAGTAAAAAGATCATTTTTTACAAATTTACGTTCACCTGTTAACATGGGTAGAGGCACATAGCGATGATGCCGAACATAATATTTTGCTTCTTCACCTTTTTGAATCATAGCCGTATTAATGGCGTTCATTAATTGTTGTTTTGGTTTATAAACTGGAATATGAATTTCTAAATTATGATAACGTATTTTTGCAGCACCACAATGACCAACATTGCCAAATAAGGTTTTTGTTTTTTCCAGACGTGTTAATCTAATTTTTAATTCAAATGATGATAATACATATCGTTTATTATCACCCATAACATTAATGACATCGTAACACTCAAATTTCGTATCTTCATGACATAGTGCATAACGTTTACCGGCACCTTTATTGGCATGTGTGGGATCAAGTAATTCTACAATACTATCGGCTGAACCAGGGGTGTTATGAATACATCCCGTTATTTTTTCTTCGGGTACATAGCCTGTAGGTATTTCACGTGTTAAATGATCAATGTAGGCAATTTCATTTTCTTGTGATGATAATGAGTTAATACGTTGATTATTTAATAATATTTCTCGTGATTTCCAACCCATTCTAAGTGGTGATTGTGATAATGTGACAATCTGATCAGCACCCAAGTCGGCATTAGCCGCAGTTGTTAGCGCAATTGTGGCTTTAATTTTAGCATTTTGAAGATCCATAACACCGTAATCATTCGGTGCATGAGAAAATGTATATTCTTCAGCATCAGGATTTGCAACAGGTCCTGCAACTATTTTCATTTTACAACTTTCCACAAATGTATCATTATGTGGAAATGTAGGAAATATCACCATAGGTGACATAAACCCACTATCGTGAACTTCAATAGGCTCATCATCGACTTCTTGACGCGTGCGCTTCATCTTTGCTCTGCGAGACTTAAGACATGAATGAAGAATAAAAACATAAATGATACAAATTTATAATTTATTTTAAATTTTACATTTTTCTATCTATACCATTTTTTTGTTCGTCTCTTTGGAAATACACGTCCACCTCTTTGTCTTGGTCGGTAATATTGTCGTCGAGGTTCTGTATAATATTCTGGTGGTGGTGGTGGTGGTGGTCGATAATAATGTTGTTGTTGTGATGGTTGTCGTTGTCCGCTACCACCATAATTATTGACGGTTTGATTTTTTGCTTTTTTACCAAAAACACCGGGTAATATTTTTGTTGCAGCACCTAAAATAGCAGGTATTGCTAAACCCGCAGCTAGGGCTAATCCTGCCCCACCACCTTTTTGTTTTTTTCCACGTTGATGTTTTGAGCCTTTAAAATTCCCACCGCGTTGTCTTTTCTTTCCCATGATGTCTTTACACAATGTTAGTCAAATTAGAAGTAATACATTATTTATACATGCATGTCTATTTATTTCCCAAAAATATGTCGTAAAATACTTGGATCAATTTGTGGTCCACCACGTGTTTCAGGTAATTTTCCAGGTCGTCGTACACTCTTACTGGGTAAATAATCTGGATTTAATTGTGGCGGTGCACAAATACGATTTTGTGAACGTTCTTCAATACTTTTTCCTGTTTTAGGAATATACAATAAATTTGTACCTGGATGTAATTGACCGCTACCATGTAATAATGTATAATATTGTTTTTCATCCATATTCGGCAACTTGTTCACACGTAATGAAGTAGTGTTCTTGTGGGTAAAGATGTTTTATGGTTTATCAAAAAGATTGAAATATAAATCCAAATATTTACCATTTAAGGATTTGCTATATGTATCTGTATTATCACCCCACAATATGTAAAATTGAACATTCTCTTGTAATTCTGTCAAATTGTTAACGAGTAGGTACGTGGGTAGTTTTTGTCGTGTGGCATTTAAATTACTGAAATTATCATTACCATTAGTATATACTTGGGTTAATAAATGATCCGACCATGTAATGCACTGAATAGCGGTATTATCCATAGCAATAATATTTCCCTTTACAGTAGTAATTTTTCCTGTTGATTGTCGTAGACGTATATTTTTTGTTTCGTTATCTACCATTCCGGTAAAATCTAATTTTCGTGTACACCATACACCACATTGATCAAAGGTGCCAAAATCTGATTTTTTACAGCCAAGATTATAATACACAGCATGGGCAATGTCACCATTACCAATAATTTCATACTTCGTAGCAACGGGTACGCAATTTTGAACTGTTATTTTAATACGTAATATACTCATCATGCAACGGGTAATGATGGTGAAATGTTTTTTCACCAATTATTCTATACCTTTATACTTCTTCTTCATCAAAAAAAAAAAGATTAAAATATAAATCCAAATATCGTTGATGCGGCCAGCCCTCAATGGTTTTTGTATGATTATCTGTATTATCTCCCCACAGAAAATAAAACTGAACGTTCTCCTTCAAGTGTGCCAAATCATTGACGAATAGATATGAAGGTAGTTTTTGTGGGGTATTGTTTACATTGTTGGTGTTGACGGTACCATTACCAAATATTTGTGTTAACAAATGATCATTCCATGTTATACCTTGAATAGCATGACTATCCATAGCAATAGTATTTCCTTTTATATTGGTAATTGTTCCTTTGCTCACTCGTCCAAATACATTTTTTGTTTCGTTATTGGCCATTCTGGTAAAATTTAATTTTCGTGCACACCACACACTACATTGATCAAAATTTGACAAAGATGCACGTTTACACGCAAGATTATAATACACATCATCGCATGTGTTTATAACATTATCCGATAACTCATAAACCGTAGGTGTGGGTATAGAAGCGATAATATCAAGACGAATGCGTAATTTATGCATTATTCAATAATACACTCAATGCCAACACTACCGCTGTTAAACTGTATTAACTTATTTTCCACATCACATATTCTTATATGTAAATTTTTTATTTGTGTATTAATTAATTCATGGGTTATCGCTGGTAAATCGTGGGTATGTATTATTTCAAGTATATTATCATCATCTTGGCGCTTAATTTGTAATTGTGCTAATAATGGTCCACAAACATCGCCTATAATTGAGGGGACAACTTCATCACAATAAATAAACATACGTGTTTTTCCATTGGTCATATCAGGTGCATATTTACCATAGAAAAAATACCATAGTTTATTTATGGGTAAACCTAGTATTTTAGTGTTTATAATCTTTGTTAAAACTGCTTTCATTTGCTGCTGGTTTTTGAAAAATGCCGGGTATTGTGTAATCAGAGCCTCAACATCGGGATGCAACACATACTCGTCTAAACCAAGCATATACTTTAAATCTTTGGTCATTTCAAAATCGAAATCGTTAGCTGATTTTACAGTATATTCATTTTTTGTAAAACCATCACCGTAATAATAACTATAAAAATAAGATGGTGTAATACCCAACGATAAACCAACGCGACCACCGGGTAATAATGTAAAATTCATGCCATATTCTTGTACAAAACTATTTAATACTTTAATCATTTTTTTAACTGTATAATACCCTCTGGGTAAATACATCCAGTTTGTTTCAAATACAACATAATCTTTTATTACTACTGCCAGATCTGATGAAGGATTCCAGTAAATTTTGAATGTAAACCGGATACCACACGCTTTATCTTCTACATTATCAATTGTTGTGGGATAGAATATATTTAAAGCACGTATAAATCGTTTTTTATTTTCACCGTCAATTTGTTCGGGTAATGTCATTGTAAATTTATTATTATAATTTACATCGCCTTCTTGATTTTTAGTATTACTGTAGATCTGGACATTCATTTTAGCGGTTGTAATTCTTCACGATAAAATATACCCGTAATCTCCTCGTCGTTGCTATCCTTTAGTTTGTATGTGACTGGATCGGAAATAATCACTTTATCGATGACAAAAATTTCACGACCCCAACGTCTCAGACTAGCTTTTTCAAAAATGCTATTTTTCAATCTGGCCACACGAACTTTTTGACCTATACGCAAGAGACTTGTAGTGATTTGTGAACCGTGCAGAACATTTTTTAGAATTTTAAATGCTAAAAACGCCGGACGTTTATTGTGCACGTACAAATCAACAGGTTTTGCATTGTAAATACCGCGGTGTGGAGCTTCATTATATCGTTCAAGTAATGCGGGCAAATATTTGATAAATCGATAACTTGATACTACCGTCAAAGTGCGACGAATCATCAACTTTAAGGTTTGAATAAATCTTTCTGCATGCGATGCTTTTATTTCACGATTTTGTGTATGAAATAATTTAAAATTATATTTTGGTGCTAATTTTTTTCTAATATCATTAAATTCTGTACCCTCGTCCGCTTGTATTTTTTTAGGTGCACCGTTCTCGCGAATCATTTCTTCAAATTTATTACAAACATTATGGGCTGATTTTGTTTTTAGCATTTTTACAAAAGCATAACGCGTTGCCACATCAACACACACAAGGATATAACGATATTGATTATTATATCCTGATAATTCATTCAAGTCAGCCAAATCAATACTCCACTGATCATTTTTGTTCTGTACATAAATTTTTAAACGTTTATATACATGTTTTTTTTTATCATGCAAACTATACAAGTTCCTTTGCTCTTTAGTTAATGTTTCGCCTTTTAATAATCTTGCAGCTTTTTTAATAAGTTCAAAGTCATTACTTGCTTTTTTCACCATCATTAGAAAAAATAAAACATTTATTGTACTATTGTATTATTTACATGTATTTTTTGTACACAATGATACACATAATTAATATCCTTTTCATGTAACTTTACAAATTCTATATAATTATCATAATCATAAATTTTTTTTAATTTGTCACTGCACTTCATAACTGTTTCAACTGCAGAATTCTCGCCGCTCATAAGTGTAATAATGGCTGCAATTATTTGATTTTGCTAGAAAAAAAATCATTCATTTAACTTGGTACAAGTTGTTTCAAAATGATCAGAAGCCAACAAAAATTGTTCATAGCAAAATGGAAATTGTTTATTCATATCATATCTAAATTGTGCAATTGTTTCTTCACAACTCTTCTTATATTTACACATAAATGAAAGCAAAACCCCTGTAGCAGAACGTACTTGTTCAACTGTAGGAAAACTGCGGCTCACCTCACTAGTTGTTTCTTCGTCAAATTGAATTTTGCCTTTCTTCTTCTTTATTTCACCACTGCTACTCCCCTTGGTATTGGTATACTTTCGCTTCTTGGGCGGTTCCAACTGTTTTTGTTCCGATGGTGTTGCGGGCGGTGTTGGCGGTATTACATCGGAAGAGGAGGAAGCATTTAAGAGATTGTAGGTCTCACAACAGAAATCACGAATAATGGTGGAAATTTTTTTCCAATCATCATTTTTATTTATATAAAATTTATCGAAACATTCCGACCAACAATCATTAACCTGTGCACTTTTAGGATTAGTGCTTGGTTCAGGATCCACAATATCATTAGCGTCGTCCGGTGCAAAATCAACGGGTGGTGAAGTCTTTTTCAATCGACATACTTTCAACCCACCATATTCGCTACTCTTTAAAATCGTACGATATTCGTTATTATACAAATCTTTATGCTCACCCAATTCTGCATAATTGATTGACAGGTTGGCTTTTGACATTTTGGGTAGAGCATTGGCTAACGCTTCCATTTCATCGAAAGGCAAATCAATGCCAGATTCATAAATAAATTTATCACCAGCTCCGGACATTTGACCTACTTGCAAACCGCATTTTTTTGACCATTGTTTCAATGTAATCGTTTTTGTTTTGCCATTTTCATAACTACCAAGAACCCTTTCAAGAAGCGTTCTTTCACGTTTATAAATTTTTACGGTAGAATAATTGCTGGCCATGTTGATGCGGTGATGCACAGTACGATATGAGAAAAGATACAACGTTCAAAATATATAGGCTACCAACCACGTGATTGCGCAACCCATAAAATTTAATAAATCATCACGCTTATTACGTCTATTAAGTTCCGCGATAACACTTTCAGTAATTTTAGTTACCTTGACCATATATGTACAATGACGTTCCGGTATCGAAAAATACAATCGTTTTTGCTTAAATAGGGTATATGCTAATGCTAATACGTATATTTGACGGATAAAACTTTTATGGCAAAATTCATCATCAGTAATAATTACCCACATTAAGTCGGCAACACATTGATTTTTAATAACATTTTCTATTTTATCCCGATACCGTTTTAAAACGGCTTCAATAATTGCATATAATTGTTTTTCAATAAGCGGTTCCAAATACAATGTTATTTCCTAACCAATAAAAACAGAGAAATTTTGATGCGCGTTGTTTTTTTTGTTCTAGTTCTTTTTCATATTCACGTTGTATCTTTATCCGTTGCCATTTCATATAGTTTTCACCCATAACTCTGCAGAACGGGACATAGTTGTAAACTAACACCGATAAATAATTTCATAAACTTAAATGTACTTTTTTTATGTAAATAATACCCTCTTTTAAAAATGTTTCAATAATATCTTTAAAATGTACTTTTTGTTTTATATATCTAAGCATACATTTTACAAATTCTACCAGTTCACCATCACGTGCGTACGTAGTAACATCTAAATGACGTCTGCGATAATTCAAAGTAATATATTTGGTTCGGTGTAATCCGCCAGATAATACACGTAGAAATATAGTATACGTATGCGATCCACAACGCTTCACTTGAATAAATTTAGAACATTTGTATATTGTATCGCCACATAAAATATCCACGGGTTTTTTCTGCAATAAACAATAGTCATAATCATAGAAAACGTGCATAGTCCTATGAATGTGCCCGTCCATCTTCAACTTTATAGTCCTTTCCGTACAATAGCTTAGAAAGAGTATTTATAATATACGATGAATATTTTGTTTTATATAATGCGACCATTTTAATACACACATTTCTTTCATTTTGAATGCTGTGTAAAAAATCGTCAAGACTTTCAAAATGTCTGGTATCACAATCCTCTATATAATAATGAATTACTTGCTTCCGATGATCAATAATAATTGTACAAGATTGAACGCCATTTGATACAAAATCCACATGAAAAAGGTAAGTAGTACGTCCCTGTAATCGATCGTCTTTTTCAAAATAACAAGTTATCCATTTATTTGACCAATTTAACGTATCTTTATAAAAAGCACAAAAATTTCCTAGCTTTCTTGATGCAGTCTCCGCCATAATTGTAATTGCTTAAAGGGGAAGTCAAGTCCGTTCTGCGCATCATTTCTGCGCATTGTTTACATTTTTTGTTTTATTTTGATACACTATAACTGCCTTACACGAAGTCTTTACGATCTTCTCCTAGTCTCACCTGGATTTTATTTTAATATTGACTTTGTGTGTGGTCCATTTACAATACGTTTTGATTGGGAAGTAAAATGAAATGCCACCTGGCCAAGCTGGGCTTGCTAATCCGAAAAGGGCATATTGCGTTTGATTGCCAAAACTATGCTGCAATGGACGAAAGCATATTAAGCGCAGCAGACGAAATAGAGCACAGTGCAATTGAGGAAATCGCTGGCGTTCCCAATGCGGACAAAAACATGGCAGTGTGTTCATGTAGAGGAATGTGCCTGAGAGAAAAAGGCAGAAATGCTTGCCCATGTAAAGAAACAGGACAGTTTTGCTCTTCTGTTTGCCACCCAGACAGTACTTCGTGTTGGAACCGGCTCAACCAAAGTGATACTGATAATTCGAGTGAAACGTCAGAAGGTGAAACACAGGTACGTACGTTTTGAAAAGATGTAAGAAATTCTGTATTTAATACCCGCTCCTGGATTCTAGTTTTTGAAATGTACATGTTACAATTTTAGGGAGCATACGAGCATGATAGTGACGAGGCTTATGACATTCAGGAACCAAGTGCAAAGCGAGCGAGGGGGCGTGCACGCGGTCAAAGAAAATTTGGCGAAACCTCTTCTCGGGATCGTGAAACTGCCTCGGAAACCATACGTGGATCGAGAGCTAGAGGTCGCGGTAGAAGTCGTGGTAGAAGTCGTGGTAGAGGTCGCGGTAGTGGTGTAGGTCGTGGACGATTACAGGCTGAAGAAAACGCTGAACAACGTGTGGTGGACCACGAACAACAGCTGCAGGTATGGTAGCTCATATTTGAAATACCCCTTTTCCCATTTGTTCTTTTATTATAGTAGACACAGTTTTCTACTATTAGCCATTACTGTATATATGATTATATTGGGGTTATCATCTAAAATACGATCTGTGGGTGGTCACTATATAGGACACACCTTCACTATGATGTATATACTCCTATGTAATATACTTCTATAATTTTCAATCTTAGGGTGTATTGAATCCCTGATTCGTGTTTCAGAATGGGTAACTAAAGAGTTTTAGCTCATCAACAAAATTGTGATGTTAGCTAATATGCCAACCAATTTATACTGTTAACATACCCCCCTTCCCCCGGCATTTGACAACTTGCTCTATCCCCAGAGTGAGAAATTTGACCTTTTGAACTGCTGTTAGGGTAGATAATTTTATGCTATGTCACAAAACATGGGGCATTTGACCATTTAATACACCAAATTGCATGAAGTCTGAGATAATTTGAATAGCATTTTTGTGCTGGAAGTGAGAGATATGACAGCAACATTTCAAAAATTTCAAATGCCCAGGTGTATACCTGGGGGAATGTTAAGAGTATAAATTGATTGGCACATAAACTGACATGGTTGTGGCAAGAATCATATGTTGTTAAGCTAAATTTATACTATACTGAAAGTGTATATATGTTTTTTTAGAATTTAGTTGCAAATATGGATTTGGATGCATTAAGAAGGTTGGCACTTGAATTGCTTCGAAGACAGCCGGCAACATTTGCTGACTTGGTGAATGGTGAGTTACCATTTGTACAAGGGCAATTACCAGATCCAGATGATCCAGATAGGCCAGACCCTCCACCAGATGAAAGTCCTGAATGGTGTTTTTGTGGCTGTTGTGCTCCAATGCCTTCCCAAGATGAGAACAAATGTTGTTCAAGACGACTCATGCCTTGTATTACCATTAATCCTCTATTTAATCAGCTTGTGCTTGATGCAAATGTCCTGGACATTGCGATGAGATACAGAGAGGACATATTAGTTATGGATCATCCCAGAAACAATGAAAACTTTCGTCATTCTGCATACCGGCAGTTTGTTTTATGGCAGCATGGGCGGTTGGGCAGGGGCAACAGAGTAGTTCTACCAAGTTGTTGTGTTCTTGCAATAAGAGCAAGATATCCCTCTCCAAATGGAGTTTATACAGGTTTCAGGCCTGCTAGACTTTAGACTTATTATTTGCTATGCACACAACTAACATGTATATATAATAGAAAATTTATGTTCAACTTTTTTGTTAAACAATTATTCCCCAGGTTTATTATAACAGTTATACATAATTACATATTAATATATTTTACAGAATTATCATTGATTTTATACAAACTTGTCTGTATGCAGTATTAAAAAAATACTATTTATACAGTACATGTAGTTTAAGTGATGATGCATGGTCATACAAAATTATCAAAAGTTTCCAAAGCATACAAAACATAAAGAACTTTCACTCACAAATCATTTAATTGTTGATCCTGTGGTGAAGCATTATATGTTCTTGACTAGCGCTTAATGTTTGGTGAATGCAAATTCTTATGATCGATAAAGTTATAGCACATGTCAATACGGCCAGCTAAGCAAGCTTTAGTATTTTATTCTGTCTAACAAAAATTTTACTTTGCAGTTGTAGTGTCAGTATGGATGAACAAAACTAAATGTCAATATTAGTCTTGTTACCACATTAGCTTATGGCCTGCAAAATATCTAGTGTAATATTATATAAAGCCCTCAACACTATTTAGTTGCTTTTCAAAATGTTGAAAATTTTTGCATGACCCCTACTTTGAATCTATTTTATCAAAATTTATCATATAATGTTCATGGAGAAAATATAAATCAATTTGAAAACCTTGATTTATGTTTTGCCAAAAGTTCTTCCTTGGAAGGTTTGGGCTGTAGTGCAATATTTGTTGCAATCCTTCGTGGATCATCTGCAGCAAGTGTCAACTTCTGGGTAACATGTCCTAGTGTTGTCTTCCTTTTTTTGAAAATGGCTACAAGCAATTCTGGAATATACTTGTATTCCTTTGGTTGAAGAATGGGGACCACACAGTATACCTTGGTCCTTTTACTATAATGATGTTTGTACCTTTTAACATAACAGAAATAATCTTATAAATTACTGTATAAAAATGCTTCAAAATTCAATTGACAGTATGGGTATACCGCATATTCGAACACAGAGCTTTGGTAATAGAACATCTTAACTTAGGACACAGCCAGACCAAATGGCTATCATTTTTCATTTGGTACATTTGACCTTTTTATAAGCATAATTACTTATATTACCTGGGTGTCCCATCTGCTGTTTTGGCTATTTCTCGACTCCTGTGTTTGTTAAAGTCAATTGCTGCTAGTTGGTTCCTTAGCTTGTATCCAATAATCCTATAAAAAAGAAGCAATAATCATTGTGATGGTGTATCTTAGGACATAAATGTCTCAATGTCATTGTAAAACCACGGCCAGTTACTGGGTTAAGAAACTATTTTTATCACACACCGTAAATAAATTGAACTCACAATTTGTACTTACGTGTAAGAAAGGCGTTTGGGACAATACATCAGCAAATGATTGTGAAAGGACTCCAAAAATCCAGTGTGCCTATACAAGAATGTGAACACTGTATTATATATGATACGACCTTGATAATTCCTATATCAATGAAATGGACTAAAGTGTCTTTTTGAGATGAAAATCTATTTTGTACGGTACAGTGGCGGAAATCTAAGTTGGGGGGGGGGGTGTTCCCCCCGCCCCCACCTTCACAGACAAATGACAAATTTTTAAAAATTTTGGCCTCCATTCCAAATATGAGGGCGTCAATATGAGCGCCACAGCAACTGAAGTTTGCCAGAAATTTGAAAGTTTGTTCAGCAATTTACACTGCTTCCACCCCCCCCCCAGAAAATGTTAATTTCTGCCACTGGTAAGGTTTGCTTATTTAACTGTACATTTTACACTAACCTAAAATTGGTGTAGTAGTGCAATTCATTTAGCAGTCGCTTGTGCAAAATTATTTGTCTTAAGGCTTTGTGTGGAGAGGAATCCTTTAGCAGCCAAGGTTTGGACCTTTCTTCTTCTGTCAACACACTATGGTCACATTTCCCCTGTCCTATTCCATCATTCAGCACCCAGTGATGTTCATCAACCACATGATGGAGCAATCCAATCCACAAGTCCTATTGAATAGATTACAATGTTAAAATTCAAGACACTTAATGAAGCTAATTAGCCAAATTGCCGCTAATGATAACGAATCAAGTTTGGAACCACGAATATCCGGCAATATTTTGCAAGTCCTTACAGTATTTACCAACATAAAAATAATGTTACATAGTTTTTTAACATATTATATACACCTTGAAATCTGCTGTACTACCACCACACTTTCGACTGCAGTACCAAAAATGGTTTCTGACCGAAGCAATCCAGTGCGAGAGATCTTCATTTCCCTTCTCATTAGCAGCCTACAGTAAAAAATGCAAATCATTACTTATAGAAATTGATACAAACATTGCGCTGCAAAAATCATACATACAGTGATAACCTTCTTAGCAAGGTTTTTTGCTCCATGCCAAACATCTCGTTGATGTAACACATCTTTGTACTTTGGTGCATTTTCTGAAAAAAATTTCACATTTAAAATTAATCGATTGAAGGCTGTACAAATGATGGAACTGTCTTGAACTTTGACACATTGTTTGCTGACAATAACCTACATAGTCAGGCTGGCTTCCTGCCAGAGGATAATGTAACAAGAGAAACTGGCAGTACTCTTTCAATGAGGAGTACACTACTGGAATAAGCACATTCACCTATATAAACAAATTGCCATTTGCATGACATGAGCAGAATTTCTTGCCCTTATTAACATCTTATCAAACATCGGTACAGTATCTATATATTGTACCCTACTACAATGTGATATAACTTGCCATGCTACACACACTTACTCATCAAAGCACCAATTTCCAAATGGCCATCCGTAACCACCTCTTTAATGTTCATCTGGGATCCGATTAGCTTATCCAATCCTCTCTCGAAACCAACTCTCTCCATGTTGGGGCTCTTTCTTCCTTCCACTTCCCTGACATCAACAATATTGAGCTCCAATATGCATTTTGTGTCCATATCAGCAAAGGAATATGTACAGTACTGCGCAGAATGTCCTGGAGAATCATTTCTTCCATCGGAACTCAGGATGATTTCTTTATCTTCTCTTTCTTTCCATGCATCATTTCTCAAAACTTCCCAATAATCATTTACTGCAGGTCCAATATACAAGCTCTGGTATTGGTTGTAGAGATTTTTTGAGAAGAAATGCAGATTCATCACTTTGCATAGAAATCCTACCTTTGTGTAGGAATTCCCCGATAATGGTATGGCTGATGCTAAGAGCAGATTGCCAGCACGAATGCCTTCACATTGGGGTTGTGCAGACCACCTTCCACCAAAGTGGCCAGCACTGCATGACCAATGAACAACAAGGCATGAACCAACAAAGCTATTATCAAAATCTAGCTCTCTGTTACACTCTCTTCGTTTACACATTGGCCCATGCAATTTGTGCAACAGATCCATGACTGCTGAGGTTGAAACCAAACAAAACTCAAGTGTGGGTATGTCAACTGGTGCAATCCTGACAACTTGACTTTGACAAGGTCCTCTGTCACTACTATCACCATCCTCTTCATCATCAACATCACCATCATCATCGTGACCTTCAATTTGTGTATCATACACCTCTTCCTCCAGTGTCATATTTTCTAGATCTGGAAGATCATCTTGAAATCTGGATAACAGTTAATTATATAAATACTAATTTTACAGTAGTATTAACTTGTATTGTCAACATATTAGGAATGTTCGGTATGACAAATTTCCGGTATCGGTATACCAAAAAAATTATACCGATATTATCGGTATACCGGTTTTTCTTTGATAATTATAAAGGAAAATTCTTTAATGGAAATTTGAAGGAAATTTTGAGTAATTCTTAAGGGGAAAACGATAATTTCGAAGCTGTTTCGAACATGTTTCGAACGGCACATACTTAGTGTAAAATCTAACTGAAGTGGAAATTCTAAATCATTGCCGTAGAAAATTATTTGAATTGCCATTCAGTAGTAAAATAAAGGTTATGGTTTCGTCATATAGTTGGTAAATTTAACACGGTATACCGAAAAATTCCGGTATATTGGAAATTTCGGTATATCGGTATGGTTGAATATTCGGTATCGATATACCAATATTGATTTGATACCGATATTTTTAGTATATCGGTATACCGAACAGTCCTACAACATATAAAAGTCAACTGCAGCTCATTATGTAACACTTACCTAAAGGCATCTGAATGCTCAGTATCACTGCCATCTGATTCACTGGCTGTCAGGGTTTTCTCTAAGTTACCAGTACTCAAACTAGTCCTATGTTATAAATATTGATATTTTAAAACATAAGTATATGCATTTCTAATGCATCATGTACCTGCAAGTATGTGGTATTTCAAAATTTTACAAAGAGTTAAACTGGTAAAAAAACTATGAAATACCAGGTTTTTAAAACATATAGGTAGATTCATTTGTGTGAATATCGGAAAATATAGAGAATATTTCAGCTTGAAGTTTTATCTATATTTTCCATGTAGTCTATCTTTATATTGAATACAGAAACTGTTGATACAGAATTTATTGATACAGAAACTGTTGAGTTCTAATTTAAAACATGCATAAATAAATCCAAAATCTGCTTGGGCTAAGTTTCCTTAAATGCCAAAACTTTTTATGCATGAGTAAATGTTAAACCCAGCCCACAGTGCAGTTAACATGGGATACTATTAATTTGTTGGCCTATTACGCTGGGCATTTAAAACGTTTTGCATGTTATTTGCCCCCATGGGTAGGGGAATGTACAATGCATATATATGGTCAATGGTTATACACTACAAAACCAAGGCAACAGAAAACACATGGAAAGAGGAAAATTGTCATAAGTACACTATAAGAGGGTTTTTACAATTTTTATGAGAAAGTAGTTCCCTGGTATGGGGGCTTTTGCCTATTTGATGAAGGTGGCCAAAACAAATCCCCACCTTTCCACCGGGTGGGTGGGGGTTAATAATGACTCATGTGCACATTAATGGTTTTTTCTATGTTGGTGCCATGTACTCAGATGAATATGATCTGTATACACACTGGGCAAGCTTGAAAAATATACCAGGCCATGGGAATTGAACCTATGCAATACTATGCTCTGGCAACTGAGCTATGCAGTCAGGTCGGGTCGAATTTGAAGGAACTTGATTCAGTCCTGAAATATCACATACTCAAACCGACATGACCATGTATATCAGTTGGCAGGGCATTTGGATTTAGGTTTAATTCACACCATTGCCAGGCATATTTTTCAAATTTGTCACTCAGAGTAACATCATAAATATCAATCAAGTTATTGAGTGTGGCATTGTCAACGTGTCAAGCATCAAATATTTAAACAAATATCAAATGACTCAAGAAGTTATATACAGCTGTATGATATCAAATGCATGTCTGCGAAATCACATTCACAGGAAATGGTGAAAAATAAAAAGATATCAAATATCTAGTCATTTATGAAATCTTATCCATACGAGTCTTATTCATTCGAGTAAAACACAAATTCAAATACCACGTACCTCATAGAGAAAGATTCAGCAGACGTTTGAGTACCATGTTTCGTCTCCATATTTGTCATTGACAATCGTCTACGTTTTGGAGTGGAAAGAGGACGCTCAGTTCGATGTATTCCTTCCTTTGGCGTTGAAGTTAGAACTATAAAAACATAAATATAATACAAACTTTAGTCGTAATTACTGTAACATTCAAAAACAAATACACAGCTGTTATATCACAAAATTTACCTGGAGATTTGGACAATAGAGTTTCCATTGTGACCTGATGACTTTCATCTGTTTGTGTTTCCGCTTCGCTACAAGATTTATAAAAGGAGATATAACCACTGTTTAATCCAATTTTGAATTATTTTATAAATACAATACATCTTTCCTACCTTGTCGTTAAAACTTGCTTCGTGCTCGAATAATTATCAAGAAGCAAGGTCGCTAGTTCCTTGTCCGTCTTCACATTTAAATCATTTTTTAGCTGCCGCCACCGCGTAAATTGCTCATCATAAAGACAAATCTTTGTCGCGTCCCTTTTGGCCAGGTATCCCTTTCGTTTTACCTTTTTATCTTCGGTAGTAACTACGTGAAAGCTCTCAATTTCGTCCCTATCAACACTTCTGGACGAGCTCTCGCCTTCCTCCATGTTGCTTTGAAACTTGAATATATAATCAGATAAGAATACACGAAATGCGCATGCGCTGTTCAATTAACATTCCAATGGCGAGGGCCCTCACAATATGCGCAGAAATAATGCGCAGAACGGACTTGACTTCCACTTTAAGACAATCTAAATTACAATATATTCCTTTTTTACCCAATTCCATTTGTACCAACGCAGTATCTCTATATGCCGCCAAATGTATCAGTGCAAATACATTCACCATAAGCCGATGTAATTCCTGATTATAAGGACGCTCAGTAATATAATTAATATCACTGTAACCGTAAATATCATAACGCTGATCATACCCCACCTGCACAATTATACCCATTGGACCCGCAAATTGAACACTTTCAATTGTACATAGCTTTGGAACGGTATAAAGAGTGTCATATACCAATAATTGACTCATTCTTATTCACGATGGCCAAACAAAAAGGGGGCAACTTTAAAGGACAACGACATCAACGTGCAAAAAAAAAAAAACAACGCGGAGGATTTTTAATGAAATTACTGGGTATGGGTGGTGGTGGCGGAAGTAAATCACAAGCACCGCCTCAACCAATAATTGTAAAAAATAATAGTGTTAATAGTAATAGTAGTCGTATAAGAAATAGTAGTAATCATTGAAGAAGAAGACGTCGTTATTACGATGATTTCGATGATCATCGCTATTATGGTCCTCCTCAACGTGGTGGTATTGTAGCTGGTGAACGAGAGTTAGCACGAGCCAGTCTAACAACACAACATTATCGAAAACAAAAAGGTTACTGAATAGTTAATTTAATATTATTCTCTCTACACCATATATATTTATATAAACCTATATTTATTTTATATAGGTAAAAAACGATGAATCATGGTCATTTTTCCATTTTTGTAGGCAGAAAAAAAGTACAAAACGGTGGCTTTTGGTGAGCTTTTCTATAATATTTATTCATCAATTCTAAAATCTGGTGCTATAACAGCATCTGTACTACAATTACAAAATAAATTTTTACATATTAATTTTAATCTACTGTGTTCATATTTTAAAATTCCGTAATGTCCACATTTTAATTGTTTAACATTAATCGGTAAATACGCCCATGCACAATCCTAGAGTTCATCCTCAGTCATCACTGTATGCATGTATGTTAATGAATCCAATTCATGAAAATATGTTCCACACCCGTTCTCACCCCGAGAACATTTATATATTTCACCATCATGTTCACAGGGTTTGTTACAAACACACCGAATTCGTTTTTGTAAATCTTTTAACTGCGGCACAGAACGTTTATAGTCACAGCGGTCATTACGGCATATGAAAAATAATTGTAATTCATTATCCACATAAACATCATGATGACCTACAATAACATGTTCTACGCTTGCTCGTAATGCAACACCACATTTACACGTTAATTTACTACCCGTAATGTACATGTCCAAGTAAGATTGACATTCTTCCATAATACGTATATATTCTTTAAAATATTCAAAATCCGCATCAATGTTAAATACACAATTCAATTGTGCACAAACATAACGACGTTCACATGTCACAGTCACTCGACACCCACACACGCACATAATATTTTCACATACAATAGCCGAATCACCGTCCCAATTTTTACACGTTTTACAATCGCAGGGCAAGTTATGCGCCATAATATTTACCGTTCTTAAAACACCACAACCGTTCACGTTCAATACCTGTCCAATCTGTTTTATCCTGAATACAACCCCAATTTATTTCATCGCGTGACGGATGCCAAATATTAAAATGATCTATACCCCGCCGTAGTGTAGGATAATTCTTAATTATCCAATCGTCGTAAACTTGTAAGCAAGAGTGACGCTTATTGAATCGCAGTATAATCGTAATATACTTTGTATCAACACTGTGTTCACAGTGCTCATTTCTTTTCACCTTAAATGCATTAACACGCGCCTCATAAGGAAATACACCGTTACGAGCCAAAATTTCACTAGCATCAACCAATTCACTAGAATCCGAATGAAGACACCACCATAATCTTTGTGCATATACATTAAGATTTTGATTTCGTTCATAATAAGATGTGGGTATAAACGAAAACATTTTTATAAAATAAAATATTTGTAGTGTGTATGCGTGTATATATATATACTTTTATCATTAATATTCTCATACCACAACCATATATAGTTAAAACCCGATAAATTAAATTTACATACAACACTATAAATACATCTTCATTTGTAAGTAATCACAAACAAAAAAAAAATGGCATGTAAGTATTGTCCTGAAAAATTTTCTTGTCCCTGTACATCAAAATGTGAAAAATGCTACAACGCTACAAAAATCTATCGTGATGTGCTTCAAACTTTACATCAACCACCTATTTGGAATTCAGGAATAGATCAAAAACTACAAAATTTTAACACACACGCAGTAGTTCTACGAAATGGTGATAGATTTGCTGAAGGCTCCACAACGCCAAAGGATACATTACTAAATTCAGAAGTTCACGTTCTGCCAAAATATCGCAAAGTTGAAAATGTACCCAAAATTCAAGCAAAATTGCCAGACAACATGGTCACCGATGTCGCAACTGATGAAAAAATAAAAACACGCGTAGATAAATTTACAAGCAGACAATATAAACAAAAAATAGAACAATTTTATTGTTTTAGATATATGTGCTATTGTAAAACACCATGCTGTAATCAATGTTTTCAACTATGTGTTTCATAAAAAATGTTTACACTACAGTGCAATGATTGTTCACTTTTGAATGTTCTTCACCACAGCCCGGACAAATGCCTTTTCTTCACGATCCATCTTTATTTTCTGTTCATCGATTTTTTCTGCTTGACTACAATAGTGAGGATAATTAAAGAACGCACACTTGTCCACCCAAATACCGCTTTGCCATCCCTCCATTCCTTCAGTATCTCTATTCCCCACCCATTCCTTCACAGGCAAATATTTTTTCTCAACACAGGGTTTCTTAGGCTTTGAAGCCATGGCTATTACAAAAAATATACACGAGGACAACAAACTTTTATAAGCTACACTAATTTATTCATCACTATCATAATCATACACTTTATAGGTGTCACATAACATATATACAAAATCTAGTAATTTATAAACATTATCGCTATAAATTTTATGATTATTATTTTCACCTCTAACTAAATCAAAGTAAAATGTTGCGTCCCCAAGGATATTATCGGTGGACTTAAAAAGCATTTCACAGCCAAATCGTTGCAGTATTTCTTCATAGCTTTCGTTGATTATCTGATGCCATTTCTCAAACAATATTGGGAATTGCTCACACCAATACTCTTGTAGTACCAAACTCTTTGTATATAAAATACCCTGTTGATTTATATCCGTGCGCATCAATAACCAACACCAATACGCCACAATATTATTGTATATATCCTTTTGTTCGTCCACTGTAGTACATGAAAAAGGTTTCTCTATTTTCACATCTTTCGTTTTCGTCCAATCACACATTTTTGTTTTTGTCTATATAAATCTATGTCCGATCCTTCAACTTTCATACCCGTTATAAATAGTCCCTCAAATTCCGCCACTTGAACCGTATTACAAACGGTAAAATAACGCCAAAACGGTTGAATATACGAGTCATGACAAAAACCAGCTAAAAAACAAGATGAATAATCTTGATTACCAATAACACACATACATGCTATTTCCCACTCCTCGTATGTTATTTCGAACTGATGCACCATTAATTGTACATTATAAAAAGTAACCGTAACAAACATGACCGTATATGGCAATGGTATTTTATTACCCCGGAGTTATATATTTACATGTGAAGTTTTAAAAAATTAAAATCAAACAATGGCTTTTGTACATCATGATGCAGCTATTGAACCATTTAATAATACCGATTGCCAAACAACTTTGAAAAATGGTACAAAATGTGAACAACAACACTGTCGACACTTTGTCGCTTGTGAATTCGGCGATGATGAAAAATCCTCCAAGCAACGTTATTGTCCAGATTGTCGATATTTGTTATATGTTTCGTTGCGTTGCAAGACCGAAGAAATGAAAAATGAAAAAAAAGAAAAAGCCAAGCAAACAGGTAAAGATTATTTTGTAGCCACGGGTTTCGCAGACGGTGATCTATGGCAATATGAACATGTAAACAGTGGAAAAGTATTTTGGAAACGTGTCAGCCCTGATACTGAAGAAATTATTCAAGCGTGCGGTGATCAATGGCTAAATGAAGAAAAGAAAAAAATGGCGGATGAAGAAAAAAGCGTCAAAAATACTCACCAAACAAAACTTGAACAATTTTTTAAATAAATCATCGTCGTCGTCGTCGAGGACATAACTTTCTCTTAAATCTTTTACTAGCTACACTTTTTATACGATGATACAAATAAATATTTATGCCCGTAGTCGACTCTAAGGCATGACGCAAATCTTCAAATTTTCTTGCATTTTCAATATTTGTTCTCAAAAATGATGGCGTCGAACTACAACTTATCATTTGGGGCATCATATACCCTTCGGTGGGTACATCAACTAAATCTGTTATACAACGTTCAATTTGCGACATTAATAACTTATATAAAATTTGATCACGACCAATATGGTCCGGAATTACACCTTCATCAATCAAATCCTCAATGAGTGTTTTCAATTTCCATCCGTCGTTGCAATTGTCAAATTGATCAAATACCCAATCTTTTACGATTCTCTCAAAAACTTCGGCCATCCTTTCGCGAACGGTATGAAACATCGAATGTGAAACTCACCTCAATTCCCCTTTAATTCTTCCTCGACAAATTCATAGATTTTTTCATAAAACGAGTCCGCACCATTTTCTGTATAGTCCACATATAATTTATATAACATTATCATTTTTTCAGGTTTTAGATAATCCTCGTCTGACACGTTTTCCACTAAATTATTAAATAGATAGAAAACAGCCAAATCGTCTACAATATCCGTCCCGTACCAAAACCCTTCGTCGTCCATTATTTCGGTACCTTTTTTAACCATATCTCCTCACATAAAAATTCATCTTCATTTTTTTTATGTAATTGTTTTTGTATAATATACATCATAACATGATGAAGCAAATCCAACTGAAGCTCTTTATCGTTTTCACCGCGCCAAGGTCGCGGTAAATAATCATAGTCATTTTCAAAAATTATCTTCTCGATGCCCCTAAAATTTTCACACATTGCTTACGACGATTGACGTGTACTAACTTCGTCTCCAGGACAATATTCTGTTTTATCCTGAAAACAAAGTTAGCACATGCAATGGTCGGTTGGATCTTATGTGATGACACGCTATACAAATATAATAAAACAGTGGGGCTATTGGAAACCCCATCGGGAAAATTAAAATATATCTTCATACTACACATCGCAATGAAACGAACATACGCGAACATTATATTTATCTTCAATGGCATTTAAACTACTGGGGTTATTGGCTCTATGCATCATCACATCATTGTGAAACACGTATGTGCGCTTTCATATATGAATTTTATCACTACATCGAAACTTTAACACCGGCACGATTTACAGATGTAAAATGGCAAATTTATAAACATTTCGCATCAAAAGGATACCGATTAAATAAATCAATCTTTAAAATAGCAATTCGTATACTTTGTCAACGTACATATCTTCAACCACGACTAGACTACCATATTACAAGTTATCTATGCTGTTAACAGGTATGTGGAAATATTTTCTCATCAAAGTTGTCGATGACTTCCTGTATTTTATATATGAATAAATCGTCAACTTGTTGAAAATATTATTTCATGAATCTCTTACAACTGGAAAAGAAATAAAAAAATTCGCTTTTTAACAGTTCTGACAAAAGCAAATTCATTCAATAATTCGCTTTCACAGAACTGAGTAAAAGAGAAGGAAAATAATTTTTTTCTAAATGCCGTGCAAAAGGCTGAACTATTTGTTTATCATTAGTCTGCCCTCTGCTCGGCCGTCTAGAAAAAATAATATCCCAAACAAGAAGAAGAAAAAGAAAAGAAGACTTTTATAACATTCATCAAAAGTCTGCAAATTTCATGTTTTACACTATGGGGTTTACAGATCTTGGCTTAATTTATAAAAAAATGTGCGTACGTATTTGAAATATTTACATCTTAAGGTGAGAATCGAACTCACTTTAACTTAGGACTACTAGCCGCTTCTCCCTAACCGGCTATCAGTTAAGTTTCTGAGAATTGGCATCCTAATGCGTTACCATTCCGCCACAATAGATGCCCGTACGGCAAACATGCACGCACATAATACTAACTCTTTATTCTGGTATTTATACACGTTTCACTTCTTGCACACGATTATTACGGTATTCTTATATACACGCATGCGTATTTATTTTAGAAATGCTACCCGTCCTTAATGTACCCAGTCTATCAATGGATGGCCCAGTCATCGTGTGGTTAAACAGTCGTCTAGTAAAGATCATTCCCGTATATATGAATCAAAACAAGGAAGAATATTATGATTTCTGTGATATATGTGGTGCTCAACCGTACGGAATTGAAAAATGCAATGATGCTATACATCGTCGTGAAGAAATAAAAAACTCTAAACTCTTTTCTGCTGAAGAAAAAAATTGTCTCAGCTTGTATTATTTAAATAATACATTTTTTTTTAAGACCAACTTCCGTCTATTTATCTATATAAACACTCGCACACACACACACACACACACACAATTCCTAATTCGAAACAGCAAGGAACACACACACTAATATTAAAACTATAATTTTTTAAACCTACCTTTTTTAGTAGGATTCTTTTTTAACTTAAACAACAATTACAACAAAGCTAAATTTAATTTAACTTGTTGTAATCGTCGTTTTAGTACAAAAGGTTTGCACCCCTTAAATTCTCCTTATAACTATGAATCGTGTAGCTGTGGTCGGTAGTAAAAAAGGGTGCGTTGCCCACGCAAAAGCAATACCGTGGACAAAACGAACAGTCGAAGGTTCAGCAATTCAACGCGGTGGTTTTGGGAGGGACTGGTGTCGCTACGGTTAAAAGAAGAAAAAAAAACCCACAAAAGCAACGTGGCGGGTTTAGCAAAAACTTCAATAAGGCTGGTAAAAAATGGAAAAAGCAATGGGGTGGTCGTGGAACATTATATTACATGAGACGAATGGCAAAAATGCAAAAAGGTGGTTTTTTATCGGGGGTCATTGATCACTTCGTGGAGAAAAAAAGGATAAAAGGCACAAATAAAACCAAAAACGCAAACCCATGGTCGAGTAAACAGTATTAAAAAATATTTTTCATGATTTTATTGTCAGGATTATTGTGTCTTTAATTCGCAACAAACCTAACAATAAAAAATGTGTATAATATATGAACAAAAACTGGAAAATTAAATTTGTACTTTATTAATTTATATTACAAGTGTTTTATTTATTGTCCATTTGACTGTCTTTATTTTGCGCTATATCTAAATAACCACGCTGCATGTCATCACGTTCTTTTAACCCGTCCGTCCATGCTTTTTCGAAAAAACCTGGCGAATTGGTAAAATCAAAATCTTCATCTTCATCATCAAACCACTCGTCGTCTGAATTATATGACAACGTACCACTTTCCCCTTCAACGATTCTCTTTGCCTCTTCCATAATCTTTGACTTTTTCTTAATAATGCTCTTCCATAATCTTTCCTCTTTCATAATCTTTTCGTCCACAGTCTTGACTGTATTTTTTTTCTCTTCGGGAATCTTAGCCATAACTTCGGCCATAACTTCAATTTCAGCCATAACAACACGGAATTAAACTGTATTGTGAAATACACATTTCCCCGCACGTTTATTTATCAAACAATGTGTGTCAACTTTAAATAACATTTTCCAGATTTCCGGTTATCATTCACACCACGAGCACACGTGCGGCCACACGTTTTATTTATCAAACCCCAACAATGTGTCAACTTTAAATAACATTTTCCAGACCACATTTCCGGTTATCATTCACACACACAGTAATTTCACACCTATTCCATTAGTCACATTTGTCAACTTTACGTTTTCCAGACACATCCTGTTTATCACATTTTTCAGACACATATTCACATTTACAATAAGCATATTTTTTAACAATATTATTAATTTTACACCAAAAACATTGCTTATTTTCCCTCTCTAAAATTTCCTGGCGAATTTTACATATCATACACAAGCAATTACATTCACATTGTGGTGTATTTACTTTCCCTATTTCGTCTAGAAGTTGCCATTGTTCATCATCACAAACACATTTACAGAGGTCTTTTGTCCACCTTGTTGACGCCATATGACACGTTATTAAAACTGTACACGCTTTTTTATTCACATACACAATAGCCGTAATCATTAGTAATTTCACACCACGGAGACACGACACAACCTTATTTTCTTTTTTTTATTTTCTTTTTTTCAAGCCGGTTTATGAAAAGAAAATGAGCGAACAAGAAACAATATAGTTCGGAAAAATGGACAAATTAATATTGCTAAATTAAATTTAATAAAAAATTAAATAAAATATTTTTATTTCTACCCCTTACTACCCCCACCTACTCCTTACTATCCCCCCGCGATCCACAAACCGGATGTGACGTCTCCGCTGTCAATCAATGTCACGTGACACCGGACACTTTAAAATCACCGCCAAATTCAAAATACATCACTTCGGTCAACCAGGGCTTCGGAGACACATCCGGTCCACGTGGCCAATAAAATACACTATTGCGCAACGATTACACTGGCCGAGCGATACAAACCCGACATTTTGGGGGACTGGCCACCATAGCATTTTTACCCCCCGTCCGTGGAACACAAACACAACACTTTTTTCGCTGAATCAGCTCTTTTCATAATACAATCTTATATTAAAAAAAAAAATTCCCACACCCCCACTAAAAAATCGAGTACTTTGTCCCCACTACTACTATATATATATAGATATATAGATATATAGATATATAGATATATAGATATATAGATATATAGATAGATATAGATAGATATATAGATAGATATATAGATAGATATATAGATATATAGATATGATAGATATGATAGATAGATAGATAGATAGATAGTATAGATATATAGATATATAGATATATAGATATATAAATATATAGATATATATATATATATAGATAGATAGATAGATAGATAGATAGATAGATAGATAGATAGATAGATAGATAGATAGATAGATAGATAGTTAGATAGTTAGATTGATGGGTGGCATTTGGTACAATTTGATGGCATTTGGCTTAACGGTTGTACAAAATGCCATGGCATTTGGCACAATAGATGTGGCATTTGGTACAATATGAAAGATATGCGTGGCATTTGGTACATTTGATGGCATTTGGCTTAATGGTTGTACAAAATGCCATGGCATTTGGCACAATAGATGTGGCATTTGGTACAATGTCAAATATATGATTGGCATTTGGTATAATTTGATGGTATTCGGCTTGATCATTTTGTAATATGCCATGGCATTTGTGCAATGTCAAATATCTTTATTGTTTCTGTTGGTACAATTAATTAAGGGATGAAACACTATGCATGAATAATCTATTTTAGATAGAATCAGACTTTCTACTTGTTTCCGCACATGGAATGGTGCTAAATTGCAAAGTTTTTTTATCACTGCGAAAACTCCATGATATGACGATAGCAGTGCTTTGACATGCACTTTCCATGACAAATGCTATGCCAAGCAGTCAATTTGCACAAACTGATGTCTCTCACAGAGGTAGTTCAATACTCATAGCTGAAATTTGTTAGAAAATCCCATTTCATGAATTTTTATTATTACGAGACTTACATGAACAATATTAATACCTGTATTCAAGCAAGTTATTGTATTTTCCATTCTTCAGTTGTAACCACATAAGCAAAGATAAGGCCCAGCGCACACTAGCGCAGCCTGCATACCTTGCATATAATTCTTGACAAATTGAAAGATACTGCGTATGATCCCCGCAAATTGTGAATGTCATTTAGGTTTAAGAATGCCAACAGGTTTATCCATGCTTAACAATGCTAATAGACAAATTTTGCTCTTGCATTGACCATTGTAGATTTAACAGGGGCGTAAGAACCGGGGGGCACAGACCCAGTGCCCCTCCCCAACTTTGAAAAAAATAAAGTGACTTTTTGGTGACAGAAAGTGCCTTTTTTCTGATGGAAACGCCCTTCTCACCAATGCATAATAATTGGTGAATTAATTGAAAGTGCAATGCAATGCAAGAACAAAAACTAAATTTTATTAATTATTCAGAGCACCCACATTCAATAATTAAATAGTGTCCGAAAATTTTTGGACCTACATTTTGAAAAATGTTTGCAACGGGGGTAGCGTAAAAATTTTACAAAAGTTTAAAAACATATTAATTTACTTCCTACGCCACTGATTAACAGTATATTGTCTGTGTCAACGTTTAACCTTATTTGAAATAGATATAATAACCGAAATACAAAAAAAAAAGATGTAGTAAATGTTCAAAAAATTAGTTTAAAACACAATTAACCATGTTTAACTTTTATTCAAGATACCCTAACCATTTACATAAGAAATATCAAAATTACAGTAGTAAAATGAATTATAATACATGTGTGATATAACAGACAAATCACAATTTAATTGGCTAATGCGCGTGCATTCTGACGCAATAATGCACTGTTATCTGTGGCACTGGTTTGCTCTTTCACCCTTTATCTGTTTTTTCCCCACTTTATAGAGGCTTTTAGCAAAAATATAAACACTATAGAGCTTTTAAAATACAAAATTTATCAGAAAGCAAGAAGGAATAGACCAAAGAAACTTTTCTATAGTTCTATGTGATAAAACAAACCGATTTAAAACTGAGAAATACGATGAAACCCACGATTTAACGTTCTTCATGACAAATCCAGCAGTCCGGATGCTGAAAAACTTTGGCAAATAAGTCTGTGTATCACTGTTTTTTATTTCCAGCATGTTAAACAATTTTTCCGGCTTCATAGCATCAAAAGTTTGTATTATTTTAGCCACTTTGCTCTTTCACTCGCTTAAAAATTCAAGCAACAGTAAAAGCATGCGCGTGACGTCACTGATTACATGTTAAGAGAATTTAAACGTCGATCTTTTGAGTAAAATTGTTTCCTATGTAACATCTTCTACTTATACAAGAAATAGAAAAACTCGTCTTGTGCGTTTGTAGTGTGATAATGCACTCGGGGAATGTTGGGAGAACACTCGAGAAGCGTGTAAACCACTCCGCTATGCCTGTGTTTACACGCTTTTCTCCCGACTTGTTTTCTATTTCCTAAATAAACACAACATACTACTCATAGCACTTTACAATTCTATATGTTACATATAGTGTAAAACATGATAAAATTTGCAGAAATAAAGGTAAGGATTGGACTATTATGAATTGGGGGAGGCGGTGGAAAGTAAAAAAATCTTGTAAGGTTTGTTCAGTGGGAAAAATCCGGCAGAAACCCGAGGTGGGAAAGCGTCTTTTGGTGTTAATGTGCACTTCATACTATTGAAAGCAAGATATTTTGTCGCACCTTGGGTTTCTGCAAGATTCGTGTTGTAAGAACTTCCGAGATAATTTATGCTAATTTATAGGGTAAAATGGGCGCATGCGTAGTAGACATTAGTTGGCGTATGCGTAGTAGACATTAGTTGGCGTATGCGTAGATTATTGAACATGGCGTGACTCAAAGAAAGGCTTCTGTAAAATTCTATAAAAGAACAGTTTTGTGTTCAAATATATATGTGAAATTCGTTCTAAAATCGTTACACGTGTTTTCTAGTTCACAAGACTTGCATGATATTTTTTTTTGAATTGCCACCATCCTCCCCCCAATTTCTAATGGTCCATCCATAAAGCAAAGACAATTGTTAATCGATTGATTTTTGTGCACTGGAACAAGTCATGCTTGCTAAATTTTATCTTGCCCAAGTAGCTAATGTAATTAGTTAATTAATGGTCGATATAATAACCAGTTGCTATAGCATGTCTCTCTATCCGAAGACTAACAATTCTGAATCTTGTTACAGTATCTTCTTAGCATAATATAACTTAATTAACATAATATAACAAAACAGAATGACATAATAGATACTGTATCTCAGTGTGAACCAGTTTTATGCTAATATAATTTTCTTGCTTTGGCATACCTCTTTACTTTATTGCGCAGCTGCATTTTACCGTACTTCTCGGTTATTTTTAATTTTTGACAAGCTTCATCATTATTAATGCATTGCCAAATAGCGTCAGGATCAAAGTTGCCTTCTTTATAAAATGCTTCCGTAGCTTTCATGAGAGCTTGGGTTTCTCTAGGCAAGAAATGTATTTTTTTCTTCTTTGGAGATTTCTGTGGGCTTCTTTTATTTGCTATATAAATGAATAATTGAATAAATAAGTTAAGTACAAAAAATCACTTACAAAGTAAAGGGATTTTCAATAAATTGTATTTGTATTTTTGCACAAGTGAACATAACAAATCCTACACGTTCATTGGTCAAATTTGACGTATTAAGCTGTTATATTCACCTACAGGTGAAAATAACAAAACCGAAATTTTCAAAATGGTGGCTAGCCGTTTTGTGGAAGTTTCTGATAAAGAAATAAGCGAAATTTTAAAAAATTCAGTCCCAAAAACACAAGAGACTTGTGTAAAAATACTAAAACAATTATTCACCTTATGCAGGCTCGGTGATTATGGGGGAATATTCACTTCATCTGGGCGAATATTCCTCGATAATCACCGAGCCTGAGGCGAATAATTGTTTATTACGAACTTATCACTTGACCATTGAACTATAAGTAAACTGGAGCGATAACTCCTATGATAAAGGCCTATGTATGGGTGAAGCCAAATTTCGGGAATTCAAGCATAGCCTGTTCGCAGGTATGTTTTCGAAAAAATACACAAATTTTTCACTAAGTATTTTTACTAATTTAATCCTTAATTTTAACTTAAAGTACGTTTCTGGATATTTGAACATCCATTATCAACCGTATCTAAGATTTTTCAACATAAATTGTAAAAAATAGTGTCTGAACTCTTTGTGGAAAGCCTAAAAACTCAGAAAAACAATAAATTTCGGCGCGGTTTTTTGCCGAGTTTCGTTTTTTCGTGTCATATTTCGGTAGTTAATTAACTCATTCTCATCCGGTGGAAAAGTAGTAATTTCGAGTGGTGTTGTTTCAAACGCTTATATCTCTCAAACTATACATCGCACGGAAACAGAAATTGTACCGTTCGAAAGAGGAGGACTTCTGCTTTCCAACGATACCAATTTCAATTTCATCCGGAGCTTGGTTAACGATTTACTCGCATAAATTTGCATAAATTATGATATAAAAAATGTTGCAATTATGCATAAATGTATTTAGCGGTTCAAATTTCAAATATGTCAAAAAATTTTATGAATATGACTGAAAGACACGGTTATGATCTACAAGTACCCGAAGTTTCATGCATGTAGCATAAATAGAAATATTTTTATTGAATTTTTATATAAACCAGGTAGTGGAGTAAAATTTACATTTTGTGCTCACATGAAACAAATACCTTTATCAAAGGTCCTTTTTTATCGCTGCAACATGTTATCAATACAAATTTCCAATATTTCTTACTCTCCAAAGATAGTATGGCACCAAAATAAGTCTGTGATACCCACAAAAGAACACTCAAATCATGATTAGCAAAATGTCTTTATTTCTATAATTACTACATACATTCTTAGATAATCATTACACCATTGACTTTAGTTATTAGTGTCATAACCAGCCTCAAAATTTGGTCATGCTATTCAAATTTGAAATAATCACTACTCATTTGTTTAGAAATTGATTGTTTTCACAATCTAGAGCATGAAAATATTTGCAAATAGCATGACCAAGTGTTGTTGGACTGGCATCATCATAATTAGTAGTTATAAAAAAGTAATGTTTTCCAAGGCAGTAATGTTTGCTAAAGCAGTAATGTTTGCCAAAGCACATAATTGGATTATGTGGTGAAAATATTTCCTTTATATTGTACTACAAAAGACCTAAGGCTGTAACCAAACTGATATCAGATCACCATGTCATACCCAAATCTGTTGCGATGAATATCTGGACTTCTTCCTGTATAAATTTCAAAGTCGCAATATAACCATTAGGATTGTCTGCAGCAACCCACAGATTTATTCCCCACATAGTAGGTCATCTAGCTTTCATGAACTGCCTAACCCCCAACCTATTTCTTGATTTGACAGTGTGTTTGTCTGCAACAACAATATTCTGTGACGGCTGGTACAGTTGTTGATGCAGTTTATTGCTGTAGTCTTTAGTACAGGATCTACCATATTCGCAAACGCCATAAGCGCTTTGTACCTAACCCGAGAAATTATGTCTATTGCCCACAGACCATGATATAAGGTTTTTACACTCCAATAATTTTCAATCTCACTGTCGACCTTTAGCAAACCTGCATATTATACTAAAAGGCAATCAACCTCTCAAGGTTGGTGGACTGCAAGACCCTTCTTTATTAGTATATGGGGATAACTTTTGAGTTATTTGTATGTGGGCATATGTACTGGTATGGCCAGGAAACTACCTCCTGAAGCATTCCCTTAGTAAAAAAGAGTCGAATGAACTCAAGCTCACAGTTCATTGAGCCGAATGAACTCAAGCTCACAGTTGATCAGAATGGATCCCGGACATGTCAGTGAGGAGCAAAATCTGGGAGAACATTCCTGGCGTCAGGATCATCATATCCGTCATGTACTATGGGGCCTAGTGGGGATGCTAGAGAGGGAGCTTTCGAAACCTTAGGTCCTAATGGTTGGGCTTCCCTCTACCTCTACTCATCCCCCTACCTTCCCTCTGGGTTGGTGAGTGGGGTTCTCATGACTCATCAGAACTCTACTTCCCTGAGGCTATGAAACAGGAACAGCAGATAGAAACAGGATCAATATATTCATCAGTGTGAATAAAAACTTTTATAGACATGGTGCCACTTAAAATTATAATAAGAGCCAACTAGTAAGATATAAGTATGAATACTTGGCTATTATGTATGTAACAAACAACCAAACATGTGCTCAAGGCTCATTTTACTTCGCCTAGGAATCAGAGATTTTTATGCCTAAAACACCATAAATTTTCGTCAACAATATAAATAAATACCATTTGTATTTGTCAATTTCAGTATGAAACGATTATTTCAACACAAAAAAGCGATATGAGGACATACCTGGTCGTACTAGTGAAGCTATACTAAATACAAATAAATTTACAACGCCATGGCAACGGCAAAACATTGAAATTGTCTAGAAATTATACAAATACTTGCCTTGAAACTCCAGACACGACTCCCAATGCCAGGTTGAGATACTTGTCTTCATACGAAGACATTCCATCATTACTAGCACTATCAGTTTGCAAAATAAAGCCAAAAACGTCTTCAGAATGCGATTCAAACAAAACTACAACACAATACATTTCAACGCTCGTGCGTTCCCGTGCGCGATAATCAGGAAAATTGCTCTAAAAGATTTGTTTTTCTGCCTAAGCCAATCAAAATCCGTATCTAGGGTAAACAAACACTCCAGAAGTGATTCCTGCAGTCTTTTACCAGGAAACTGTAATGCTTTACCAAGAATTTGGCGTCCGAAGTTGGCCGAACACTTTCCGATCACGAGAATTGCCATAATAGGCTTAGATTATTTCGCAATTTCCCGAGACTGCTCCGAGCTATAGAATGGAAGATGGCGATTCTTTTGGTATATTTGTTATTATTATACGTTGAAAAGAAGCAAAAAGACGAGCATTTGAATCAGGCGGAACATTCAAAATGCAACAGCAAAATTGATAATGTGTCATTTGCATAAATTTCACCGCATTGATCATTTCAAGGTAAGAAATTCGCTTGAAATTGAGCGAGAAACAATAAAATTATATGAATATTTCCGAATATATAGTATCGATCAAGCGGAATTTTTTGGTGGTATTTTCGTATGTCTACTGCAAATACTCGCGAAGTTCTTTAATATTTAATCTTCCCGTCATATACGTCGGAAATTAATATTGGCGGATCGAATTGAGTTAAACAATATTTGCTTATTTTATGTGCCTTAGATAGAAGTTGTGTTGTCTAAGTGTGCTCTAGGATAAATAAAAATGCCTTGAAAGAAGTAAAAGTGAGAAAATATTAACGATTTTGAAGCTGTATTTTTCGCAGTCATTTTCGGTAAAAAAGGAGGCTACTGCAGAAAACACTAATGGCCGGCTTCAAAGATGGCGGTAAACTTATCGTTCCAGTTTACTTATGTATAGTTCAATGCACTTGACAGACATGTTTCGCTCGCTACTCTGGTGGCCTAGGGCGAAGGTACTAATTCCACCCGGCTATTTGCTTTCGTTGAAAGGAACGCACTAGCGAAGTCTAAAGTTCTTCAAATATTGTGGGCGCATGGTATACGGGCGGTCATCTCACTGATCTCAAAATATGGGTGTTTTCCAGGAATGAAGGAGGCAAAAATTTAAAAAAACACGTGAAGTTACGTTTAGTAGTAGTTTACTTTAGTTGAGTAAACACCTGTAAACTGGCTACATTTGAAATTACTTTTAACGAACGGCAATGAATTATGGCGCCAGCACTCATTTTAATAACTAGTGTACCCACTTTTTGTGTGCATGCTTGGTAAGTTAAGCTTGGAAGATTGTTTCACATAACAAATTATAAAACTTTTTTTAACTTTTAAAAGTAAACATTAAGAATTGATTTAGTATGAAAAATCTTGAAGTACTGCATAAGGCGAGTTTGTTTCAAATGTTTATAAATGAATTTGTATTATTATACACATTTTTGTTCTTCAAGTCTTTTCTATGGATTGTGTGCGAAAATTTCTTAGTTAAATTAACTTTTGTAGAAGTTCATGATGAAAAGGAAAGCATTATTTTCATTAGCGACCTGTAGTACTAAATTTATTTCATTGAAAGTGCGAGTAATACTGTAAGTTGAAGCTCGAGTTGAAGAGTTTAGGGGGCTTTTATACATTCATTCAATTCACATTTAGAAACATTTCACGTAGAGTTTCGTTCAAATTGTACATTAAAATATAGCCCATAGAAAGCAAAATGATATACCCACTTTATACATTTTAGACATTTATAGTTCTGTATTTAAAGTGTACAAGTTTCATTTATTTTTTTCAGTTTTGTACAAAATAGTTAAAAAAAAACAATTATCGTGTTGCCATGGCTAACATGACGTGGCAACATAAGCCTGCATTCAGTGTTGGCATAATCACAAATACTTCATGTTGAAACAATGATTGGAAAATATAGGCGAGGGGTTGTTGCAGAATCTAACTTCACTTTTGTACCTCTTTGCACGATCACTAAGCCTGTGTATTGCTGTCTACAGCTTAATTGGGGCCATTCTGATGATTAAACTGATCCATTTGAGAAATAAAAAAGGAAAATTATACTTTTTAGCAACAACATATGTAAACAACCGAGCGAACAATTTGCTAAATATAATAGTTTTGTTTGTGGAAACGCCACGTAAATTTATTACTGCAAAGCTTTCCATCCATAAGCCCGGATCTTCATGAAGATCCGGGCTTACGGATCGAAAGCTTTGCAGGAATAAATTTACGTGGTGTTTCCACAAACAAAACTATTATATATTTTATCGCCATGCAATCATACAAAGAAATTAGTTTGCTAAATGTTGACAGAATATAATGTACAATCTAATATAAAAAACAAATAAAATTTAAACTACGACAAATATGAAAACTCATTTGTCCTATATATTGAAAATTTTACTTCAAACTTACCATAATACTGATGTCTAATATAAAAACAAATAAAATTTAAACTAGGACAAATACGAAAACCGCTTATTAGGCCTATATATTGAAAAATTTACTTCAAACTTACCATAATACTGGTTTCTTATGGCTTTTAAAAAACTCAAAACAACTAAACAATTCTAAGCTTTCTACATCACAAGCCTGCTGATGTCAACCTTTTTATAAAGGTCTATTCGACTGGGCTCTGCATTCATTTGAATAAAACCAGAGCAGCGAAATAGGTATGTTATTACACCTAGTTGCCGTGGACGAAATTAGTATTTTAGTGATGTGAAAGGCCATCAACACATTGCTTGGTAAAAGAAAGAAATTTATTAAAAAAGTGACTACACATTTAATTACTTACCAGGCAGTTGCTTTCGTAAACTTCGTAATGGTTTTTCTGGTGACACTTTCCTACGAACAACAGCTTTCCACAACCCTTCTGGCTTCATTTTCTTTGGAGATTTCGCTATTACAAACAGAAATAACATTACATAATGGCGTCAAGGTAACAACTGTTATTGGTAACAGTACTACTTCGATGTTTTCAGAACTAAAGGTGAATTTACACTGTCGCGTTTTTCATATATACACACCTACGTGCAGGTACATGAAAGTTTAAATCCCTTCAAAAGTTGCTTATGAACTAATTAAGTGTATTTTTTAGTCTATTATTAGACCATTCTGACATATTATCACATGTACCAAACTGATGTCGCCGGAGTAAATTCTGTTTTTTTACTCCAAAAGTAATTTAAACTGCCATTTGTTAAAAAGTTTGAGCTGCTCCATATGATTAACTGCAACAGTAATAAAGTATATTAGTTATTACTCACACTGCATCACACACACGAATTTCAGAGAATATGATTGGTTGGATTGAAAATAAATTATTATAGTAATTAGTGGCCGGTGATCAACTTTCCTTGAGATTGTTGCAGCCTCTTGTTTCACTGAGCCTGCCACGCAGGATAATAATATTACAGCATTTAGTTTTGTGTGTGATTTAAAGTGTATTTGTTGAGGTAATTACAACTAATACAAAATTGAGAAAGATTTAAACATTTACGTGCGTATATGCATGTAAGAAAAACGCGACAGTGGAAATCCACCTTATATGTTACTCAGGCAGGCTATAACATACCTTTTCCAGGGGTTGTTGCGACGACATAGCGAAGGAAATTCGATGCTCTGGCACAACCTACAGCAACAAAAATACATATTACAATATTAATAAGATCAGCGCAAAAGTCCATGCAGATACTTCCATTCAAAGATTGGTTGCAGAGGGTCGTTGTATTTAAATTTGAATAAGTTACCAGCATTTTGCATCTTGCTTCTATGAAAATGCTTTTACCACTCCGCTTACCATGATCAATTGTTGCATGAACAAATCTTAGCTTTATGTGCAAATACTGTACCTTTAATTGTGTCTCTCATGGCATAGTGTCCTTCTGCAGTTGACGTTGAATGGGACATTTGCCGAGCAAGTTCTTCTTTCGACAGCCCACTTGATTCGCCGGAGTCATCAAGCTGTCGATGGCTGGATACTGCCGACTTACGAATTCGCTTTCCGGTCACATTACCAGAAATTGATGGGTCCAGCAATTTAGCAACTTTAGTTATTCTGTTAGAAATCTGCGAAGAAGGAATAGGATTCCCTCTCGCTGTCAGAAAGAAAAGTGGTTCTTTCTCTCTTTTGTCTTTTCGCTGGAGAAATGAATGCTTGTTTGCCACAGTTGGTCTTAGTACCTCCAAGTAAATCTGGGCACACTTGTAGATATGAGTATCCCAGGATAGGCTTGCTGGTCCAGTACCTGAAAAAATGTCGTTATAAAATTTTGTTAATACAATGCAAACTCAGTAACCTTTTGTTCTCTCCTAATTTTTGTTTCATGTCTGGGATTAGTGAAGATACCGGCCGGCCTTAGTAAATCACTCATTCAGAATTATTACAGAAAAAAGTAGGTGAATGCAACTACAATCAGTGACATTGAAAGCTGGGACACTTGAATGTTAAAGGGATATGGCAATATAAATTAAGTTTGTCTTATTTGAAAGAACATTTTAAATGATATATAAATTTCCTTTACTTCCGCATGTTACTTGGTTTTCGAAATAAATCGACTTATTTTGATCAAAAGCAGCGTGAATTTCACCATCTTGGATATGCATTTGATATGCATACGTTACAAGTAGGGTAAAAAGCAAAATTTTTATATTGCAAACCACTTGTAATTATCAATATATAGGTGATGTAGATTTGTCAACAACACACTAGGACACGAAAGCTGGTCAGATAAAATGTTAATTTTAGTCTCACAACATTGAACAGGGGGATGGGACTTTCTGTTACTGCCTCGGCCTAAAGTGGTCCACCTATTTTGTCACTCATTGTACCTGAAAAATTCAATATTCCGAGCGAAGGCCCTGCATTGTGTCATGGTACAAAACACACCTGCCGTCTTGTGGCGTTTTGTCAATGTGACAAACTGTTTTACACTTGTGCTCTCATCCCATTCTCCAGCTTGGAATTCGTTAATAGTCAAGTTACAAACAGCCCCAGGACGTTGAGCGCTTTGTAGAAGTAGCATCGTTATCAAGTAATCACGAAGCTCGACAAACTCATTCTCTGGATCATCCAGTTTCTCAAATCGTTTCTCAAATTCATCGTGAAGAGGTGAATTGAACAAATTCCACATTTGGGAGCTCGTCAAAAGTGATTGAAAATCTTCTTGATGAACTTCGGTTTTCCTGCTAGCTGATTCTTCAGTGAATGACTTCATCCAGTTCGACACTCTGCCTTGAAATTCTTTTACTAAACTAAAACTCGTTTGCCAAACTTGATGCTCTGGTCAACAAAAAGTTGTAAAACATTAACAAAGCAGAAAGATAAGCTCGTAAGGTGCCTACTTTCCTAGGCTTTGTTAAAAGGTGATTGCCTTCAATAAAGGCACGGCGTATGTGTACCATGGCATCATCATTCCACAACAAATTTACATTAGCTAATGTTTCATCGACTTCGTAAAGAAGTCGGCCAACTCGCCACTGGGCTTCTCTTGATGGTTTTGGCCCCCGGCGACCTCCTTCCACTGATAACAGGTGGTCCAGAAACCGAGCAAGAAGTGGTTGGATTTCAACTACTTTTGCAATTGAGCTTCTTTGAATTTCTTTTGGCACAGCCAGCTCTTCTGGAGGTTCTGCTCTAACATCTGGGTGCTCAAGTGTTGGGATCTCATCAGAAGGATGACTGTGCGTGGAATCGATAAACAAATCAGGACTGTCTGGGTAATCATTGGAGGAATGATGACTGGGTGGAGAACTATCAGAGGAATGATGACTGGGTGGAGAACCATCAGAGGGATGTTGACTGGGCGAGGTAGGATTATCACATAGCTGTAGCCGCCTTTTAGCTGCTGGTTTCTTAGCTGGAATGGAAACAACAGACTTTCTGCCCTTTTCTGCAAGTGTGTCTCGTTTCTTCTGTGTTTTCTGTGGGGTTTTCTTTCTGTTGTCATCTTTTATTTCTTTTTCGATGTCCTTCCTCAATTTTGAACCTTGTGTATTATATCTAAATTAACATACATCAACCCATTAACAAATAAAATCATCTGGCTTTAAAGTAAAATACTCTGGCGTTAGACAGTAACATACTAAAGTAGGGCACATCAATTTGCATTGCTCAGAGGCATAGCCAGGATTTTTGGTCTGGGGGGCCAGCAAAAACCCAGGTGGAGCCAAGCCGGCAGTGACCCGAAACGCAAAGTTCGCACAAGAAAAACTTTTCGGATTACCCCCCCCCCCACCCCGTCGACCGCTTTTTCGGTAAAAGCATTTCCGGACAATAACATTACAATTGCTTTCATAGCATTTTTCCTGATTTAAGACTAGTTTAAACTTCATCTAACCATCTAATACGTATTGAAATAATTAGGGTTAGAAAGGTATGTGTTTCAAGCTGTGTGCCGCAAATAAGCGAACAAGATTTTAGGTTTCATACCGATGCGCAACAAAGCATATATTCTACAGAATTTTTGCATTATTGACAGCATGAAGCTATATAATCCAGGATTCCCTTTTTATACAATACATTTTATCAGGGGGGCAAAAATTTTGCCAGGGGAGCCGGACCCTCCGGGCCCCAGCCTTGGCTACGCTTCTGGCATTGCTACGTAAAGGTTAACACATTCTCATTTAAGGACTTTCCATTTTCCTTAAATTTTCCGACGTGCTCACAGATTCATAAAACATTTCTTTTTGTTATATTTTATCAGAGCTCGTAACATCGCCAAGTCCGAAAAGAGACAACTTTTTTAATCTTGACGTTTCAATCATGCAAAACTTTAATCATCATTTAGTTGTCACTCACTCCTGATGATGATTGAAATATAGTTGAAAGGTATGATTAAAAAATGGTAGGAGCACTTTACATGCGCATTGTGCTCTGCAATTGTCTCCCACGCGCCTTTCATTCTGTTTTTGGCCATAATAAATGAGGACAGAAGTTAAAATAATCCTCTAAATGCATGAGCACCTAAAGTTCAGTAAAGGAGTTAGAGAACTAATAATTGCTCTGAGTAATGAGGGTTTCAAACCGAGGCAATTTGCTGCAAATATAGATGTGTCAAAAGATGGACTTGAAAAACTGGGATTCGCACTTCACTTGGTGGAATTTATAAGCTGGTATGCATGGATAGATAATCCAAGTGATCACATATACACACTATTTTAGACATGACCAGGAACGGTTGAAAAAAAATGCAATACTAGTTCCTCTGGCAGGAATTGACTTCTTTGCATAACAAACCTGTGATTGGTGATAATATTCAATCAATCCTTAATTAACACTATCCAACAGAAAACAATTAGCAACACAATAGAAAGAAGGAGATTAGCTGCATGTGCCCTGAATGGAAGACTGGCAGTTCTGTTACGCAAAGAAGTTGTTTTGATGTACCGGTCTCCTAGACCTTCGTAGAGTGGAATAGGATTTATTTTTCTGAATCATTCCACAGTTTGCTGCACAGCAACTTTTGACACATCTATCTTTGCTGCATTTGTTAGAAACCTTCATTACTCCAGGCAATTTTTTGTCCTCTAACCCCTACTTGTCAAGTACCGTACTTGTAGTACTTGTCATGACTTTAACCTTGTTCTTCTCGCTATTCACACAGAACCATGCGAGAAATTCAAAATACTATATCTCAACTACCACTACAATGAGCACAACATTATGTGCTATGCTAGATTAATTAGGGACCGTTCATTATTTATACCTGGGGTTGGTACCGAAGAGAAGAGAAAAACACTGTACATTTTTTATTTACCCAACCTCAACAATGGTCAAAATAATGTTTACCCAACCCATGTGTTACTATACTTCATAATTATTAAACAAACAAGATTATGGTGACAGAAATCAAGTTGCCTATATTCTAAAAGCTCACTCACACTCAAACTCACTGAGTATGCCAAAGCAATCATGTTCCTGCTGATCAATGATAGAGTCCTTCCTCGATCACTGATGGTCTATTTTGGTACAGAATGTATATTGTACACATTTTTCTTCATATTATCCAATGCATGGTAATTTTGGTCTTATTCTATTTTATTTTATAGCTGACAAACAGCCATAAATTTTTTTACCCAACCCATGAGCTAGTCAAAAACTTGATTGCCCAACCCAAATCTCTTCGGTACCAACCCCTGGTATAAATAATGAACGGTCCCTTAGCGGCAAGATTAATGTATTTAGTAATGTTCCATGTTAAAACTCACCGAATAAAACTTGGAGAGCTAGGTTTAAGTTTATGCACAGTTTTTAGATGCTTGTCAAGTCTTTTCACTGGTTTGTTGCAAGTTTCAATTGGACATGGCACTCGGTCCAAAACATTTTTGGTGCTTGCTTTAGTCTTTCTCATGCTCTGCGATAAATTGAGGGCATCACGGTGGGTCTTTTTGTGCACTCTTTGTAGATGGCTAACAATGTTACTTTTGCTCTGTCCACAAACTGGGCAATCCCGTTTTGCTTTCACCTAAAAAATGAGACAGTGTAAGCAAGGCCGTAGCTAGACGACAATGTTTTTACTGTTAAAGCAGTCAGAAATAGTTGTATTTTGAACATAGATCTGCAAATTTTATTTGCAGATGGCCAGGACTTCCAGGAGGAATTATAGACATAAAATTAATACCATTATAGCAGCCACAGATTTATAGTTTTATCTGAAAAAGTGTGTTTTTATTCATTTAAAAGGAGACATAAATATGAAATGAAGCGAACTAAAAATATACTTGTCGATGCTGTTTATTTATTTTATTGTTCTCATATTTGTTGTGTTTGATTAAACTGACTAAATAGCTAGAGATTGCTCTTGAAATACTTCCAAAACGCTGTTAGTTTTCTCTAAAATGTGCTGTAGAGTAGTTTCACAATAACCAAGAGATAAGTTTCTTTTGTTTTTGCAAATGTTTCGGACTTTGTACTTTGCCCTAGCATGACTTTTTTCATTTTTTAACAATCGTATATAATGTCATGTAATAAAAAGACTTGCTGTCTTCGACTGTTCGGGCAGTACGGGGAAATATCAAACCTGGGTCTTGCTATATTGACCTAACTATTGCTCGGTCAAGACAGCGGCAAGATCTTGGTTTAATATTTTCCCGTACTGCCCTCACTCTCAGCCAGTAGGTTATTAATATTCCACATCAATATATTGTTCACCTGAGATCAAATAGGAACATGTGAAAGTCAGATCGACGATCAAAGATAGAAGGCTCATGCAACATATCCTATTAGTTTCTTATTTGGTTAACCAGAACGTTTTGATCTTGAAAAAGATTTGAAAATTATCCAAGCAGTTGCCTCACTTTGTGACAAAGAAGTCTAAAGATAAAGAGCAGAGCCCAGCAAATAACTTTAAATCCAAACATAATAAAAGTAAAAAATTTATTAGCTAACGCTTCGTTGTTTACAATACAACATCTTCAGAGCAATCTAAATGAATTTACAGGGTATGGTATGTACTATTTAAAGCACGCGTAGGAGTGTTTTATCAGATATAAAACGCGAGGCGCAGCCGAGCGTTTTATATCTGATAAAACACGACTACAAGTGCTTTAAATGGCTTAAAAAACGACCCATCTTTTGATGAGTACATTAACATTAGCGAAGTAATTTTTAAAATAAACTTTGTCTAAACCGAGAAAATCAAAGCTAAAGTTTATGTAAATTAACATGATTTTTTATCACATATAAAGATACGACTTAATTATAGATACGACTTAATTATTAATGATTTTTTTAAGTAATGTTTACAACATTCGCGGCCGTGTTGTATCAGATATACAAACTCGAGCCGAAGGCGAGAGTTTGTATATCTGATACAACACGGACGCGAATGTTGTAAACAACTTAAAAAATGACTCATCTTATGAGTTCATTGGCGAAGTAATTTTAAAAATAAACGTTGTCTAAGCCGAGAAAATCAAAGTTAAAGTTTATGTAAATCAACATGAATCTCTATCACATATACAGATACGACACGCTTATGATTTTTCTTTGTGTTTTCTTCATGAATTTTTAATGAGTTTTTAAAATATATTTACAAAATAATGGTTTAATATTACAAAAACGGTTACATAGTTTGAAAGAACATATGAATAGAAAGAAAAACAACTTATCAGTGACTACTTAATAAGTACTGTTTTATTGGTTTAAAGCCACGAGCGCGCAGCGCGAGTGGCTTTAGACCTAATAAAACACGACCTGCGAGTTTATTAAACGGCTTCAAACACGACTATACAAATTCAATAGATATACCGCCTTATTAGTATTCTTTATATAAAAAATACTAATGAGGACACGACAACAATAGATACTGCCTTATTAGTATTCTTTATATAAAGAATACTAATTAGGAGTGTTTTATCAGGTTTAAAGCCACTGCACGTGACATATTATAGTTGACATGATTTGCCAATAAGCTTATGAATTATTAATGAGTGTTTGAAGTACCATTTAAAGCACGCGTAGGAGTGTTTTATCACATATAAAACACGATGCGTAGCGGAGTCTTTTATATGTGATAAAACACGACTACAAGTGCATTAAATAGCTTAAAAACGACTTATACGAGTTCATTGGCGAAGTAATTTTTAAAATAAACTTTGACTAAACCGAGAAAATCAAAGCTAAACGTGATTTTTTATCACATATAAAACCACGACACGCTTATGATTTTTCTTTGTGTTTTGCTCCTGAATTATTAATGAGTTTTTTAAATTCATTTAGATTGCTCTGAAGATGTTGTATTGTAAACAACGAAACGTTAGCTAATAATTTTTTTACTTTTATTATGTTTGGATTTAAAGTTATTTGCTGGGCTCTGCTCTTTATCTTTAAACTAAAATTTCCGCCTGGTGTATCAATTGCCACAGTTACAAAGAAGTCTATTTAAGGTGGCTCGATGCAGTTTTCAAAAACTTTAGGGGTCTAACAGTTTGACAGTGTTAAACGTCGTAGTTTTAGGTTTATGCTGCAGATATCAAGATGTTCATCTATTTTGATGTTTCGTCTTTCAAATTATGTCAGTTTTGATAACACATAGTTCGTTGCTATGGCAACACGCACATACAAAATTCACTCTAAAGAAGCCTATTGCTTTGTGTAGTTGGAAAAAAAGGTCGGTGACCCCCAACTTTTTTCGTACATTATTTTACTCAGAACATACACCAACAATAAGCAAAATATAAAAAAAATTTGTCCCGCCAGTTTTTTGAAAAATGCAAAAATGTGATTTTCCTCAATACAAATATTTTGCCATGACAGAATTTTTTATATCAGTTTGCTTATTGTTAGTGTATGTTCTAAGTAAAATGATGCACGAAAAAAAATTGAGGGTCACCGAGCTTTTTTCCAACTACACGAAGCAATAGGCTTTTTTAGAGTGAATTTCGTATGCGTGTGTTGCCATAGCAACAAACTATGTGTTACCAAAACTGACATAATTTGAAAGACGAAACATCAACATAGATGAACGTCCTGATATCTGCGGCATAAAACCTAAATATACGACGTTTAACACTGTCAAACTGTTAGACACATGAAGTTTTTGAAAACTGCATCGAGCCACCTTAAGTACAAAAGTTTGTTAGCTTGCTGCTGCTACACACTATTATTCTTATTCATTATTTGTGACAAAAACTATAAAACATTTTACGTTTTGTGACATGCAGATAGCACAAGTGAAAAATTTCAACTAGTTAACCCCCATAAACAGGAAATTAATTAAATAACAAGCATAAATGAAAGTTTTCCCCAATAAGCTTCAACCATACAGTATATTTATGTCTAAGCTTACCCATTTTCCTGCATCGATATCCAGTGATCTAACTTCATCATCTTCCTCGTCACTCTCTTCCTCTTCAATTTCAACCTCTTTTCCAACATCCGTTTCGTCGTTCTCACTTGGTGATTGGGACTCCGAAGCAACCTTTTTAGTTTCTTCGGCAACAAGTTCGGGCCTTTCTGTCTCGTCATATTTCACCCGCTGCTCAACAAAGCAAACATCAGGGACAGATAATTCCCCAACTACCATTTCCATTTGTTCCAAAATAATTTGGAGTTCATCCTACAAAATAAAACTGATTACGATTTGACAATATGCCCGCGCTTTTTGAAATGTCTTCATGAAAATTCCTTTGCATGGTTTTGTCCATTGCATTGTAATTATGCCTCACTACAAACTAGAGCAATGTTATTATAACTGATGAATTGTACACGGTATGAATTTAATCAATAATAGTGCCGATAGACTGCACAGGTATTAAATGTTATCACAAACTGTTTAATAATTAGCTGGCTGACTTTTCATACATACCGATCTCTCTACAGGAACAAACAACATCAAACTCATTTTCATAGTTTCATTGTCATCCAGAACAGAGTAAGTGGGTGCTACCCTTGGGTATGGAGGCGATGTTACCTGAAAAATATTTATATTTTGAGTATTTTACTGATAAAAGCAAGAATTTTAAAGCTTAAAACTTAGAGAAAACAAATTATAGAAATATTTAAACATGTACCTCCTCAACAAGTTCGTGGATCTTGGAAACTCGACTTTTTACATAGTCCAATCTACTTCTGGGAAAAGTGTAAATTTCAAGAGTTCGACACCACATGTTCCTTATATTTGATCAATGCTGCAAATCCTTCGTAAAAGTTAGATCAACTGTGTGAATTTTCCGTTTGCTTTCTTAGTACAACAATATGTTGGGCTCATATTTATAGTCTGCAAGTAGGAACCAAATCTTGTTGCTCGCACGTCATACATTTCCCGCAGAAATTTATTTCCCTTGACTCAAATTGAAGGCGAGTGATCGTTTCTTCCCATTTTTTATTATTGTTGCTCTGAATCGTGCTGTATGAACGTCATGCTTACGTGCAAAGTATGTAAATATTGGATTCTCACGTTTATTTTTCGCGTCTTAGTCTAGAAGCTCTTTAAAATTTACAAAATTTCCGTTGAAACGTACACCCATGCACTCATGACTCATCATAGCGCTGTTTTGCTCTCTATCTAATAGTGTTGCGAATAGTGTGTACAAGCAGTGCAACTATATATTAGAGTTTAAATTAGGTCGAAATGTGAATAACTAGATAATCTTGTAGGATAGTTGCTCCGCTAAATAGGTGGTGGGCAATAATTATTTATTATACGCACATCATTGCCTTCACTGCAACATGCAGATCATTTGCACGTACTATGCAGGACAATATGCATTCTTAGACGTGTTGCTAAAGCCATGCAAATTATATTTTGAAATATTGCCTTTATTTGTGTCATGCAAAGATTTGTCAACCTTTATATCTCATAAGTCATGTATCTATATACTAAAGGCTGCTTTGCAGCTATCATTTCTTGGATATGCATGCATGTTGGTGCATGTTTATGTATTCTTTATTTTTAATAAGTACTAAATCCCACAAGAAATTACGCATTAAATCATGTAGTTTTAGTAAATTAAAGCTGTCCTTGGCTTTGATGCTTTTGTGTACAGGGTATTTAATGTTTAAATGGACTGAAAATTTCCCACACATATGCACGTCGTATGAAAAACGCTTATGCCAAACGCTTATGAAAAATGCTTATAATCCACTTATGCCATCCTTAATCAAAATTACTTGCATTATTACCATTCTCCAGTAATCAACCACCTACTCAATTGACATTACAGACTTCTTTTGATTCAGTCGTGTTAGAGTTATAAACCGAGAAGGAGGTTTATAACTGATATATTGCCCCCAAGGACGCGAGGGCAATATATCAGTTATAAACCGACTTTCGAGGTTCATAACTAACTTATATCTCATTTGTGGAGGTTTTCTAACATATTTTGTCATTTTCAAAAATTTTTGATGAAAAATTCTCGCGTTTTGTCGAAAAGTTGGATGTAATTATTTATTCAAGGTATATCAGCTAGTTATAAACCTCGGACGATCAAAGAAAACCAACACAAATGAGATATAATCCATTTTAATCACTCATGCATGATGCTCAATAGAAAATGTTGTATCAGTCTCTCATGTTTAATTAAGTCAATCTTAAAACCTTCTCACAATTCGTCACTCGACTTTGACGTAGTAATTTCGATTCTGTTTCAAATTTTCGATCTTAATTTCATCAAATTGTATGTCCCTAAACGAATCTTAAGCAATTCCGATCTCAATATATAGGCTTCAATATTAAGAAATGCTATAGTGCTATTACGGAATATCCGAACTCTGTTAAAATATCGAGCCCAACAATGACAGTCGGCATGTGTTAAATGTATTTTGGTTGTTTCTACACGCTGATAATTTATATACCATTTTCTGATTTTCATTACGCAGAAATTAACAGGTACGCAATTATCACATCTTAACCTGCTAATAACACTTACAGATCTTCTCACGCTTCCTTTAATTGGATTCCACGCGATTTAACTATTTACGTAAATACTGTTCAAGAGATCAAAAAACCTTTCCCATACCAGCATTAAAGTTAAACTCACTGTCTATTCTAATACATGCAAGCCTAAATATTCGATTTCTGCATAAACACTACTGTGAAGCGAAATTAACAAAATAATGATTTATAATGTACGTAAATATACACGTGCGCCAATACTGCATGCCAAAATGTATGAAATGTTATTGCTGTATAGCAATGCATAAATACAGTTCCAGGCACAATATGATTTTGGCATAACCAAAATTGATAAACATTACGTAAAGTATAGCAACAATGAATAAAGTTCTGTAAAGAAACAGGACAAACTGCTGCACAGAATTTCTGAAATTAAGATTAAGTGGCCGATTTGCATGGGGGCAATCAAATAGAAATTATATAGATTATTCATTGTTGACTTTGAAATAGAAATAGAAAATTATATAGATTATTCATTGTCGACTTTGACGCGTTAATTTCTGCGTAATGAAAATCAGAAAATTGTATATATCAGCGTGTAGAAACAACCAAAATACATTTAACACATGCCGACTGTCATTGTTGGGCTCGATATTTTAACAGAGTTCGGATATTCCGTAATAGCACTATAGCATTTCTTAATATTGAAGCCTATATATTGAGATCGGAATTGCTTAAGATTCGTTTAGGGATATACAATTTGATGAAATTAAGATAAAAAATTTGAAACAGAATCGAAATTACTAGGTATACGCAATTATCACATCTTAACCTGCTAATAACACTTACAGATCTTCTCACACTTCCTTTAATTGGATTACACGCGATTTAACTATTTACGTAAATACTGTTCAAGAGATCAAAAACTGACCTTCCCATACCAGCATTAAAGTTAAACTCACTGTCTATTCTAATACATGCAAGCCTAAATATTCGATTTCTGCATAAACACTACTGTGAAGCGAAATTAACGAAATAATGATTTATAATGTACATAAATATACACGTGCGCCAATACTGCATGCCAAAATGTATGAAATGTTATTGCTGTATAGCAATGCATAAATACAGTTCCAGGCACAATATGATTTTGGCATAACCAAAATTGATAAACATTACGTAAAGTATAGCAACAATGAATAAAGTTCTGTAAAGAAACAGGACAAACTGCTGCACAGAATTTCTGAAATTAAGGTTAAGTGGTCGATTTGCATGGGGGCAATCACATAGAAATTATATAGATTATTATTCATTGTTGATCACCTAAATTCCCTTCATGCTTGTTGTATACAATGAATACCATGATTTTAGTCTGCGTGCAGCAACACTCAACAGGAACAGAAAACAATGGCACAAAACAACATATTTATAGCTCGCCTATATACACAGTATATCTTTAACAGCAAATTAACTTCATCAATGAAAACAGTAATCCAATATATAGCTTAAATAGATCATATAGCAATATAGTGACAATTGAGAACATTCGCTCAAAAAGTAACGAGTTTTTGTTGGCTTCATAAAACGAGACCATTTAATGCAAAAACTGTGATATATCACGCTTTACATAACATATATTTTCAAAATATTGATTGGGAACTCACTAAGTACAATCGCAATCCTCAGCCTGAAGGAGTTTATACCATGCTTTCCTTAACTTTATTTAGTATATTGTTTTTGCACTATAATATTTGTCATGCAATTTTGGTGCTTTTGGAACCAAATTTCCTTAAGTTGTGCCAAATGCCATTAATGGCATTTGGCACAACATAAACAAATTTGGTTCTAAAAGGACCCAAATTTACAAATATTAGCGTAATAACACCGCTAGATTAGGCAACAGTAAGATCCCACTGATCCCACTCAGATTCATCATAAATTATTCCATGGCATTTGGCACAATAAAACTAAATAACATATATAATTGTTTGTATTGCTACCTCAATCTTACTAAATTGTTGCCACAGAAAGAAATCAGTAATAGCTATAATCCAAACAATGGCAAATTAAAACTTGCTTTGCCTAAAAAAACTGGTTAATTAAGGACCTATTAAAATCTTCATTGGCATTTGGCACAACAGAATCAAACTTAGTTCAAATGGCATTTGGCACAATTGGACTAACTAACCGATCATTATTTGTTTTTTAATCTCAGTATTGCCAAGCGTGCGTCAAGCTACAGGATACGCGGTATTCATGTTCTAAAGAGCACATGTTTATACACAAACAAATTTGGTTCGAAATGAATCGAAATTGACAAGTATTTGATGCAACAATCAAACTACACCCCTTGGGAAATGCCTTGGCCCCCTTTTGGAGAGATCCAATCGACTTATGCATGCAAGTAGTCAAAAGACTCCACCTCGATTTGTATTCATTATTTACCCAATTTGGAGTCAATACTGGATGAGTTAAGATAATATTAATAGAAACGTATGGTTTTATTTATCAGTCAAATCCAGCAATGCCCATCCCCCCGGGCCACCCACGTGCCTTTGCAGTTTTCCTATTCCCGGGGGTGGGGCTATTGCCGAAATTTTTCAGCCCGGGGGTGGGGACTTACGCCCGTATTCTAAAAGCTCACTCACACTTACACTCAATGAGTGGAGGTTCAATTGGAGCTTTTCTCAAGTGTCATTTCTGTTTTTGAATAGCTGGAGGGTTAGTGTCGTCCCGTACCATGTGATTACTCACCCTCCAGCTATTCAGAAACAGCATTGACACTCAAGGGAAGCTCAGATTTAACCTTCACTCATTCAGTGTGAATGTGAGTGAGCTTTTAGAATACGGGCGTTAGACATTTAACATTTTCCATCATGGCGATTAACGGACTGTATAACATGGCAGATTTCGCTGGAAAAGATACTAAATTCGTTTGCAAATGGCTTGATACTCATTCTTTGGGATGGTCTTTCAGTACCGGCATTGTCTTTGATCATTGATGAGTAATATCCTTTGTCTACATGAAATAGTTTTTCTCCTTCAATGGACAATGATCACTATAAAAAATGATCTATGATTGCACCAGACCCGGACGCGAGTCGACAACGCGACGCGATTTTTTAGTTTTCGAAAGTTAATAAACTGAACAGTCAATGAGAGCAAATTTTAAAGGATATGTAGACCAAATACCTCAAAATGCTATAACGCTTCTAAATATTTAGAAAGCTTAAATTAGGATCAAAGGTTATATCGGTCAGTTAATTAAAATCG